TCTCCATTCAGTCAGCGCACAAACCGAGTCTCTTCGACAAGAATGGTGAGGAACTGTACGACAACCGTGTCCTCCGGTGTCTCGTGATCTCGCCCGCTGGCCGGCCGATCTATGACTACAAATCACCGTTGGAGCTTCTCACGGCGCTGCGTGATGCAATAAAGGCGCACCGGTCTCTTTACCTGGATGGGAACATCCTTCATCGGGATATTTCGGAGAACAACATAATAATCACCGATCCAGACAAGGCGGATGGCTACTCTGGCATGCTGATTGATCTGGATCTTGCCAAAGAAGTTGGAAGTGGGCGAAGCGGCGCGCGGCACCAGACTGGCACAATGGAGTTCATGGCAATCGAGGTGCTGCTGAATATCGACCATACCTATCGGCATGATCTTGAGTCTTTTTTCTACGTGCTTATCTGGCAGTGCGCCCGCCACGGTTGGGAAAAATTAATGCAATTGCAGAAGTTATATCAGTTACGGGTCTGGTCAGACGATAGTATGCTAAACAAATGGTGCATGGAAAGTCATGAGAAAAACCTCAATCAAGGTGAATTTGAGCGCATCTTAACGAATGATTTTTCTCCACCGAAAGACAGTATGCTGAAGGAGTGGTATAATGGAACTTATAAAAAAATTGCAAGAATCAAGCGAACCGATATGGGTGCAGATGGGCTTGAGGATATTTTGACTGAGTTTCCTCCAGCATTTGAGTTTGCTAAACCACTTTGCAGAGCTATACGAGACATTCTTTTCCCGTACGGGGACAGAGGAATTATCGTTGGCACCCCGCAAGATCCGAAGCGTTTATATAATCCTGTTATCAAGGTATATGATGATGCGATCGCCAAAATCAAATCTTGAGTGTGATGAATCGGGCAAATATATCTCTTCACGCCAAATATGTAGCTACTCAACAATCCCTATACATCAATGAAAACAGCATAGGAGTGATTACTTGCTCCTTCTACAAGAACAGAAGGCGGATGTTGTGGATCTACTAATTGAGAATTTTGGGGATGACAGAAGTTACATAGTGAAGAGAGTGTTAGTGGGTACTACGGCTACCCTATCACGTGCCCCCCCGCGGGAGTTCACTATTGTGTCGGCATTTTCTCATAATGTGCGTTAAAAAGCTCCTAGAAACCAACAATGCCTTGGGCCTCCGGCCACCTCTAGTTAGTTGTTCAAACTTATTGGCTGCAGGTGTAATGAATAGCGATGTTCGCGCAACTCCTCCAGGAGACATAGAATATTTGCTGGGGTCCATATTTCACCCTTAAAGTAGATCATGTAGCTGATTTAGTAAGCTGTTAGGAAGTGGAGTGGACCTAATTAGAGAACTGGACACGTTAAACGGTATGCATTCAGCAGGCTAATATAAATGATACTTATTCGCCAGAATATTTCAAATCTCTGTCCAGCGTTTCAAGTTTCAAAATATACCCGGAAGTAAGATAATCCGTTCCGTTCACTTTGTTTACCACGTTTGCTCCATGTCGCTTTCCGATGTGTAATTAAGCACGTACAGCATTGTAGGGAGATTACTATAAGATTATGCCTTTAAAATGGATCCGACAATACGAGAATTGTTGGCTGAACTCGAGCGAGAAAGAGCTGAACGTGAGCGAGAAAGAGCCGAACTTGATCGAAAGACAATGGCGTCAAGACGCGGAAGCTGAGGTGAGAAGCGAAAGAAGGCGACGTGAAGAAGAGCAATGACGACGTGAAGAAGCAGAAGCTTTGGCTGCGAGCTCGGAGTCATCAACACTGCCTCTGTTTTTACGTGCCTGCCATGAATTGTTAGTCGCGATCGAGATCGTGACAGACCCTACTCGAACAACTCAGGGCGCGGTAACGAGACCGACAAATCGGAGGGTTCCATCTCGCATCACGTTGTGGGACACATTCACTGAGGAGCAAATGAAGGTGTGGCACAAGCTCGATCAGCATCCTCATTTCTTGACAGAAAAGCTCTTCCCCTCCCTACATCAGCTCGACTACGTCCGCCAACTTATCAGCCCAATTTCCTCAGAGTGGGATCTTCGGTACTATGAACGGGAAACGGTAGAAAATCAAGTGCGGGCCATAATAGACCGAATATATGAGAATGATGAGCTTAAGAGGGCATTCGGCTTGCGCGGATCGATTACCTTTGAAAGCCATGCTAACCTTGGGCTTTCAACGCGGGCGGCTGATATGAACCCGGGTGATCAGCAGTCGTCCGTTGAACCCATGGTTAGGACTGAATCAAGTACCGGAAAGAGAATAGGCAAGAAGAATAAAACAAAGAAAAAAGAGACCCCGATGGTCACGGGAGGACAGGCAGATCGATTCTGCATCTATCGCCAGGATGGCGATGAGCACATCCCAGCGCTCGCGATCGAGTACAAGGCGCCCCACAAGCTCACTCGGGATGAAATCGTGGGAGGGCTGGCTCAGGACATTCATCCTTCCAAAGAAGTAATTGGTAAGGACTCAGATGATTCTGATTTCTGCTCGAAGCGGTTAGTCGCTGCCGTCATCACACAGTTGTTCTCCTACATGGTTGCTAAGGGAGTCCGGTACGGCTATGTGTGCACCGGAGAAGCCTTTATCTTTCTACGCATTCTCGACGATCCGTCATCCGTCATGTGTTCCGTCTGTACTCCCAGCCTAGATGTTGAAGAAATCAACGATGACAGTCTGCATTTAACTGCCGTCGCTCAGGTACTAGCATTTACCTTAAGAGCTCTAGTGTCCCCTCCTGCCCCGCAAGAATGGTATGATGCCGTCGCGGAACTTGGCATCTGGCCGGTTGAATACTCGGATATCCTCGAGCAAACACCTCCAACCGCTCGACAAAAGCATGCCTCACCTCTGTATCGGGGCCGACGCCCTTCCAATCTTCCTCCTTTTCAGATGACATTACGACCCAGATGCCGGCCACACACAGATATTGTACCTCGATCAAGAAGCCCTTCCCCCTCAACGTCTCCGCCTCCATCTCCGTTGTCGCCATCCGCACGCCGTGGACGAACCGTAAACGCTCGAGCCCGCTCTAACCCGGATCAAAAATCGGGTAAGAAAGGGCAATCCAGCGAAGACAGCGGTGCGAATTGGATAGACCATGCTGCTGAACCACCAAAGATCAAAAGCCAACTTTACTGTTCCCAGCAGTGCTTGCTGGCCCTACGAGACGATGGTCCGCTCGACACCTCCTGCCCGAACTATCTAGCTCACCTTAAGCGACGGATCCAGCCAGCGGAGTTTCGCGCTCTTATCCGAGAGCAGCTCTCCAGGGACCGTGGCCCGGATGCCAACTGTCGCCCTCTCTACAAGAAGGGAAGTTGTGGGGCAGCTTTTAAAATCCATCTTTTGTCGCATGGCTACACTCTACTCGCAAAGGGCGTCGAACGCAACAATTTACGCAAACTCGAACATGAAAACAAAGTATACCATAGGCTTCACGATATTCAAGGCAACCACATTCCGGTTTGCCTCGGGATTGTTGTGCTTGACCCAAAATACCCGTATTACTATGACGAGGGAGTTTATACCCATATGCTCCTTTTGAGCTGGGCGGGAAAGTCCATCTCGGAAATTATGAAATCGGATGATTCGGCATGCGTGATTGAGATGGCATCACAGTGTGTTCAAGCGATTCACCTTGCAGGTGTACTGCACGGTGATGTCGAGCCACGAAATATTTTATGGAATAAGGACTGCAATCGCCCTATGCTTGTAGATTTTGAACGAGCTGAGATGCGAAATGCGCTATCTGCTATATCACCGAACCTCGGGCTAAAGAGGAAAAGGCTTGGGAAGAAGATATCTACCTTTTCTAAAGAACTTTCAAAAGCTCAGATCAGCCTGGAGCGCTGTAGGGAATTGCTCTGTCGGAATTCCGCCTCAAAGTTCAAGGAATAGCGCCATGGAACTCAGTTGGAAAACTATGCACGAAGAGCCGCTACAATAATGATTATTATCACGTGGAACAACCCCCCTTCAAGGCTCGGTGCTGACGCGCGGTTTCCTGGAGGGAACGTTACATATATTTTCTATTTGCGATTGCGTAAATGCTTTGATACACCGTGGCCTGCAATCTGAAATCGTGGCTTGGCGTTGCAAGCGCCGCAACAAAACGACCGATCGCTCGAAATAACCTTTTGACACCATATGCCGTATTCTTGAAGATGAACAATGGAAACCTGAGGAGAGCCTCTCAGAGATCCTTGCACACCAAGCTGATAACTCCAAACTGGATGGAACATATCTTCCGGTCCTAGATCGTCTTTTGACGCATCAAGTTGGGGCGAAGAAAAAACGGCTGGCTGAAGAATATCGCAAGGTTCTTGGAACCATCATCATGCTGGAGAGCCCACTCTCTGTTGTTTCGCTTTCAGTTCTTACTGAAATCCCGAAGGAATCAATTAACCTCAGACTCAGCTCGCTTCATTCGGTCCTGAGCATACCAACAGATGATACTAAACCTGTCAGACTATTTCATCTGTCATTCCGAGACTTCCTACTCAACCCGGACACGCGCGATAAGAGTCAATTGTGGATTGATGAAAAAGAGATGCAGAAAATCCTCGCTGTACAATGCCTAAAGGTCATGTGCTGCAGTTTGAGGAAGAATATCTGTAAGTTACCAGGTGATGGTACACAACGCAGTGAGGTTGATATACATTCTATTGATCATCACCTGCCGCCGGAATTGCAATATGCCTGCCATTATTGGGCACAGCACCTGATACAGAGTCAGAACCCAGTCACTGAGTTGGATAAGGCCTTTTTATTCCTTGAAGTGCATTTTCTGTACTGGATGGAAGCAATAAGTGTTCTGGGTCTTATATCTGAAGTTGTGGGAGTAATCAAGAGATTGCAGTCAGTCATTCAAGTAAGTTACTCAGGAAATCTCACTGCACTTATAAATACTGAATAATATAGGATGATAAACATTCTAAAGTATCAAAATTCCTTCATGATGCCAGGCGATTCGTTCTTAGAAACAGACAAATAGCCGATATTGCACCCCTTCAGCTTTATTCTTCAGGACTTATGTTTTCTCCGAGAAGCTCAACAATTAGAGGAATATTTAGTAATGAGCTGTCAAATTGGTGCCAGTTACCCAAAGTTGAGGATGTCTGGAGTGCAGAACTACAGACCCTGGAGGGCCATTCCGGTTGGGTTCAGTCTTTAGCCTTCTCACCAGATGGTCATTCCCATGGGGTTTGGTCAGAAACCAATATTAAATTATCTATACTAGAAGATCAGTGGATATGTCTTAGGGGTGAAAGGATATTGTGGCTTCCTCAGGAGTATCGCCCCAAGTGCTTGGCATTAAATAATGGAATTCTTGCTTTTGGTCATGCATCTGGAAGAGTTTCCTTTATCTCATATTTTATTTGACCAGTGTACACTAAAACACTATACACTCTTATATATATTCTAATCTATTTCCAAAACGAGGGCCTGGGAAGGCCGGGGATTTTATTTTTCCTGTCTCATTAGTAGAATACATGAGATATTCTACTGGCTTGTATAGTCAAAGCCTTAGGGTCAACTTGCGTGCATGTCTTTCCCTCATAGTAATCTTCGCTTGGTGCTGGTTCTCGTTATCACGACTGGCCCTAATCCATTCTGGGTCAAAATCCTTCCGTCCCAGCTCGTCCTCCATTACACAAAACTGAGGGTCAATGCAGGTGGAGTTACCTCCCTTTATATAGATAGATTCAATTTCTCAATTACACTCGTTTAACTGTACATTCCAAATGGCAAAACTCAACCGTCTGGTTCTACCTAGTAGCTCTTAATAACACCAACGACAACCTGGCGACACGTTCCGCAGGTTTTATCAATGGGGGGGGGCGCGCATTCCGGGCAATACCGATGTCCACACAGAAGGGTCCGCCACCCTGACGGGATGGTATACCAGATCTGGCATCGACATTGATGCTTCAGCTCACGGACTTCGGTCTCAAGCTTGTCAACGAGCTCGTTCTTCCTAGTCATTTCCGTATGCAGGTTCTGCACTTCTTCCTCCAGTGCCTCTCTCCGCGCATGCTCCGCCTTGAAAATGTTATGGATTTCCTGGTTCGCGGTTTCCTATCTCAATATCAGTCAAGAAGGAGTCCCGCCATGAGCCCTACAGGAGGATTCTTACCAATACCGTTTCAAGGTTGGACATTTTACGTCTTTTCGGTGGCTGCCACATTTCGGAGGGTGCCGGGTCGTCAAATTGAGCCTCATACCATTGGATAGCTGTAGCCTGTGTGGGGTCTCTTTCTTCGCAGCTTTCGCGCTGGGGGGTGGCGTTCATCAATCTCCGAATCTGAACTGATGACGACAGTGTGATAAAGCCAGTCGTGGGGACTATCAGCTGACGCCATGATTGAAAGATGGTGGTGCCCTGGACAAACAGAGAGGAGGGATGAAGAGCACCGCTGGGGGGAAATCGGTCCTTTTATGTTCGCTCGGTCGTCCTCGAGTACGCAAGGCCCTCTCAGTGGTTGGTGTCTGGCGGTGGTGTAGGATGAGAAGTGGAGAAGGAAATGGAAGAGAGACGGATCCACATTCTGGCAAATGGGTCGAGATAATTAAGGAAGAAGGAGAACGGAAGGACTTGCCCAGGAAGAATCATGTTTTCAGGGAGAGCAATCGAGGATAGAAATGGGACACCGGGGAAGGAGACCGAAGATCTCGATGAGGTTTCCCCTAACGGGTGGGACGATGTCACCGGCGCATTCATCGATACTCGCACCCCGCAGACCTGGGCATTTTCAGGATGATCACCTCCGGCATCACAAAGCCTCAATGCAGGTCGCGCCTCGGATATTGCTGCATGTTGGTGTTTTCGCTTAGAGTCGAGACATCCATGGGCTCGAGCACAGAGGCGAAACCAGGCGCACTATTTGACTGGCAAACATGGTTGGGTGAAGTTCGGCCGTCCTGATGCATGCCACCCCCGTGCTCCTTGCCCACGGGCTTAGCGGTTTGTCGATTCGACTTCCTGGCGTGTGGCCAGGGGCAAAAAGGGGGGTTGGTTAGGTTGACTGGCTGATATTCACTGGACGAGAGCCCATGTTGGCATGGAGGTGGTGGCCAGGAGCACTTCTGCGTTGGTCCACCCCATCAATGCAACATTCCCCGGTTCGGCGGCTTCTTCGGTCTGGATGATTGGCGATCTACGCGAGACGCATCTCAGCTACTATTTTTCCTACCCTCCTCGATTAGCCTCGACCTATTTTGTTCGCAGGCGGGGGCCATAACATTTGAGTGCTGGTAAGCATTATTTCCATATCTAGTGGGCTTTATTGCTGACCGTTTAGCAAGGGACATCGAGAATGAGTACAAGGAGCGTAGGTTAGGGGAATGTGATTATTACCGACTATGTACATCGGCGAATCAAAACGAACTACTCATTTGTGGTGCTGATAGGATATAAGGCCATATGGTTACTTCTCGGTTCAATATCGTGGCGGCATTTTTTCATAATGTGCATCAAAAAGCTTCTGGAAACCAACAATACCTGTGGACTGCGGCCACCTCCAGATATTTAGTGTTCAAACTTATTCCCCCTTTTTCATGAGACATAGAATATTTGCTGGGGCCTATATTTCATCCTTGTAGTGATCATTTAGCGATTTAGTAAGCCGTCTAAGAAGTGGAGTGGACATAATTCGCCACCAACAAGAGCAATCATTAATTCTATTTAGTATCAATCAGAGCTATCCTATCATCATACACCTCAATGATAGGATCATATAACTTTTTTGGGCCTTGCGGCGTTCCAACAATCTCGTAAGTACCTCGTATGATTTTCCAGGAAATCAATCTCTTCTCAGTCAAAGATGCTATATTAAAAGACAAAACAAAGAGCAATTTACGCTATCAATACACAAAATCTTTACTAGTTTACAGCATCTGAGTTATATTGTGCATCTTGAAGCGTTTTAATCATGTTCCGGGGTAGGTTGAAATTCGGTTTTTTCCACCGTCCGCCGTCTGGAAAGACAAGGCGCCGTAACCGGTTAACGCAAGGGATCAGGGATTGATAGTATGGGGTGAAATTATCCTTTAAAATCCTGAGAAAGTCACCTTCATCACTAACCACCCCTTTCTTCTCATCAGCCAGTTTTTCAGTGCTCACATAATTCCACTCCTCAAAACGCTCGACAATCCTTCCCTTCCCTGGGGCATCGTAGTGAATGCATATCCAGAACAGGACCCAGAAGAACGACTCCAGATCATGCATGAAACAATGCTTTTCGCCGTACAAGACACCGATGGCCATGAACGCCCTGGTGCCCGTCTTGCCCCGCGCGCCGGAAGACCCGTCCCGTTGCGTCTTGATGGCCAGGTCAAGGTCGATCAGAAAGGCAGGCCATGAAGGGTTGTCCTTGTCCTCGTTCACCATCAGGTTCCGGGGGGAAACGTCACATTGGATGAGGCCAGCCTCATCGTGGAGCGACATGTATCCTTCAATACAGCCGGCCAGCCCAGTGAGAAGTGTAGACTTCGAGCTACTCTCATAGATTGGTTTCCCACAATCCCGGACAACGATGCGGCGGTGAACTCGATTGCGTCGGGTAGAGCCGCCGGCAGATTTGGACGGAGAACTTGACTGGGTACGTTTACTTGGGGGAGGAGGAAATGCTGTGTCCACGCAGTCAGAGGATCGTTTCTGGCCGGTGCTGCTGCCCTGGCGCTTTTGTCCCCTTTGAGACCTACTACGCTGCACTGTCGCCTTAAAGCCACCCCTCTCATCTTGCGAAATCGGAATACTGAGGCCCTTTCGGATAGCTAAGACATCATCATCCTTGTCGTCAATGCGAACGGTCTCGTGGTGATAATACCTCGCAACATTCTTGACCCCCTTCGCCATCGCCTCTCGCAGCAACTCTCCTTCCTCAGTGCGTTCCGGATACTGCCAGGAGTCCTTGACAACCAGCGGCGTCCGTGATTTGTCTGTCTCACAATATGCCTTCCAGCAGGTTGTGGCTCGCCCGGCAACACAGCATGCTCGTCCAACAATCCCATCGATAATCAGCCGTTCCTTCGTACCGTTCTTTTCAATCTCGATATAGCGTTCGGTCCCGGTCGCGATGATGGTGGGATCAAACCCAAGTTGCTTCCGGCTCATCAAGAGGAATCCAAGGATAACAGACACAAATTGAAGGCCGTCCTGGTTGATGTTGAATTCCTCCGACGCGATCCCGCCCAGACGGTCAAAGTTCCACAGTCGTAGGAACGGCCCGCAGAGGGTGAACCCGAGCACGAAACGACGGGTGTCCTGCGCAGCAAGGATCTCTCGCGCATACCTGCCAAGATCAAACCATGCACCGGATTTCCGGTCGTATTTCGGGTCGTTTTTCAGCTCCCCTGGCACCAGGATCTGCGACCAGTGACATCTGGAGTCCTCTGTGGCCGTCAGATCATCGACAAAGCCGACATCGAGCTTTCTCTCCGCGACGGACCCTTGTAGTGGCTGGCTTGGCTGTGCGAGAGGTCTGCGGTCGATTTTCCAGGACGGCTCTTGTGCTTCGGCTAATCGTACGAGCTCCGCGATGATGTTAGCCAGCCATTTCAGAACATCTCTTTCTGCTGCAAGTTCAGGCCAGCCCTTCCAGCCCTCGTCTTCACAGTAAAGGGGGCTGTCTCCCTTCTCGCACTCCTCCAACACCGCTTGTGAAACTGCAGTGAGATGTGGAATGTCTCCAAAGTACGCGTCAAAGAATCTAGGGATGTCGACGTGTATCTCCCCAAGTTCCTCCTTCAGCACATTGTCAACGTGCTTTCGATATTCTGTAGAATTGACGAAGCTGCTAGTGTTGCGCAGCCAGGGCGTCTGTTGGATTGATGATGTAGGATGAGGAGGAGGGGGGGGGGTGCCTCGCGAGACGGCGCCAACAAGACCAAAGACGGCGTTCCAGACATCGAAGTTCCAGGTTTCGACGTTCTGGGATTCAGTCGGTGACCTTTGAATAACCAGGTTCACTAGGGGTCGGTAGTCGTCGTACCTGAAGTTTCCTTTTGCCTTTCGGAGGCGCTCGAATAATTGTGCTAGATCAGACGCCACATCCCCGGTACTCATTCGCGAGCGAAGGCTATAAGCTGCATCCTCTCCCTGTAAAGCAGAGAGGAGTTTTGAAATCGCATTTCGATAGAGTTGGTCAAGGCTCTCATCAGCGCCATCGTAGGAAATTAGACGCGACTCATAGATTTCTTCAGCTTCCTGAAGCACGCCTCGTAAACGATCGACCGAGTCGGTTAGAAGATGGTTCTTGATAATGTTGCGATCTTCTTGTGAAAGTTCCGCCATTTTAACGGTATAAAAGACCGTTGTGTTGGTGCGAGGTTAATTAGAAGTCGGGGAGAAAAGTTCGGTTGGTAAGTTACGTGATGAAAGCAAACACGGGAACAAAAATGCAGAATGCTTAGGAAGTTATGATGTGTGATACTCGCGAGAGAAGATAGCTAGCTGGGAACAGATGATATATAGGATTTATGGTCAAAGGGTTGATCCGGCTTGGCTTTGATACAGAACGCGAATGTGGGAACGGATAGAGCCGCCAGGAACCAAGATTAATCCTATTTGATCGCGACGGAATGGTAATAAGCGCGAACAAAATAAGGTGATGGATAGAGGAAGCCCGGCTATTCCCATTTAGGATTAATATAAGCGGATCTTCAGATTACGTAACGAATCATTCTTCTGTTTCAGCAAGGAGGAGCAAACCCTTCATGTATCCTCTTTGATCCTTTCCAACATTAGTGTACTGGGCATGTTTTGTTTAATCGACCCTCAAAGCTTAGAGGAAGATTTGCGATGATATCGCAATCGTGGTCCGAAAGCTCAGCCGTATATGACAAATGGGAAGCAAACACGGAACAAAAGTGCAGAATTGTTAGGAAGTTATGATGTATGATACCTGCGAGAGAAGATAGCTCGCTGGGAACAGATGCTGATATATATAATCAAAGGGAGGAATATGGTCAAAGGGTTGATCCGGCTTGGCTTTGATGCTCAACGCGAATGTGGGAACGGATAGAGCCGCCGAACAAGGAACCAGGCGAAGATTAATCCTATTTGCTCGCGACGGAAGGTAATAAGCGAGAACAAAATATTGAAATCGTATTTTGAGGAGGTCGGCTATTCCCGTCGCGTGGGAGATGTGGTAAGAGCGTGCTGACTGCCAGGGAAGAACGCATCAGGTATTAGTAATCACTGTACTTACGCAGTAGGCCTCACTCACTCTTTTTCGTTGCTGTCTAAAAACAAGGCTAGTATAAACTATTAAAATGAAATATCATGTGCTGTGACTGTGGCGACTGAAGTTAAACTGGATTACGGTATTTTGTACAATTGTTTCCTGGTGATGATGATTTTTGTATCGGAGGGACAAGCGCATGTCGAATGATGTGTTTTTTACATTTCCAAATCCCAAACTGCTGTCAAAAAAGCGTTGCAAAATGGTGGTGTGCATGTGGCTCTATCAAAAACATCAATTCGCGCTCTCGGACATCTCAAGGTCTACCTTCAATTGCGCCGTCCCTTCTTCACATACAACCTGCAAATCACATATCTGTTCCTCAATGTAAACCAGGCCTCGACGAAGCGCATTATCTTCCAATGCATGGCACAGTGTCCATGTGCACTCAATCTGCTTCAAACGTCCGTATACTTCCCAGAGGGAGGCTATCTGCGCTCTAAACTGATCCCGTTCCAGCGGTTCTAAATCCTTACTCAATGCCAATATCGTAAAACCGGCCAAGCTGGCAAACACCTTAGAAAGCTTGTCGAAATCCGTGAGAAAGTCTCGGAGATATTTTTGAATGTCATCAGTTGTCTCGGCGCGGATAAGACACTCAAGAGTTCGGCCTAGTTCGCTAATACGCTGCTCTATATCCTGCCTCATTCGCAGCACCGCGCGGAGAGATTCCTGATTAAGATAAGCACTCAGAAACAACTTATACGGACACGACTAACTTACCATGATGGAGCGAGCCCTCTGTAGGCTCTCCGGTTGCTATCAAATTATATTTAGCATAAGGGAAAGAAAGAAGGAAATTTGAGAGCGTATAACTTCGTCTTTGGAACAAGAGCAGAAGCACTTGTATTTATACTTCCCTTCGCTCCTGTAACTTCTCCAGACCATGCAAGCGACATATTTTCTCTCTGAACAATCAGAATATGGGGATTGAAATTGTACTTTGAGGAAGGCCGGCTATTCCCATTTAGAATTAAAGCAGGCCGAACAAATGTAATAAAATATTTTGGCTACTTAAAGGCACCAAACTGGATTACAGTATTCGCACAATTGTTTCCTGGTGTGCCTGGGTGTTGGAGTAGATAAAGCTATAACCTATCAAAATAAAATAAAGTGTAGAAATCCCTGCCTTAGAGAGCCTTGTAATCCGGTGAACTGTTATCAACCATTAGATAGGGATAAAAAAGCTACATCAAAAAGTGAAGTACCAAAACTTTAGTGGCGGGATTTTGGGAGCGGATCAATATTTTCCCGGAGTAATACATTAAGCTGAGGTAGCCAGGTCTAGGTTATTTTATATGTTAGGCCTAGTAGCCATACCACGTGTTTTGAACTCGCGTATGGAAAATAATCATGTTGCGCTCGATCTCTTTTGGGATTTTAATTTTTTTTAAGCTAAGTTTCTCTTGTAACACTTGAAGCTTAGAAAGAAATCCAGGTGTAAAAATGAATGGTGTAGGCTGTCTTGCTTCTGCCCGTTCAAGTCTTTAACATCGTTGAATTGGCAGGGGGAAGTTCGCATTATGTAACAATGAGGTGGGGCTGCCCGGCAGCCGCCTTTATCGGGCATAAAGTTCAATCTTACCCCTCCATGATTCAAAAAGATATTTGACTGCGCCCTGCTCCTTGCAATGATAGAATTAAAGAGGTAAGTCAAAGGCTTCGCATGCATTATTCAGAGAAAATACCATTTCCATGCTAATCAGTTCGGGATAGTTGCAGCAAAAAGAAAGACACGTGCTATCTATCAACCATGTCGACACCACTCCCAAGTACAGACACAGAGTATGTTGACGAAAATCGCCGACGAGAATTTTTAGAATGGTTGAATACAGCAAAATCCGAACCCACGAAATATAAAGGTCTTTTTCATTACACCGACCCTGAGCTTCGCGATCGGCTAGACAAGTTGCTTGGTGACATTTATGAGCCGGTAATTTTCAGGAGCTTCATATAAGAGGAAAACGAGTAACAAGTGTTTAGGGATTTAAACGTTGGGTTCTTAAATTGGAAGGGCGCTGCTCTCTGGTGTCTCCTGAAGGTCATGGAGAGATGATCGTTCTCTCAGGGCAGCCTAAAATCGGGTCGGGGCCGGTCTTAACGGTTGGATCGATAAACAAGATCACAGATGCAGATGTGATTAGCCCTCCAATGCAGTGTGTGCATATTTACGCATACAAAAGAAAGGGGAATGACAATGCGCAGCCAGGTGGAGATTGAATGGTCTCGAAACAGTTATGTTGATGGATGTGTGAGGCTGTAATAATAGTTTCTGAAATACAAATGCTATATATTCGTCTATTCTTGGCCTCATTTATCGTTCATTGAGATATTCTGCGGGCGGTTAAACGCTGGTCGTTGGCTCATGTCAACATTTAGGGAATGGTCTTCAAATTGCCGTGCAGTTGAAGGCTGGGTCGAAGGTTGTTGACTGCAATATCGAGGCGCATCAGCACCCGGCGTACCCAACTGTAGCACCCCAAGCATACTGTGTTGCATCAACAGCCGGCGTGCCCAACTGCTCCGTGTTAGCACCCCAGGCATACTGTGTTGCATCGACAGCAGGCGTGCCCAACTGCTCCGTGTTAGCACCCCAGGCATACTGTGTTGCATCGACAGCCGGCGTGCCCAACTGCTCCGTGTTAGCACCCCAGGCATACTGTGTTTCATCAACAGCCGGCGTGTCGACCTGTTGCATGTCATAGAGTTGCGCATCAACGACTGGGTTCTGCGAGTTCTGCACGCTTGACGTCCTTTCCTCTGATGCAAAATGTGGAGCTGCCGACTGTTCACTCTCCATGGCGGGTATTCCTGATAATTTACTCACTGTTTCCGGCCCACCTGATTCCCCTCGGTCTTGTTGGTTTGTTTCGCACGTGCCATACGAATTTGGTGTCGAAGGAATCCGTGTCGCATATGGGCTTGGTGCGGGTAATCCTGTAATACTCGAGGTGCTTGGTTCGAAAATGGGTCTGATCCAAAATCTGTCGTATGGCCGATGGCCATGGATATTTTTTTCGATATTGCTCGGAGAGTTGGACGAGGGCCCAATATGTGCCATGGAAGCTTGTGTGCGCCTTCTTTTGCCAGGAGGTAATCTCAGGGAGGATATGGCCCGCTTCTGTTTTCCATTCTGGCCATCAATTGCATGTGGGGAGTTCGTGGGCTGATTTTGAGGCGATGAGCGGCAGACGTATTCCTCATGAATTTTCCTATATGTCATTGATAGTGAATCCCGCATAGAGAAGGCACGCAAATGTTCGATGTATGCATTCACCGCACTGATTTCGATCGACACCCATTTTCTCCGTTCGAAACTAAGGTATCTGTTTAGTTGGAAAGAATTTGCTCTCTTTTATCAGCATAACTAACCTTTTCACAGAAGTGGATTGGAGAGAAAGAACCATGCAACTGGGCTTGATTTGAGCCCATTTTTTGCCCTTGCAGTATTGGTCATATAGCCTCGAGCGTTGCTTCCTGATCTCTTCCTTCGGGAGTTGACGCCAGATCTTCTCCGCGGTGCTATCTAACACCCTTGTGAGTATCTTTCTGGGCTCCTGGGGTTCAAGGGACTCCTTGTGGTTCTTCTTGTATTCCAAACTCCGGGCTCTCACTTCTTCTTCAATCGATTCGAAAACTTTGATGGAATTGACCACGCGGCGTACAGGGCTAACATGCTTGATCTGCTGGGAATCGTTAAAGCAGAATTCGACAAGCCCATGCCAGCCAGGACACTTTGTTGCTTTTGAGTCAAAAAAAGTTTTAGGTTCCGATGTCCAACGCGCTGCCGATTTTTTGAGCTCTTCTAACTCATTATCATCAAGCTCCCAATTCTCAGTGATAGTTGCAAGTGAGGAGATCTGTTCAGCGGATAAGGCTTGATCTCCTGACTCGAAGTTTTGAAAGAATTCATGTCGTGTGGGCCCGCGTGTATTCTGGCGGCGGATTGCTGCAGTAACAGCTTTGAAAAATGATGTTGTGTCGTTCGGGGAATCGCATAGAGTCTTCAGGAATTCTCCAATGTCCTAGAATATGTAAGTTGGAAGAAAGAAATAGAAATTGACCTGTGCATACCTCCTCCCCTAAATTGCAGACAATATCTCCAAGCTCGGAGAGCTTTGTTTTCAATCGGCTGTCGAGAACCTGCCTTCAGTTAGCTTCCGATCAGGAAATAGGCGACGGCAAGTTACCGTAGAACTAATTCTATTTCCCATTCCCGCGGTGTGAAAGGGATGTTGATGACAACTGTCAAGTTGGGAGATTGGTTGGAGATGGTTGAGGATGGGGACCTTCAAAAGGAGCAGCTGCGATTCCTTGGCATTCGCTAGCGGGAAGGATAATTGTCTTAACAAATATCCTTCCCGCTAAAACTTTTAGCGCGCCAACAACTTCTTGATGCGTTGTTGATTTATCGGTTTCTTCTCAGTTTCTCCTCGCCAAAGCTGCGCCGTGCGTGCGAAGGTACAAGGATGACCTAGACCCTCAGCAAGAGTATTGAGCCCGAAAACGAGATTTTTTTGGATTTCCTTCGCCCAATGAGGACAGTCGAGGGCAGGGGGACACTTGAGTCAATCACCTGGGAGCGCGAGTGCGATCAAACCCAGTTTGAGTCCGTGCCATCCTCATGCAAAGGGATCACAACAGATTATCAACAATAGTGCAACTATTTGTACAGACCCTGGACAACTGCCATCCAAAATTTGCTGAAATGGGGATGGCATACCCCTTCGACCATCGAAAAGCCCTCATTCGAGGCGCACAGAGAGTGGCTGCCTGATAGTTAAAAACCACAAGACATCGCTCCGCGATGGATCATTTCAAAGTGGACCAACTTGGCTGCCTTTTTATGAAAAATGTATCCTAACATCTTGTATGCGCTTCTGTCGGTGGCGCTCATCGTGCTAAGTATGGTGCATCTCATCCTGCTTACCGTTCACCGCCCCCAGCCTCACCGTTTGCCTGAGATATCAATCTTCGTTCTCTTTATCTGCGTCAATGCTGTTGTCATTGGCATTAGTCTATCAGGCTTAAGGCGCGGGGGTGAGCAGTCCCTTCTACCGAGATGGTGATGATAAATGCTAAAAGCTTGTCAGATACGCCAGCATTTTACTATCCCTTGGGAATATGTACAGCATTCCCGCTAGCCCTAGAGGTTTGTTATTCCCAGCCCTTTTATTTCATCCTCGCTAACTGTGATGTCTAGATGATCCGGCAGACCAAAATCCAGGCTGGACCACTTACGAACGCCCTGCTGCGTCGATTATTTCTAGGATATGGTTTTCTGTCCCCCGCGGTAAAGCTCGGGTTGATCTTATGGTGTGTGTGCTCTTCTCCCCGATCTTGATAGGCCTTGTGCTCATTTAGTTAGCTCGGTCGTCTACGAGGCGTCGGTGAAAGGTACAGCTGTGGTCGTGTCTATCGACTACACGGTACTCGCGATTGCTGGTCTGCTTTTTTGGCGCGGAATTCGCGGTATACCATCTCAGGGGCCTGTAATCTGTGAAGTCACAATCCATGCACTTCTTGTTCTCGTAACAGCAGGGTTTGCCGCAGGTGGACTCGTCCACGACTGGCCCTTCTGGATCGAAGTAAGTTCAGTGAAACCACAGCTCTCGCTCCAACATGTGCTGACATGCTCCCAGGTGATGTTGATTATCGCTATTGGTGCCTATATGGCTCGAAATAATTCCACTCATTCTGGCGAACCGGGGAACACTGTGCCGTTAGCGAACTTCACGGACAACACATCCGATTTAGGCCAGCTCAGCCCCCACCAAGAAAGTCGTTCTGCTCGCCTCCCTTTCATGACCGAGGAAAGCTATACACAACTAGACGAGGTTCGGACGGCTCGCCCTGAATCAGCACATCTGGTACGTCACCCTCCCCTGTTTCTGCTGGATGGTCTAACAGTAATTTCCAGAAAATTAGGGCGGTGGCCTCAATTTACTATCCGGACCGGCCGATCCTGGAGACGGGTATCTTTGCTGTATTATGCGAGGGGTCTGAGGGGGACTATCGGCGGGACCTGCGATATGATGAATTGACTGCTTGTAGCGACGGGGAAGCTGCGATTCAATCGTACCGGCTAGGGTACAGATTGCACTGATCCATGGACGCCTATATAGTTTCTCAGTTCCCTTGTACAGTTCACCATCTCTCAGTGTGTTTTATTTGACTTTTCCCTGGCCACGTTGAATAGTTTTAGCTATTTCCGTCTAAATAAAATACCATAACAATACTAATTAACCTAGCTTCCGAGTTTCATTTCCATTCTTGCCTTTATCCCTGCTGTGGAAAGCCATACTGAGAAGCTTGTCGTGCGGCTGGATGCTTCTACTTCACAAAAGAGGCGAACCCGTAAGTATCCTGTTTGACGGGCTTATCACCCAGAAGGATATTAAAGCTCAAGACTCAAGCACAATTTCTCCAGAGCTAATACGATATTCTTTGCCTGCATGGCCTGGCGAAGGTACAGTGGAGTACACAAACGGTTACTTTAGGCACGGCAGCAAGTAAAGTGATTCTGGTTTTGAGAGGTATATGGTTCTCTTAGAATGTTCTTTTCACTGTGTGGCTAACACCTCAGATAGGCGGAAGAGAACAAGCACCCTAGCGATGCGAGAAAATGCAGAACCCAACAAAAGAACCGACAGATCTCAAGATCGAGATGACGACCAAACCACGGCCCATGTTCCACAGACCGAAATAGGGAGGAAAAGGCGAACCGAAGTTCGCCAACGTCTGAGGCTCTACTGCTGTGTATGTAGGGAGGATGTTAGCAGCGGGGGGGAATGTCAACTATGTGGCCATACATCGTGTCCGGAGTGCTTGCACGAAAGGAGACTGCGTAGGGAAAGATCTGTTGATCGATCACACAAACCGAACCAAGCGAATAGATGTCATGATGCTCAGACAAACAACCAAACGCGCGCAGTCCCGGCGACGCTTAGCCAAGCTATCGAGATCGATGAAGACCCGGAAACAGAAACAGACTCTGTGCTCGAGATGTTGCCTTATTCTAAACCGAAGCAGAAGTGGAGAGAGCAACAACAAAAACGACAGACCTGGGTTAATCGAGCCATCAAGTGCTGCTCCTGCGAAGTAACTGGCTCGGCGGTCAACAAATGCGCATGTGGGCATGAGTATTGCGGAATATGCTTTCATTATTCTGTTGACTAGTTGCAAACTTGCTGGTTACATTTTCACGGACTTTCGGATCAACAATTTTTCCGACAGCTTAAGCACACAGAATGCCTTCATAAAAAAGCTTCTCTAGATTTTGACCCTATCAGCTTTCAAGCTAGTTACAATATTTCAAGATGTAGAATGTATATTGCAATAGGTTAGGTCCGCTGTCTACCGACAGCACAGCTAATTATGACTACCCTTTGTGTGTCTCGTTCACCGAGAGATAATCGAGGGGCCATGCAAATATCGGCTCCGGTTGGGCGAGGTGTATCTGCTCTTAACATTCCAAAGGTGATAAGAAGCGGTTCTTGCCTCCATTGACATCCCCTTAAAATATTTCCCACAAGCCAACCCGGCAGATTTTGTCATGCGGAGATGGTGAGTTCCACACCACCTGTCCATTCTCTCTGTGCTAAGAAATTTCAGGAGCCCAATTCCCTCGGCGCGAGACAGTCAACCACATGTTCAACCCGCCAGCGAAGATATCGCGATAGAAATTTCACTGGTTGTTCGACCTGCAAAGCAAGGCATGTCAAATGTGATGAAGCAGCACCTGCCTGTCGCAACTGCATAAAAAGGGGTTTGCACTGCGATGGTGCAAGACTCTACAGATTCGTTAACCCCGGTTCTGTAAAGGGAGAGTATAAAGCTTTCAGAGGGAAAACGGATCATCAGCTCCAAACGACGGTGTCTCCAGCTCACACCCATCGCCATATAAGGATCCAACTTCCCCCTGCCTACGGTCCGTTACAAAGTGGGATCCACGCTTCCACGGAATCTCTTGCCATGGTGAGTCTATTCTTCACCAACTTAAGGAGAGCCAGCTAACGTAGGCAAGGATATTGAACCTATTAATCCCACCGCTGGTGACGGCAAGCCCCCGCTTCAATATACTCTCAACGATGAGGCTCGCGATCTCGAGTCCCATTCCTCCAGCTATAACCCGTACTCGATTGACGAAGCTAATTGGTACTCAGAATATCCCAATATCCGTGGTGATGTATGGAATTCCCCTGAAATTGACATCGCCAATGCTAATTCTGAATAGGTGTTTCATGGCAATGAAGAAGTACCCTTGACTTTCATTGTTTGCATCTCGGAGCCTGTACTTCAAGAGCAGCTAAAGTATTTGAAGGCTCATACTTCTCATCTACACTTTGTCTTTGGCGCATTCTCTGAGAATAGTTTTGACGGACCTCTGGCATTACCGTACGCGCTCTGTCTGTTAAAAATTCTCCGGCAACACGCAGGACAGCAACTGTCTGAGAAGAGGTTGGATGATACCATCCAATTCCTCTCCACACGGTTGAGAGGGCTTCTGTCAACACCTCTGTTTAATACCGGTCGAGGTCGCATAAGTCGTGTATCACTTCTATTTCGACGACAGGTGTTTCACAAGCGTCCACCTAGGCCCCTCTGGCCGGAAGAATCTTGGAAACGGAGCACTGTTTGGGGTTTCACCCTGGATGGCAACCTAACTCTGACATTGTTTCTTGATGGACAATACCGTTTCAAGGTGCCCGATGAGGTTTGGAATGGTTTTAGCTCCTTGGATTCGGGTATTGCTGATGTGGCTGTCATCTTTGGCGTTGGCTAATGTATTTTATCACTTTCTCGGCCGGTCTGCTACTGCAGGGGGATAGTGTTGTTGGTTAACTCTATGTTCAGTACAAGGTCTTCGCCATCCTCGTTTTAACTTAGTCACGACGACGTCCTTGTGGAAATGAGAAGACAACCAGCAATTTACTGGTGCGGTTGAGATTATCCAGACAGATTATATTTCAAAACACAATAAATTATATAAGTCACCAATAAAATGAAATATTTGTAAATATATTTGTGAAATCCGAAGTGCCCGGCGGCTGCGTTTTTTTTTTTTTTTTTTTTTTTTTTTTTTTGCACATTGATGCATTGTCCGCTCGCACCTGCATTCGTGTGCAGTTTGGCACCGGCGCCCTTATGTTGATCCGGGAAATGGCACCACTGTCCCATTGCAACTGGTTTGTAGGGCCCAAACGTTTGTCTCTCGCTTGTTTTATACTTGCTACACTAGAGGAAGTGCCGTCAGCCCTCCTGTACCTTCGTGGCTTATTAGGTATGGATGGCCATGCACATATTGATTTCCAGTTGGGTTGGTCGAAGCGAAGAACCATTTGTTCACGGTCTCCGTTCCCCGGGCGGGAAACAGTCAAGGTAAGGCTGGCTTGCACTCTGGACCTTGTTGTGTCTCTTGCTAGACTCCATAAAGAGAGGCCTTGCACCCACCCTTCTCCCATCTCTTATTCTCTACACACGTCGGAAACGACGCTAGCCGGCATGGGATCACAGAATCCCAATCTCAACCATCTCCTTGGCCCCCGTTCCAAAAGAGTTTTTAGCTGCTTTCTAGTTTTTACCCTTCCTTTTATCGTGCTTGGCTTTGTCTTCTGGGTTACCCTCTGGATGGTCGCAAAAGTCGCAGTGTGGTTGCCTGCCCAGTTGGTCAAAATATTTCCTCAGCCACAAAGAGGAAAGACAAAACGGGATTGAACAAGAGTTGTTATTATCCAAGTCCTCGAAGAAGTGAAAATCCCAGAACGACAGATGCCCAAAGAAATCAAAATAGCTCAGGAGGTGCCGCCAGTCGTGGTTGATGATTCTGAACCGAGACTGGCTGCAAGGCGAACGAGGGAGCCGCCCAAAGATGCCGGCCAGATATACGGTGATCACCCAGATTGCCGCAATCATATCCGATACTTCAAGAGCCTCAGTGAGTGGAAGTATGTACCCTTTTTGGCTATGATTCCTATTTCTTTAAAAATCTATGTGTTAACTACCTTTAACAGCAAACACATGAAGAAACACGACCGTCCATACAAGTGTACGAACCCAGGTTGCAACCAGCGGTTTACTCAGTCAGGTGTCATGCACCGTCATGTACGCGAGGTTCATTGCGAAGGGAAGAAGTGGATGTGTCCTTATCCAGACTGTAATAGCAGCTCAGGAAAAGGATTTAAAAGAAAGGGAGGTCTCGACACCCATATCCGCTACGTTCATACGGAAGCAGGAAGGAATTCTCTCCGCGCTCAAATTGCTCAGCTTCAGCGGGAAGCTATGCAAAGGGATTCAAGGCTGGATAAGCTGGAAAGGGAGCTGAAACAGGCACTTTCTCCTTCTGTTCGGCTCCCTTCCTGTGCGGAGCTTGAAGCGGGAGTTTCAGGAAATTGATTCCACAAAACCAAACTGCACATGTTCAAGGCTATCGGACGATGATTATTGGTTTAAGATATGTTGATGGCCTGTATTTAATCTTCTCTATGTGATTCAGGGCCCTGTTTTGTTTTCTGGTGTACATGCGTCGTTTGTTCGTGGTTGATATAAATCAAAGGAAAATGATTGGCTATCCAACAATAGAATCATCCTTTCTCGCGCTAATGAAGGGGTGGCTCGAGGCCATCGGGGGCGGCTGGCGCTCATTATATAGAGCCATGATGGGATTAGGCGGATGGGCAGGGTGAGGAGGGCGACCCAAAAGGAGGCCGAAGAGCGAGAGGAGCCGTTTCTGGTGGCCCTGAACGAAAAGGACCGTGGCCATCGAAGCGACCAGAACGCCAGCGGGAGAGAGCAGGCGCGCGCGAGACGCCTGATCGTTGGACCCACCACGAGCTCACGTGTGAACGGTGGTTGGGGCGTGGCGGTTGGGGCGGCGGGCCGTGGACGGAGCGCGTTGCGCTGGACAAGCCGAAAATGGCGTGAAAACAAGCCCAAAGCGGCCGCCCCCGAGCAGAACGAAATTAACAGATAGTATTTTAGGTAGATGTCATAGTCACTGACTGCATACATCTATAATGGAAGAATAATAATAATAATTATTATCTGATTTAATTTATTATTTCTGAGCTGAAAATCTATATTGTGAGTATTAAATCTTGTCTTTCATTAATTTTTCTATGTTTCTGTTATATTTCTAACATCATTCAACACTAAGCATTCCTTCTGTATAACCAACTCTTGCTTGTATGTAACATTACACAAGAACTCATCATAAGCACTGCTTGCATACAAGTATAACAGAAGAATAATAATAATAATAATCATTGTGAGCAATTGTTTTGTAAGTGATCATTTATTTCTACTTTTTATAAACACCCACTCTGCCTCTGCTCTCTGTAAGCAATGATTTTATTCATTTCTTCAGAAATGAAATCATTATTGTTTTTTTAATATAATATATTATCAGCATTTATGAAGTTTTTTTTTTTTTTTCTCATAGAGTTTTGATTGTTTTTCTCTATACTGTTATTGCTTTATATATCTGAAAAAGTGATTATTTTAAAAAATTATAACATTGTAGAATAAGATATACTGAAAAGAATTTTCAATGTTTTATTTGATTTCTTTATCATGAATGATCATACATTAAGTCAGAAGTGGATGAAAAGTTATTTTAAACAAAGTTTATTTAATAATTGTCATTTGAATCCTATTTTTTCTTTTTATATACATAGAAATCTTTTCAGTATGATATATTTTCATGTTTTTTAGAAAATCTCTAAAATGCAGACACTGTCTGCATCTTTTCTGAGATGTTAAGTTTATACATACATATATACAAGCCTTTTTGTGAACAAAATCAATTGCCACAGACATTTAAACACAACAGTTTATATATTTAATGATGAGTATTCAGATCTTTTAATGTAATGATGCATTCAAATATAAAAATTAATCACAAGACACTCAAGTTTTAAATGTAGAAGAATCAATTTATAATATAAAGAGTGTATTTTGATTGACAATTAACATTATTCTAATACAATATATAAATTGATTAAAAAAAAAAAGAAAGAAAAATAAAATCAGAAGAAATAATTGTATGAAAAAGTTTTTTATAAAAAAAGAAATGAAATAAAAAAATATTAAAAATTATATTGTAATGAAGTGCAGAAGTGAAGAATGTTGAGAGTTATATAAAGAAATCATTAAAACTATATATATACAAAATGAAGATTATATGAAAGGATTGTTATTATTATTATTATTCTTCCGTTATACTCGTATGCAAGCAGTGCTTATGACGAGTCCTTGTGTAATGTTAAATACAAGCAAGAGTTGGTTATACAGGAGGAATGCTTAGTGTTGAATGACGCCCAGAATATAACAGAAACATAGGAAAATTAATAAAAGACAGGATTTGGTACTCGCGATACAGGTTTCCAGCCCAGAAACAATAAGCTAAATCAGGTAGTAGGTCCGCCCGAAGGTACCTACTTGGCAAGTTCACATCCCTTTATTTTAGGAGCTGAGAAGTTGGCTCTGGATGTAATGTTGTCCCCTTGTGGGTTTCGAATCCACGCGCCTTAGGTCCCCACGCCAAGGCGCTACCGGGTGGCCGCATTACCCATTCGGCCACCGGGGCATGAAGGGATTGTTAAAAGTTATATAAATATAGAGTGGAGCCATGAAATGTTGGTTGTGTAAACTAGCTACTAACAAATGCTAATCTGTCACAGCACCACAATTTCCCTCAGATGTATATTCTAAAATGAACATTTCAATGTGTTCAATTGATGACAGTGATTGTCTATACTTTTAAGATAAGCAATGAGCCTTTGATTCAGAATTCTTATAAATGTGAATCATGTAAGAGATTTATGATTTGTTGATGATTGAACATTCAAAACATGAAATCATGTACAACATCATTATTTAAAAATTTTATTGATTGAATATATTGAAAAATGTATATTGATTTATACACAACTGTGATCACTGCAGCTCAGTGACAGTATGATGTAAATGTTGAAAAAAAATACTGAAGCTGCTACTTATTTCTAAATAAATATGATAAAATATGATTATTAATTTTGTAATTTCTTTATCTAAGAGTGAAGATTCTATTAATATTATAATTGTTATCAATTATTTCTGTAAAGATGTGATACTACAATTATGTGATAAAATGAATGCTGAAATCATTGCAGATGCTCTTATTAAAAACTCATTTCATTATATATATAATTTATCTTCATTTATTATGTTAAATAAAAATAATTAATTTATAAGTACTGTAGCGTACGCAGCTCAGTAGGATAATACACGTCTGATTCTCTAAAAGATGAAGATGGGCGGACGCCCCTATATATACATGCTTGTGATTCCTGCGGAAGGAGCGATCGCAGGGTTATAAAAGGAAGGATAGAAGCCTTGAGTAGGGGCGGAAGAAGGAAGGGGTGGAGCGGAAGCTCTGGGAATCAGCGAGGGGTGGGTAGGGGCGTAAGTACGCCACAAGTACTTTTTAAATCTGTGTATATCAGCTGCTAAAAATCAAATGAAAATTGTTAATAATATATCATTCAAAGATTGATGAAGTTATTGAAAAAATGATATAAATAATTAAAAACATTGTTTAAAAATTTTATAATTATATATAGGACAATTGGAATAATCTGCTACTGTATACTGAGATAATTATAAACAATTGAGATTTTTTTCATAATTGATGTAAACTCATTTTTTCTTTTATATAAATATAATTTAGAGATTTTAAACTTCTCTGAGATTCTCTGAAAAATCACATACACTCACAATTTTATATAAACAGTGAAGAATATTGTGAGCAAGTTTAAGAAAACTCATAAATGAGTAAAAACTTTAATAATCAGTATTTAATAAAATTATAAAAATTAAATAAACATCAGAAAAAGTTCTGCAATTTAATATTGTGTAGAAGATAAAATTCAATTGAATTTCAAAAATATAAAAATGAATTGCATTTTATATATATTAAATTATCATTATATTAAATACACAGTAATAAAAGTGCTGAGCATTCATAATTATCGATTTAATATTTCATTCAATATTTATGATGTCTTTTATACAAATCTGTTTCAATCTGCAGCTGAAAATTCATTCTTCTCACAGAAAATTTTCAATTAACAATCATCTGTCATTATAAAAGAAAATAATAAATTTGAATGCGAGATTGAAGCAGTTTTCAATAATAGAATTAATCATCATCATTATAAATATTTTATTAAATAAATAAAATATGATTGTCTGATCTGAGAATTTGCATTCATTATGAAAAACACTGCTGCCACTTTTAATGTCTACAAATTTTCACTCATCTCAGTAGAGAGGGATAATGTGATGAGTTAAAACTCATTAATAATTAATTTATACAATCAATATCTCATAACTCTCATTTTATATTTATGTAGCTTCTAACAATTTTTCTATATAATTTCTACTTTGTATATATATAGTTCTAATAATTTCTTTATATAATCTTTAACATTTTTTCACTTCATACTTCACTATAATACAATCTTCAATATTTTTTTATTTTATTTTTCTTTTATAAAATTTTTTTTATACAATTCTTTCTTCTGGTCTTCTTTCTCTTTCATTCTTTTCTTAATCAATTCATAAATTGTATTAGGATAGTGCTAGCTGTTAATCGAAGTACGCCCCTTACATTCATGATTATAAACTAATTATCGTCTCGAGAAACCCGCAGTGCTCCATAGAAACGCGGACACGCCTCCCTCTAATCAACCATGAGCGAAAGGCCAAAAAAAAAAAAGGAAAAAAAGAAGGAATGCCAGAGAGCAAAGGAGTTTAAGACAGCTGAAAAAGGAGAATAACAAATAAATAACACAAATAACATAAAAAGGAAAGGAAAGGGAAAAAAAGGAAAAGATACAAGCAATATATAGTTTATAGAAATACAAATGGAACATGATGAAAATGGATGAAACACAGCGAAAAGAAGGGGGGAAATATTGCACATTCGAATCCGGACTCCCAGTGTAAATGCACGGTTGAATTTTGGGAAGGCGAGTGGGGATCCTGCGTTCTCCGGTTTTAACGGGCCAGCGTTAAAACGATAAGGGAAGCCGGAGGGTGGTATATTTCCATCCTTTGATGCACTAATAAAGATGGTTGAAAGAAAGCTGCAGCAAGGGGAGGAATAGAAGGAATAGAGTACAGCCTTGAGTTAATGGATTGGAAAGAGTGCTTAGAAAAATAAAATAACAATAACAATAACAATAACAATAATTACCACCAAGTCCTCAGCAGCACCTCGCCTGCCGAGTCTGAGTCGACCCGACCGGTACGTCGACTAGTTCCTCGCTCAGCACCAGACCAGGGGGGAAACCCGAGCCAACTCCGTCTTTTATCTGCTGTCCCGCCGCGCAAGCTACTGTTCCCATCAGGCACGGCTCCAGGAGTGTGGGAGGGCGGCCTCTCCGAGCCTCCTGACCCTCCCCGATGGGCTGCGTCGGCGTCTACCATTTTATTCCGCTGCTCGACAAGCTTGCGGGGTGATGACACGGAAGACCTCCTCGATCCCCTCGCCGTCCTTGGCGCTGATCTCGTGGCAGCAGTCCCAACCAATATCCTGGCCCCAGAAGCCGCTACTTCGCTTGCTCTCTGCACCTGGGTTGTAGATTGGGTTTGAGGTTCCGAAGGCGGAGCTGCTGGAGATGCCCAGGCCGGAGCTGGGAGGTGGGGTGGATGCTTGGGATGGGTAAAGTTGTTCCGCAACGTACGCGATGGTGCGTTCAAAGGGGACCTGGCGTAGGTTAGGGTCATGCGCTACGATATCCGATTTGGTGCCTACGACGTGGATGACGATGGGGGAGTCTTCACCCAGGTTCTGTTTCAGCTCAACTAGCCAGCCGGTCATTTCCTGAAAGCTACTCTCGTCTGTGATGTCGTAACATAGCAGGCCGGCGTTAGCCCCCCGGTAATAGAGGCGGGAGATACTGCGGAAACGTTCCTGGCCGGCGGTGTCCCAGATCTGCAGACGGACGAGAGTGTCCGAGGTTGTGTCAAGGACGCGTTTAGTGACGAAGGAGGCACCGACCGTGGAAGTGGTTGTAGCCGGATTAAAGGCATTTCTCACATAACGTTGGACGAGGGATGTCTTCCCAACACCTATGAAATAAGGAAAGAGATGTGAACATATGGTTTGCTACAGACGCATACTTTATTCAGGAGATTAGATTACCTTGGGCACCCAGGACAACGATCTTCGCCTCGAGACTGGAGCTCATAGCGAAGGTGGAATGCAGCAGAATGTGTGCATGGCCTACGAGAGTGTGGTGAGAGTGAGTTTATCTGAGGATATACAACTGCGTTGAAAGGGTTCGAGTCGGACGAGATTCTACTTGGGAAACAAAGAAACTCCGCGTCAAGGGATGATGAAGTGAATTAAGTGTCTTCTTCACGGTGTGGTATCTGTGGTGAGTAACTGACATCTACCGAGCGGAGCAGAGGGGAAGAGACAGGAGTCATGTAGAGCAGGCAGATACGTTGAGGGAATGATCTCCGTAGTGGAAGCAAGGCTGAGACGGCGAGCGTGACCGTCCAGAACCAGGTCAGCAGAGGCCGGTCGCCCAACACGTGAAGGAAGAGTCCGGATTAGTGAACGACGGTGGTAGTGGGGAGTGTGTGTCAATCAGTCACTCAGTCAGCATTTGTCCGCGTATTTGTCCGTCCGGACATGCTTATGCGCGGGCCGTCAATCTGGATGTCTTGGATGTGTTGGATGTATGTCGAGATAGTAAATCTGATGATGGATCGGGCGTATTGTCCCTGCGACGTTGTTACACGCAGAAGTAAAGGATAAACGTTTCTCCTTGGGGTAGGTTAACTAGCGGTAATCTATTCTGCACGGTGATTTGGTGATATATTACCACTAGTATAACTAGTTAACTAGTTAACTAAAAATGACGTCGTTACCTAATCACCGGCAGAGAACCTCTAGTTAGATACTTTCCACGTTTCTTCATGTTTGCAAAACGCACGCGCGGATCTGTTCCAGCAGATCGATACTGGATGTTGAAAGGAGACCGACTATATCATCATGATAGGCGATACATACATTGATTGTCATCGAACAGACGGTTGTTAGTTTCCGTTCAATTGAGTTCAATCCCTCAAGTCTGGTAAGTCAAAATACCCTTTCTCCACATCTGCGCAGCGGACATTTTTACTCCTGAGCCTAAATATCTCGCACGAGAACATCTCACTTCTTTCTTTGACTCCTTTAAATTCGTGAATCTCCTGGCTTTCGTTTCGTCAAATTCTCGGTTATCAGTACTGCCAGCATCTTCATCATACCTTCCAAGCAACTCTCATCCTAGATCCGCGTCTTCCCACGTCCCAACCATCCACCGCTGCCATGCCGTCGGACGAAGAGGTCGGGGGAAAACTTCTTACAGGCCCAGAGATACAAAAACACAACTCCAAGAACTCATGTTGGATCATCGTCCATGGAAAAGCATTCGATGTCACGGAATTCCTCCCTGGTATATAGCAACAAAACCAACCCACCCCGATCCACCTCACTAATTTATTTTACCCATTTTTTTGTACATGTACATACAGTCCATGCTAATACCAATAAAGAACACCCCGGCGGCCAGGATATCATTCTAAAGTATGCCGGGAAAGATGCAACCGACGAATTCGAGCCCATCCATCCCCCCGACACCCTCGACAAATACCTTGACTCTTCAAAACATCTGGGCCCAGTAGCTATGGACACCGTCATGCACGAGGATAAAGCTGTCGATCCCGAGGAGGAAGAGCGCCAATTCCGAATCCAGCACATGCCTCCGTTAGAGCAGTGTTATAACCTCCTAGATTTCGAAGCTGTGGCCCGTCGCATTATGAAGAAGACAGCCTGGGCTTATTATTCCAGTGGCGCAGATGATGAAATGGTACGTTTCTCTCTTTCCATAAATTCATATTCAATATATATTCAGAGAGGAAAACATAAATATATATATATATATATGTGTGTGTGTGTGTGTGTGTGTGTGTGTGTGTGTGAGCTAATACATCCCTGAACTAGACCCTCCGCGAAAACCACTCCGCCTTCCACAAAGTCTGGTTCCGCCCGCGCATCCTTGTCGACGTCCAAAACGTGGACATCTCCACCACAATGTTGGGCTCTCCTACTTCCGTCCCCTTCTACGTCACCGCCACCGCCCTGGGAAAACTTGGTCATCCGGAAGGTGAAGTCTGTCTCACCCGTGCCGCAAACACCCACAATGTCATCCAAATGATCCCCACCCTGGCTTCCTGTTCCTTCGACGAGATCGTTGACGCTCGCGGCCCAGACCAGGTCCAATGGCTGCAACTATACGTCAATAAGGACCGCACCATCACCAAGCGCATCGTCCAGCACGCCCAACAACGTGGCTGCAAAGCGCTCTTCATCACCGTCGACGCACCCCAGCTCGGCCGCCGTGAGAAAGACATGCGCTCTAAGTTCTCAGACCGTGGGTCCGCAGTGCAAGCAGCAGATGGGAAATCAGAGTCCTCCATGGATCGCTCGCAGGGTGCCGCCCGCGCAATCTCCTCCTTCATTGACCCATCGCTGAGCTGGAAAGATATCCCCTGGTTCCAATCCCTCACCGACATGCCCATTGTCCTCAAGGGTGTGCAGCGGGTCGATGACGTCCTCCGCGCGGTGCAAATGGGGATCCCCGCTGTTGTGCTGTCGAACCATGGCGGCAGGCAGCTGGAATTTGCGCCGTCGGCCATCGAACTGCTGGCGGAGGTCATGCCTGAGCTACGCAGGCGTGGATGGCAAAATCGCATCGAGGTGTATATTGATGGTGGCGTGCGGCGGGGGACGGATATCCTTAAAGCGCTATGCCTGGGTGCGAAGGGGGTGGGTATCGGACGGCCGTTCCTGTATGCGATGAGCGCGTACGGAATGCCTGGCGTCGAGCGGGCTATGCAGCTGTTGAAAGATGAGATGGTTATGAATATGCGGCTGATCGGATGTTCGAATATTGGCCAGTTGTGCCCAGACTTGGTTGATGCCAGGGGCCTAGCGGTGAAGACTGTGCCAAATCCGGTGGATTCGCTGGGGTTGGAGGTTTATGATCCACTCGGGTTACCAACAGATAGACTGCCGGCGCCGGCGGCAAAGTCGAGGCTGTGATTTTATGTTCTAGATTTTATAGTTTTGAAATTCGGTCTGGGATATATTTATGGTCATGATGATGCTGGTGTTGAACCTTGGATTCTTATACCATCGCTGCCCATATATTTCATTTTGCGAGTTGTAAATACATGCACATGCTCCGTCATTGTTGGTGGAGTTGTATATATCAAACTCATCTAGTCTTCCTCCCGCTTTCCCCGATTCTCCCGGCCTAATTCTTCCCCTATATATAATCCCCTATATCTCAATCACAGTCGCCCCCCTTAATACCTTCCCACTCCCATCCAAACAAGCGGCATTAACTATCCACCCTTCCCGTCCCAACCCCAGCCCCATAGCCCTTCCGCCCTCACCAACACTGCCCCACAGCCTCCCCACAACTACCGCCTTAAGACCTTCCCAAACAACCCTCCACGCCATGCCCCACACCCCACCGACCCCGCCCACGCCCAAATCTCTCCACCACCCGCCCCCTCTCACAAAGCTCCCAATTCCGCTCCCACGCTCCCATAATAACCCCTGCTCCGACCGCTCCGCACATAGCGCCTCCCATGCCTCCTGCACACGGTGGTAGTAACACCTGTCACGCCGCGTCACACATGCACGTGGCCGCAGACATGTAGACGCGGGCGGTCACGCCAGATTGCGCGGAGGACATAGGGACAGCCGACGGAGTAGGGGTAATTGTCGAGATGGTAGGCGGGAGGCGTGTGGGTGACTAAGATGTCGATGTGATGGGTGATGGGGGTGGGATAAGGGTAAGCGTGGAAGTCGCTGATCCCGGATGTGCCAGCAGCAGCAGCATCATCAGTAGTAGTGGTAGTGGTAGTGGCAGTGGCAGTGGGATCAAGGGAGGGGGGATATTGGAAGGCGTGCACTGAATCCGGTGAAGGGTCCAGCTGTGGGATTTGCGGGGCGCCGTGAATCGTCAGCGTCCGAGATGGGGCATTGGCACTTGTCGTATGGTGGCTAGATCTGCCACTATCAGCGGAAGCGGGAGACGGAAACGTGAGGGTCAAGCTGCTGTTCTGCAGGTAATGGATAGAGCCCCAATCGATGGCCTGCGCGTCGCCATCACCAGCCCCATCCTCCGCATCGCACGAGGAAATGAAGCCCCGAATACTCGTATCTAACCACCCGTCATGATTCCCAGCCACAACCACCTTGTGAGCATGCGGTAGCGTCTTCAGCCAATCCACCGCCAACTGAATATCCGCCCGCGTCCCGCTGTTCGTCAAATCCCCCGCGTGAATCAGCAGGTCTCCATCCGGCACGCTGGGTAAGTGATAGTCGTGAGTGTCAGAAATGCAAACGACGCGGATGGGGCGTTGGGAGGGGGTGCGGGTGCATGGGGCCGGGCGGAGGTTGAGGAGGAGAGCGTGTAGCGGGCGGAGGACGAATAGGAGAGGGGATGCGAGGAGGTGGGCTGCAAGCGGCGGGGGATCAAAGGGGCTCATCAATGCAGCGGGGAGATCCGTGGGGTTTCAGCAGGGTATTCTGTTCTCTTCTGCACTGGGAGGGAAAATTATTTGGTTCAAGCTATTCAATAAATAATAACTCCGAGGTCAGACCCGCTATATTTAATCATGAACTTCTATGTTTAAACCCTTCGGAAACACATGCGTCCTCGAAAAAGAAAGGAAAGGAAAGAAGGAGAAAAGAGAGAGAAAAGAAAAAGAACTTCCAAGTCAAGCTCCAAGATCCACAGCGCATAACGACTATATCACAACAAGCCGCCGTCGAACGACGGCTATCTTGGAAGTATAATACTGAATATTATAGGCGTTTGGAGAGGTGAGATTTCCAGAATTCGACTGGACTGTTGCAAAAATAGAAAAACGCTCCACTGCAATGAACATTATGTGGCATACGAATAAAGCCAAAACAAGCCATCTCGATTGCTCTTCAATAATCGGGGGAGACACCCTTCCCCTTGCTAAATAATGCATTCTTCGCCCAGATGGAAAGCCCCAAAAAATCCCTATGGGCAGCTTTGAATATGCTACAGTCGACTAAATCGCTGAGATTCAAACAATGGGGAAGCCATTCTTAAATGCCGGTGCGATCCTCAGCAGCACGAACGTGATATCAAAGGGACTTCCGAGAGGTCTGCCCCTGTTCTCGCGATTCCTCCTCAAGAGCTAGCTTGCTGATACACGAATATGTTTGTTTCGAATATCTCATTTGACATGAAGTCCTCGGAATGGGACTTTTTAAGGTTGTGCAACAGAGAATAGAGGACATGAAGTTTCTTGTATCAAACATGTTCTACCAGCCAAGGTGAAAGCAGAGGGTTGGGAGATGATTAGGGTTGAAATGGACATGGACTTGAGACTTTCCCCCAATCTGCAGAAATGCATCCGTCAATAGTTCATGGAGCGAGCGAGGGAGGGGGGGGTGGGGAAAGAGGACGCTGGGATATCTATCCTGTTCGATATACGGAATACATCGGCTTTTTACTCGCAATCCTCTTTCGCCAGAATGAGAATCGAGGATTGCTGCCACAGGCCCCTGAGGGATACATTAACGTGTGCTCCGTGCAGAGTACTCCGTACTGAGCACAGGGTTTTCCGTACTATCACTCATGTGTCCCTCTAGCCCACCTTCCCAGTGATGAGGGCTATGATAGACAAGTGCGTACGGGGATAGAGGAACATTACGGAGTAGATCACACTATTCTTTAATTTTATCCTTTACGCCTTAGCGCCTCTGCGTCTCTTTGCTGGAGTTGGATGAGGATCTGGAGGGCTTGCAGCCGAATGCCACTAACGAGGGCGACGAGGAATAAATAGGATTGTGAGCTGAGCTGGGCAAATTCGCCGTGGAGAGAGCCTGGCGCCCACCCGGCAGTGACCAATCAGTTTATAATATTTTTTCAAGAGCAGCATCGAAGAGAACCGCTCTTGTGGTGTGTATCACTGAGAGATGAAAGCCGGTATAATCTATGTTTTAACCTCTCACGACTACCCACTATTGAACTTTTTGTTTTTTATTTATTTATTTTAACCTCCTTTGCCTTTCTCCCTCAAGCGCTTTCCCTCAGTACCAGGTACCCCGCAATGCCTACCGTGGACAGTGCTCCGCCAAGGTAGACAGTACCTCGCTACATCATTGCTGTTTATCCCTCAGCGCCGAGTCTGCTCTCAACAGTCAAGTACTGTCAGCTCATCGTCTTCATTCCCTCCTCGCCTCCTTGTGCTCGAGAGGTTGGATGGATTCTTTAATCGCCTCTTTTTCTTCATCGTAGGCAAGAACTTGAGTAAATAACGCTGACAGCATCGTGGTGGTGAGCGGGCATCCTTGGCTGTTGTCGCTGCTTTCAACCCCCCCCCTCCAAACTCACCCCATCGTATCCTCACCCTCGTCCTCGCTCCAACGCCAACCTCCCTCTTCCTCTCCCTCCCGAGGTCGTCCATCCGCATATACTAACACCGTGTTAGATCCTAGTACCCTTCTGCACCACTCCGTCGTTGCTCCGCTGAGCTGACTTGACTCCTAGCCGTCGTTGCCCCTTATAGGGAGGGCTCTTTTGCTTTTTCCGATTTTGCCTCTTGGGTCCGGTCCCTCCAACAGCCATCTAGCCTGCCTGCCCGCTGGACACCACACACCTTGCCTTGCCTCTCGTGTAATAATACATCTGGACCATCAACCTCCAATCCCCCAATACCAACCATACTACCATCACTTTAACCCATATTTCCTAAACCGCCACCAGGAGGGACGGGCCCATAGCTGAGATTACTCGCTCCCGGCTCGCGACCTGGCCCGACAAACCTTTCCTCACAGGTAGACCATGAATGGGGATGATATAAAGAGAGCTGCGATCATCAAGGCAAAACAAATGGCCAGCAGCGCGGCCAACTCGAACGACGCTACCAACGGGAACAACGCTGGCAAGAAGCGAAGGAAGGGCACTGATCTCAGGCCCATCGTCACCAACGATTCGATTCCATCAGTCGTCACTGTTGAGTCCATCCCAGCCTCCACCATGCCGACGCCGGCCGCTAAACATCAAGGGTTAGTGTATATCTTATACCATTCGATATCAATATATTTATCTATATGCATATCTTGACTAAAAATCTCTTTGCAGGCCTACTATCAATACTCATTCACTCAAAGTTAACTACGGCTCCCCCCTCTCCCGCTCCTCCTCCTCCTCCTCTACCGAAGACCCTTCCGAAATAACGGCCGACGAAGAAGACTCAGAAGACTACTGCAAGGGAGGTTACCATCCCGTCTGCCCCGGCGAATCATATAATAATGGCCGCTACATCGTCGTTCGCAAGCTAGGCTGGGGCCATTTCTCCACCGTCTGGCTGTCACGCGATACCACAAATGGCAAACACGTTGCCCTGAAAGTTGTGCGATCGGCTGCCCATTACACTGAAACGGCTATTGATGAGATTAAACTTCTTAATAAAATTGTCCAGGCTAACCCGAACCACCCGGGCCGGAAGCATGTTGTTAGCCTCCTGGATTCGTTTGAGCATCGCGGACCCAATGGCGTTCATGTCTGTATGGTGTTTGAGGTGCTGGGGGAAAACCTTCTCGGGCTGATTAAGCGCTGGAATCATCGTGGCATCCCAATGCCTCTGGTCAAACAGATCACGAAACAGGTCCTCCTGGGTCTGGATTACCTGCATCGCGACTGTGGTATCATCCATACCGATCTGAAACCAGAGAACGTTTTGATCGAGATTGGCGACGTCGAGCAGATTGTGAAAACGTTTGTGAAGGAAGAAGAGCCTAAGAAGGAAAACAAGGAAGATAATCGCAATGGGCGACGACGGAGAAGAACCTTGATTACAGGCAGTCAACCACTACCAAGTCCGCTTAATGCCAGCTTCAGCGGCGGCGACCCTTTTCGCACCCACGCCGCGAACCAAAGCGTCCACAGCAGCCTCAACCAAATTTTAAGTAATTCACCAGGTCAGCATATGTCTACCTGTTGGTTTAGATTTTACGTGCCCTAGTTAACTGTTACTATGTTGCAGCTGCACCGAGTTCACCCCATCTCTCGATGAAGGATCGGTTGGGAATTAAAGATCAGGAGGCACTTGATGACGGAAAGCAGAAACAGAGGGAAAAAACAGCGTATGTTTCATTTGCCCATTTGCGATTTATTCAATGCGCACTTTTTCTTTTCTGCCTTGTTTTGTTTTTGTTTGTTTCCACTCCCTAACCATGTTTTTAGGGATATTTTGGAACGGGAGGTCTCCGGTATATCCCTGGATAAGAACTCTGCATCAGAGACATCAAATGCCGAAGACATGGAATTCGATATAATTTCAGTAAAGATTGCAGATCTCGGGAATGCATGCTGGGTCGGACATCACTTCACGGATGACATCCAGACTAGGCAATACCGCTCTCCAGAAGTTATACTTGGCGCCAAATGGGGTGCCAGCACTGACGTATGGAGTATGGCAGCAATGGTATGTCCATGCTGTTTTAATCCCCAATATGCATATTCTAGAGATTTCCCTTTGCTGACAGTCAAATAGGTATTCGAACTCATCACAGGTGACTACCTCTTCGACCCACAATCAGGTGCCAAATATGAAAAGGACGACGACCACATCGCCCAAATCATCGAGCTGCTCGGCCCCTTCCCCAAATCCCTATGCCTTTCTGGCAAATGGAGTCAAGAAATTTTCAACCGCAAGGGCCAATTGCTTAAAATCCACCGACTCCGCCACTGGGCGCTCCCAGACGTACTGAGGGAGAAATACCACTTCTCCCCCGAAGAGAGCAAGGCTATCTCTGACTTCCTCCTCCCGATGCTTGAACTGTTACCTGAGCGCAGAGCGAATGCCGGAGGTATGTCTAGCCATCCCTATCTGGACGGTACCAAGGGCATGGAGCAGGTTCGTCTGAATATCCCGGTTGGGAGTCGTGGGGAAGGCATAGAAGGCTGGGCGCACGAAGTTAAGAAGAAAAAATATAATGGTCTATGAGGACCAAAAATGCAGTACAGCGACAAATGGAAAACGAGAATATAACAATGAATATATATGGGGCTTGCGGATACAGGAAAGAAGAGGTGGATACCAGACTGACGGATGGGGACAAGGAGATTCGAATGGAAACCGGAAGAGACGAAGAGTTGGAAAATTTAATGCCATGTCACCTCCTCCCCAAGCCATCCCAACGGCCTTTTTAACGGTTCAGCTGAATGCCTTTTACGTATTTTCCAGTCTTTGGTCTTCTTTCATTATTTTGATTTTTCACAGCCCTCTTTTACTTTGGCATGCCACGGTCCATTCTGATATTCCCTCCACTCCTCCCCGTGGTCGTCTAGCCCCTCTCAATTTTTTATCTCCCTGATTTTGGAATGACTGTCCTTGATTGCTATGTTATCCGATTGGTTGCCGGTTGTTGGTGGTTGTTAGGTTGCCTTCCTTCTCTTCTGTCGAATCTTTTACCACGTCATTTCATATCACGCCATCTCACATTTGTTTTCTTATTACTTCTTCCGTGGTTAGCCTACACTCGGCATCCCACCATCTCGCCATGTCATCATCCATCAACCATTTTATATTTTATCCTGCTCCCGCAATCGCTCTCTATTTGGCGTTTCCTATTATCATTCTCCCCCTCCCGTCTATTTTTGAGAAACCTTTTGAATCTGCTGGATTTTCAATTTCAATCGAATGACTGGCTGACCTGACATGTGGCTGACTGCCTTGATGGATGAAAGGAGTGACAGAATTATTTCATTTACTAATTTCATGGATTGATAGAATGATAGATGTCCTTTATTGTTGCATTATATGTGTCCGGTGGAGAGTCTCTAGGATATATTTGGGAGGAAGGGGAGGGGAAAGGGGAGGGGTGGGAGGGATGGGAGCGGAGTAGAGCGTCCTACATATCGCCTATCTACATTTATTCATTCACCTTGTCATCCAGAATGCATCCATTTATATACCCACTTCCCAATTTTCCCTAGTATAAATATATCCGAACGTATATAGGAGCTATATTGGCCAAGTTAGATGTTTAACGAACCAACGCCCAAGCTCCAACTCCCTTCCTACGGCCTTAGCCCCTTCACTTCCCCCTCTATACGACTTTTCTCTCCCCGTGCTGATTGCTCATTCGTCTCGCTTGTTCTCTACACTTCGCACCTTACTAATAGCAATCAGGCTCGAAACCTTCACATCTCGACCCACTTGGTTAGCATACCTATTACTCCTCGATACTTCAAATGCGTTTCAATGTTTCGGGAGTTATTATCAGCCATCGGCATCGTTCCCTTGTGGATATTATTGCGTTGGCTGAATTGCGTTGGAGGTCCCCCGTTGCTGATTAATTTGTACGACCATTGTTATTCAACCAAGAGAATGTTTTAAGGTTTGGGCTCTAGTGAGATACATTTTTTGGAACATGGATGGAGAGAAGTAAGATGAGGTTTGGTGGTGGATGATGGACTAGAGGCAAAAGAGGACATTTTACCCTTATTATACATCTCTACATCTGTACATCCAGGTGCTGTTACATCCTTTCAATTGAAGTTATGTTCTTTGCTCTCCCTGCTTGGTTTTCATGGACAATTCCTTTTTCATGGTGATATGCTGCGATGAAATTGAGCCAGTGACGACCAAATAAAGAATAAATACTCAAACTTAATAAGCTCCTCGTTTCAATTCAAGATGCTCATATCACTAGCACTGGATACAGGGAGGGAACAGCTGAATAGAGGAGAAGGAGAATTGACTTCCTTTCATTATGACTCTGTACATTTCAAAAATGGGTATACCTAACAAATTATGCCATGAAGCATCAAACTCCTTCCCTATGCGCTCCACGAGTCCGGCCTCGCGACGAGGCAAACCCAGGTACAAAATACAACAAGTAAGAAAAGAAAAAGGTATTAAGAGCAAAGACAATTTTTACTCGTCCATCGCCCAAGCATATTCCAAGCCTTCCCGCATCTTTACCTTATTCCGAGCCTCAAACCATTGCCGCTCAAATCCATTCCCCCGATCCACCCCATCCCACCTATGGCCAGGCCGTATCCCATACCGATTCGGCGCAGCAGGCCCTGTATACACTTTCTTCGCTCCCTTCCGCCCATCGACAGCTGCACCAGCACCAGCTGAACCGGTACTTTTCGTCGAGGTCAAAAACTCCGCAGCTGGGTCATTCCACCTCACCCTAGCCTTTAGCTCCGCATTCATTTCCTCATCCTCCGCCGTCCTCGCCAGAGGCATATATTTGGCCTCCCGCACTGCCTCCCGCCGGGCCTCCCTCTCACGCCGCTGCACGTCGCCCGTCAACGCGTCCTTCGCCGCCGCTTCGGCCGCCCGCCGTGCCTCTGCCCTCTTCATCGCCACGTTGATTATCCGCCCGCTCGCGTCGCGGTAGATGGTCTCAGACTCAAGCCCGCCACCAGCATTCCCGCCCGCCTTGCTCGATTTCTTCATCGCGAGTGACTCTCGCTCCCGTTTGCGTTGTTGGGCAGCTACCATGGCCTCTGTCTCAGCCGCCGTCTGCAACCCCGCCCTGGCACCAGATTCCATCCGAAGCCCGCCATCGCCGTCCACATCCCCGCCCTCGGCAATAACGGGTTTCTCCTCGCTCTCTTGTGCCTGGGCGGCTCGCTCCGCGGCAGCGGACGCTAATATGGCGTCTGCAGCTGCCTGCTCCGCATTGGACGGCGCCACAGGCCCTCCGACCGTCTTCCAGCTGGATTTCTTCGATTTGCGGAATTCGGCCGAATAGCCGGTTTCAGCGATTGTGTAGGGTGAGTCTTCATCTTCGCCGTCGTTTGCACGCCCAGAGCCGTGTCTTTTGGGCTTTGTGCAGGAGGCGCGGAGATCTGGAGGGTCGTCGTCTGCGATTATCAAACCGGCGGTTCCGGCGTCTTGGTCTGAGTGTTTATTCTTCTTTCGCTTCTTTTTGGGTCGATCAGAGGTTGAAGGTGTGTCTGCTGTAAGGTAGTTTTTAGCCAGATAGGCAGCGAGCGACATTGTCAGCGTGGATGTGGATGTGGATAGTATTATTGTAGATGTTGCCAATGGATAATTTGCTGGGAGCTTAACCTTTGAGTTTGAGGGTTATAGACGGAACATAGATTATCCGGCATACAATTATTATTCTCTTACCAACTGAAGTCTGGTGTTGTCTACGCCAAACACTCTCTGTGACTTGGAACTCCCCGTCATGGCCCGCTCCGATGAGGCGGAGTGGTGGTACAGTGCCGTCTATGATGCGGTGCAACAGATTCCTCGTGGCAAAGTGAGCTCCTACGGCCACATTGCATGGCTCCTTGGACAGCGTGAGATGAACCAACTTTCCTTTACATCATCATCATATTTAATTCTTTTATGCCGTGGGTGGTTGCACGGGCAGTTAAACAGAAGCGTGTCTCCGGAGAATGCTGTGATGATAATAATAATAATAATAATAATAATAATAATAAAAGGATTACTACTTTAAATACTAGTATTTCTACGGAGTACTGACACCCTCTCCAGCCCAACGAGCGCGACAAGTCGGCATGTGCCTCAAATATCTCCCAACCAACAGCCCGGGGACCACCCATTTCTATCACGACCAGAACGTGCCGTGGCAGCGCGTCCTAAATGCGAGGGGGATCATACCCCATCGGTAAGCATGCATTAATTTTCCTTGCTTTACTTCTTGGGATATTTATCGCTAAGCAATGCGATATTTGCTGTCTCACATGGCTAAAAAAGTCTGGGCAAAGTGGCCCTGGTTCTGCCGCGAGACAGGCGGCCGCACTCGCAGAGGAGGGGGTGGATGTGCATGTGGATAGCATGGGCGAGTATGCAGTTGAACTTGGCCGGTTTGGATGGTTCCCGGATCGACTACCTCGGGAGGAGCTTGGTGATGCATCCGACGGGGAAGCGGAAGAAGCAGGAGGCAGTCGAGAGCAGACATGAAGGTGGATAATCGGAGGGCCTGGAATCCCAACGCCCTCCAAAGTTGAGCTGGGCGACTTGCGCTGTTCCCGGGCCGTTTGGAAGCCCGTGGTTAATCCCGCTGGAAACAAGAAAACGGGGATGATGCGGGAGTTGTCTCGGACGCGACAGACAGATGTCCGACTGTCTGGAATGGATGGTATTAATAACTCAAGATTAACGGTCCTCATTTGTATCCTGGCATGTCTGAATTACGTTGCCTTTTATGACAAAATCCCGTTTTCAGAATAAGACACAGCAACAGGCGTCAGACTTTGGACATTCCCATATGAAGATAGTCTGACGAGTTAAAAGGTAGCTTTAGCAGGATAAATCCGAGGGATGGCCTGATTTTGCTTGAAAATGACGACAGCCATGTGTCCTTTTTGGGTTTTTTTTTTTTTTTTTTTTTTTTTTTTTTTTTTTTTTTTTTTCGGTTACCCTAATCCCCAGGAAGATGAACCCCAATGAGCTTGCGAGTTGAACTTGAGAGAAGATCAATGACAACAGTTTCATGATTCACGTTCACGTCGGTTATTCGCCAGCCTGCTCGACAAAGATAGGGAGATAGTATGATTCTTCAGCCTGGATTGTTGGCGAATGACTGGAACACGCGGGAACCCATCGACGCCTTGGCGCTGGAGGTGGGCAAGCACAATCTGCTGGAGTCATCACGGAATTTAGACAGGGGAGTCTAGTAGAATCTAGCGCCATGCTACTCCACCAGGTTTAGCTTGGCAGGGAGATTTTGTGAGTTGGAGATTTAGAGATGCGCACGGTTGGTTTCGGATGCGGCGCAGATATTGCAGCGGGGAACAGATGAGGGATAGTCACAGCCACTGGCCGGGTTGAGTCATCTCGCTTTTCCTCCAGACAGGACAAGGGTTGGCAACTAAAGGTTGAATAAGCTTCACCAAAAAGCACATGTACTGTTACACTATAATCAAAGAATAAAATACATGTACGGAGTATAGAGGGGAGATGGGATGATAGAATGTTGGAACAAATCTGGAGAATTTAGGCTGACACCCCAGTTAACCAGGCCCAGAGAGTGGGGGGTCCTGGGGGGTCTCGACGCCTAAAACTTGGGTCCACGCCGCATAACTTCAGGTTTATTTAGGTTCCATGTCTCCACAGAGTTCACGCCGTCCACACAGTTGACTGTCGCGACATAGTCACCAGTCCGCAGCCGACACTTTGCATCTTCGTCCGCGATGACATCAACAAACCGGCCAGGGACCAGCACCCGCCACCAGCCGCCAGGGTACGCCACGCACTAGACCTGGATAGGACTGGCGCCGTGCTAAATGTGTGACTCCCCGGCTTATGTCAGTCGGGTGACTTGCGTTCGTCAGTTATCTAATCTGGGGCATCTGCCTCTGCCTCCTCCTCCATAGATATCATATATATATATATACATACCTCTGCCCTGGTGGCTCTGCTTTCTTTTCCCCTCCCTGCTCTGTTTCTTTATTCTCAATATCTGCCTGCTTGGTACCTAGCTTCACACAACGCGCACTACAACCACTGTGTCACCATTCGTTTGTTCTCAAAACACAGCTCACACTTCTTCTATACACATTCTCGTAGTCACTGGTGAATCTGAGATCCTTCTTTTATCCTTGATCATATCCATATCCTGCTTTGTTCTGTCGTTTGCTGCATCCACATTATACGAGTTTCTACGCATACACTTCGCCATCTGTCTGCCTTCTGCATCGAACTCTCCCGTCGCGCATCTCATCATGACTTCTCAGGTCTTCTCTCTTCCGGAATCTGACCTTCGCCGTGCTGCTACCCAGTCCAAACGTGTTCGCGATCATAACGAAAAGTGGGCTTTAGGTTTCCGAGACCCCAAATTGAATCCACTGGGACTCGAAATTCGAAATCCTGGCTATACCCGGATCCGTCCCATGCCATCTCAGAGCAGCAAGTAAGCCAGGCCCGTCTCAATCCCCCCTACAGATAAAAAAGCTGCTTCTCTCTTTCTCTCTTTCCTCTTTCACCTGCGACGACAATGTATAAACGAACCCTTAACTAACGAAATCCAACTTACAGGGCTTGCAAGAGCCTTCGGGGCCTCAACCAGACGGATATCAATAAGAGGTTTGCCGATAGACGGGCCTACTTCAGCTACGTTGTCGACCAAGTATTATACGACGACCACACCCACTCAGACTCCTCTGCCGATTCTGACAACGGGCCCGATGACTGCGAGGCTGCAAATGATCCGAATGTCTTTTACTCCTTCGATGCACCCACAGGCCCTAGCCAGGGGAGTGATGTCCTCCGCACCGCCCTCGCGAATGCCGTGAAGAAGTTCGAAACGCAAGAGACGGAGAAGTTGGCTCGCGAATACGAGTTTGTCGGCAGCGAAGAGCCCTCAAGTAGCCATGGCGACGGATACATGGCTGATGATGACGATTTTGAGTTCATCAGCCGTGCGGACGTGTAGCTTGACAGGAGAAGGAGAGCCGGCCCTAGTAACGTTGGCTGCACACATGTAGCTATTTGATTTCGCCTTCACTGGATGACTCCTTTTGCTTTGTTCTTCTTTGAGCATTTTGCTGCTTAGCGTGTTCCTGTTTCCGTTATTAATGGCAGCTACGAAACCAACCCCCTCTGCTAACCGGGGGGTCCCCATTTTTTTTTTGTTTCTCGCCATGGAAGTCCTATTTAAGATGGATTTAATTTTTTTTCTGTTCCGCCTTTATTTATTTGGAACTTTTGGTTTTTGGAATATTTAACTACTGGTATAGACGAGCGAGCTCCCGCATGGAGCCTGGGATTATTTTAGAACTGGACAAGCATCATGAGAAGAGCAATCCGGCGGCGCAACGTGCTTCTTGAGGACTTGAAACTTGTATGATAGTATGGACGTAACTTAGTTTTCTTTTCTTTTCTTTTTCTTTTGTTGCCATACTTTTATTTTCTTTCACTGGCATCAGAATGTCCTCACCACCAATTTCACTATTAGAAGAATGGAAGATTGTGTTTGACAGAATGGGATTTTGAAAACTTCATACACTGCATTGTCCTGCTTAGAAATTCACGCATAAACTTGATTTCCAACACTACTCCCACACAGGCCTCACTTTCCTTCCGCCAATCACCGGCAGCAGTCTTTCTACAACGGCATATGAGCCAGTTATCGCAAAATTCAAACAGCTTGTCAGTCCCCCAGACAACAGAAAATATCATATTCGCAAGCAAATATGCATGCATATATGCAAACGGAGTCACCCACCTATCCTATCCATCTGTCCCCTCGATTCCCAGAGCTTCTAACCTGCTCATCTTCCACCTCCCGTTCCAACAGGGCGTTCGTTATCCACGTGGACAAATAAGAGAGACGCAAAGCTCCAGAACCATCCGCATCTGCACATCAGACCTTCCCTGCATTTCGCTGCCATTGTTTGAGCCGGCTAGTGAGTGGCCTGCGTTTCCCCTCCGATTTATGACTGCAACCCGAGCAGCTGCTGCTGGTGGCATGCCTGTTTCGGCATGGGACGGCGCAGGGATCGTACGCTCTAGGCCTGCCGGTGGATTTACACGACCGTTACGACGATGTAAGTTAGTTACAGATTACAGTATGTGCAACTAGCTAGCTAGCTTGCCTTGCGTTTGAAGCTGCAATTTCGAGTGGCAGCGTGCGTTCGCCGGGCGCAAGCCGCATGGTATCTTGGGCATGGAAACTGTGCGGCGCCAACCGCAGCCGGGGGTGGGGTAACTTGTAGTATCTTATGTCTTAATGTCTGGCCTGGCTCGTACCCGGCTTTCCACTTCACTGATGCATTGATACATATCCAAAGGGAGATGTCGAAAAAATAAGGATTTAATAACAGTTAAGTCAGCATTTTTAAAATTTATAGATTTTGTAAGTCGGTGAGCTATACTCATACGTCATCGACGTTTTTGAAAGGGTAAGTAAGTTAAGCTCGAAGAGAAAAAGCCCATGGTTTGTTCCTACACCTATCGTATGTAACTAACAAAATAACCTAAGAAGAAAACAGAAAAATAAAGACTCAACATACTTTTTATTCGTCAAAAAAAAAAAAAAATCCATCTAAATAATTTAATCTACATGTTCAGATACATACAACGAAAGGTACAACAAGTGACTAAATGAAAATCAAATCCAAGAGAGCAAACCAATGCCACCCCAATAACCCATAACATGAATAACCCCTTCCCCTCCTCCCCTACCCAAGAAAACAGCCTCCCCAAACGCCATGCTATTTCAAGCCAGAAAAGATGAAACATAGAGTAGGTGTGGTTATCGAAGTCGTTTCTTTGACGATATTTCCGGGATTGTGGTGCCCCAGAGCTTGAGCTTGTTCCGGTCATTCACCAACCGAAATATGTCGATGATAAATTGTCGTTCCACGCTCGACTCCATCACCACGTCGAAGGCAACACGTAAAGGAAACGCCATCCGGTTAACAAGGTTTCCTGGGGCCTTGCGTATGAAGTACTCCATGCTACGGCAAATGTTGCATGCGAACTCGTATTGTTGGCTGGGTTGCAGGGAGGCCGACGGTCTGGTATCAGATGCCGAAAGGACGAGGTGTGACGCATAGTACACGCAGATCGTGTGGGCGATCCGTAGGTCTGGATACACGAATGTTGTCGGTGTGATTAGATCCATTGTGGTAGGGTCGCGGCAGCGAAATACCGGAAATGGGTCGTCGCCTTGCTTTGTCACCTCGGTGGGTTGGCGGTAGGGTACTGAATCAAACCAATCTTTCTTCCATTGGCGTAACCTCTGATCAAGATCGCTGACCCAGGACCATAACATCCTTTGAGTAGCTGCCACTTCAGAGTTACTTAGGCAGCCTGAATTAATGCCCTCCATAAACCGGTCGAATTGCGCGAGGTATGAAGGAATGTCCACCACTTGATCTAGAAGATGGTGCATCATGTCCTTTGAAGAGGAACCTGCTGAGAAAGGTATAGTTTTCCATTCTTCTTTGGCAAGAAATGTCGGTTTTCGGATGATTAGGGTTATAGATACCTATATATAGTTTAATTGGCCACTCTATATAAGGAAAGCGGCTGTAAACACAAACGTCCGCAACTTACCCAGTACGGTCGAAGTTCTGCGAAGCAATAATGGTCTATCCCGAACATATGGCTCTGCGGACCTCGGTACTCTAGAAGCTTCAGCGCGCCGTAGGCATGACTCACCAGAGACTCGCTTGTCGTGCGCCGAAAAGTCTGCCAACGTGTTCATATGTTAGATACAGGTGAAAAATGATCATGAAGGAAATAGGGGAAGAGAGAAAATCCATACTTCGAAACACATGAGAAGGCAGACCGTTAGTAGAATACCCTGGGAATTGCTCTGGTGCATATTGTTAATAGCTTCCTGCAATTTCCGTAGCACAGAAACATGGATTTGTGACCCTGTCCGTTCGATTCGTTGGTCAGCGACCTCGTGGCCAAAGTAAGTCAGGGCAACCGCTTTAAAGGCATCGGAGAGAACCGGCGAAAACATTCTAATGCCAGCAGCGGCGCGAATGGTTTGGGACGTTCCGATGGTTTTGCCGTCGACGTTTGGGCTGAAGTCATCTAGGAAGTGGTTAAGAAAACCTTCCATTAAGAAATTCTTCGGAGAAACAGTCGTCATCATGGAACATGAGTTCCGTCCCCGGTTTTGCGAAACATGGTGTCCTTTTGGGAGACTGTGAGCAACAACGTGTCGCAATCAATTTAGCAGATTGCCATACCTTGACTAGGAACTTCAGGTTCGTGAGAAGGCTGACTACCATTCGTAGCCTTGTTGCCCTCGGGTGTATTTAGTGTATTTAAACCAGCATCCCCGCACTCTGATTTCCTACGCATTACTAAGGAGCTGGGGGGATTCGGTGGATGGCTCGTTGAGAACTCACCAGTAGAGGCTCCGTCGACGGATTCACGTTTTAGTCCGGGATTGTGCTTTTTGAATTGTCTATATTCTTCGTCATCTACTTGCGCTGCAGGCTATTGGCATCAGCCATGAAAAGTAATTGCTCGCAGGATTCTAGCTATAGGTTCAGGGCACACACATACCTCCGCTTTGAATATCACTAAACGAAGATTCTGGGGAGGATGATTGAGATTCCACATGAGAGAAGGGATGTTTCGATGGGCACGATATAGGTGCGGAACTGCCATCCAGCAAAGTGCCTTCTCTGATCTGGGCAACTGTCTTGGCGACAATATCTTCAGGCGCAGTAGCGATAGTTTCGAATATTCTCATTAAGGTCGCATGTTTTTCGTACGGGGCAGAATTGGCCAGCGAGTGTTCGTGGTCAGAAGGGGACGGTTGAGGCCTCTTCAGAGATGGCTTTTTTGAGGTCTGACTGACGTCTTTGTCTGCTGCATCAAGCTCTGAGCGGGGAACATGGCCAAGAGCTGCCAGCTGTTGTTTGAGCATCCCAACCTCTTTTCTCAGGCTCGCAACGGCGTCAGCCTGGGTGATGAGGAATCGATCTTCATTGCTCGCAACATATTCACACTCGGAAGGAAGCCCGCGAACACAACAGGAGTGACATGGTTTTATTCGATCGCACTGTGTAGCATTCCACCGGATCAGCTGGGTTTCGTGCTGGACGTTAGATTCTGTCGTGTCCTCCCACCTTGACCTTGCGAGTCCTGCAGGGAATACAGGACTGTTTGGCCCGCGTCTTGTTCTTGCCAGCAACGGAAGGCACCCGAGCCACCGGTTGTTCTTCTGGAGCACTTTTCGCCGGCGATGCCATCCCTGGCCCTTGAAAAGGGACCTCAGCAAAAGAGGCTAAGCGCAGAGGTTGCGCTCGGTCTGTGATGTATGTCAACTTCCTTCTCTTTTCTCTCTTTTCGGTTTTCCCCTCGACTCTTTGTTCGAGGTGGGGGCGGATTCTGGAGAGGAGCTTCGACAAGATACGGAAACCTCCCGGGTAAAAGTAACGACGTCGACGTCCATGGATCACTAGCGAGGCCACCAAACCAGAGTTGGTTAGATCCACAGTTGGCCTCGGATGAAGACCAGAGTTGAATGAATTACGGGACCAAGGGCTATCTGCTTCTATCAACTCTCTTGAAAGGTCAGTCCGTATTGAGAGTGAAACAACCTGACCCTGACTTGCCCACCCCCTTGGAAGAAACCCAAGGAAGTTTTCTGAAAATTAATATTTTATAGATCGCCTGCACATGAAGGGGTTAACTACCATTTTACCCAACACATCCACTTACTTCTACGCGGAATTTGGCGCGAACTTCAGGGCAAGCAAGACTCTTTGGGACTCCGCAGGATCCAGTTCGTTTATGATAATTGCGGAAAATAAGGGCTCATTTTTTGATATGGAGATTTGGGAAAGTATATATATATATATATACATTATCTGGTTCTGCGAGGCTGGAGAGCGTTTCATGATGACATTCTTCAAAATGAGAACATCTCGAAAGAATGGCGCACTAATATCCAAGAATATGGATCGGAGATTCATTTCGATGGCGCTATAGTATGGCGAGGGACGGACATCACCACAACTAAATACACCATTTTGAACGCCGAGCAGCTCCCTTATCCTACTTTGTTTTTTCGAATATACCGCTTACCAAGATCCACAAGGTCCTGTGGGACGCATACGAGCCTTTTTACCATCCTGTCACTCCTCTAGATGATTAGGCCAAATGGTGAGAAATTGCCGTGAATTTACCTTCTAAAGCATCAATGCGAACGCCGAAAGCTATTTCCCGCATTGACAGCATGCTATGGTTTATAAATCGGCTTGCGCGAACATCTGTAAGACGAAGGCCTTTAGGTTTTCCACCTCTGCGACTGGCAGGTACACCAATGCACTAGCTTGCATTTAGGTGGTTTGGATACTGATGTCCTTCCACACGATATAGAGGAAGCCACGCTTGAAAGCCACCATGAAGCCATCTATGAACAAAACCTCCTGCATTGACTCGGATCGGTTGCAGCAGCATATTTTGGACGTTTATCGGTAGGCAGGGACGATTTGCTATAGCCGCGAAGAATATAATAAGAGAAAAAAATGGGAAATCCAAAGCTCGTGTCGGTTTGTCTGAGGTACTCCGTACATTACCACCCAAACCTCTACGCGGCAACCAGCAGGGTGGCTGGAAATCCCAACTCGGGGGCCGCTAGCACGGCTGAAAGTCCTTGATGTAACCCGGGGAATTAGTGCCCCTACAATATAGATGAGGACTAGCTGAGCAAGGAGTGTAATGGGAGTGATTCTCTCGCATCTTCCTGACTACTCTTCGCTCCATTGCGGTCTGAACTGGGGCAAGCGGAACGCATGCCTCGAGTTTAGGAAGCCGGAGGACCAAGGAACTGTGCGATCTTTGTATACGAAAAGCGCGATATCATTGTTCAGGGATATCACCCCGGCACCCTTGATAAATGGGGCCTTGGCATGCAGGATAATAAATCCGTGCACAGACCGGTCACTACGCGAGGGGAAAAAGCTGTGGTCTGAATAGTCCTTGGACGATCAGAACTGACGGGCAGCCGATCCTTAATGCTGTTTATATATATAATTCTTTTTTGAGTTACTCAGTGCTTTCACTTTCACCATTAACCCATTCTAAGTACTGTGGGATATCGGTAGGCTTTGGACGCGAGATGGGAAACGATGAGCCAGCCCGTGACGCCAGTTTTCCCGAACTCGAGGCTAGCCTGTACTCGGGCTCAGAAAAAAAGGAGGTTTGTATTCGGTTGAGATGGGTGTTACTTCCTTTGAAACCCAAGGCTAAACGATCTTTGAAAAGGCTTGCTGATATGCAATCTCAAGCCTTCAGATCTCGTTGAACTTGTTATTCCCAATTGCTGGCAAAATTCCTCTGGGCCATATTCGCAAGTAGCGGGGGAGAAGTTGTGGAATGAAAACTGGAGAGAAACGTTCCACCATTACTATAATATGAGCTGCACGCTCCTAACGTTTCTTAACATGTTAAAACCCAATGGTGTAATGAAGCTTTTTGATACCAAGTTCAATGAGGAGAGTCCGAGTGTTTTGGAAAAGTAATTCAGATTGCGAAACCAGTGTTACAGTTTACGAGGGGGATAGCAGGATTAGGATATAACATTGGCCCGAAGACCAATTGTATATCGACCAGCTCCAGTGGTCTGAAGATCTAATGAGCAAAGTTGTAGGGTGATGTTGGTCATGTTGTTGGGATTTGTGCCTTTCGAGCCTCTTGGAATTGCAGATGGGAAAATATACTTCATCTGGCCCCCGACGTCTGATACATAAGCCCGTCCACGAACATAAGTTACATCTACGGTTAAAAATGGCGTAGCACAGAAAGGCCACCAACTAGATTTTGTTTCATATAGTTAGTTATGCTCTATTCCATGTGTTTTGTCAACCCTTCAGGAGCTGCCTGCGCATTCGGGCATCTTTGTTGCGTTGACTCAGCACAGCTGTGTGAGCTCCGACGCTAGGCCCGACTAGGCAATGTACAAATATCGGTTGTCGGGCCAGCCATCAACAAGCTTTCAGCGTCAAATCCTTTCGTTTGCGATCTTCAGACGACAATCACTTTATCAACCACCAGGCCCCAACAATCGTCTCTCTGCCTTTGAGGCCAACTACGATGGATAGGCGAATACATGAAACACCTATGGACTTTGAATGGCAGAACCGTGCTCCTGGAGAAACCAAATCCCCGTTCTACCAGCTAGCATTGGAGCACCAAAATCGAAACAAGGACAAGAAACGTGAGTTTATTGATGTCAATATACCTCCGGATTTGCGCGTATTTTCTCTTTTACTAACTTCATTTGCTTGGCGCTATTGAAGGTCCCTATAGCATTTTCGATTCATCTGCAAAATCGTCGACCCCGGCCCTGCGCGAGCCGTCCTCCCAGTCTTTCCTTTTCTCCCAACCCCCCGCTCAGTCCTCCACCATACCTCGCAACTCTCCATTTATGACCCCGCGTCAGAAGGCAGACATCGACTTTTCATCCGATCCAGAAAATATTTCGTCTCCAGAGAATGCGGATAACGATGAGACACCGGAAAGGATAGGAAAGGCAGACAGAAGGAATTCTCTTTTTAATTTCTTCGGACGGTTCGCACCCAGCCCCGGGCGGGGTGAGATCCCGAAGACCAAATACTCAAACGTCCTTGTTACGAGAGTCCATAAAAAGCGACGTCGCGACCGTGAAATCAATCGGAAGCGTCAAAAGACCAGAGACGACAGCAACAGCGACGAACGCACCCGCAGCGCAAATGTCGAGACTGCCCCACAAAATGGCCCGCAAGGCTCTCAGGGACTTGAGTTTGCGTTCTTTTCTCGCCTCTTCACTTTCCTTGAATCACATCCGCACATACCTCGCATTCTTTCATACTACGCTCAATTTATATTCAACCTTGTCCTCACTTTCTTGACGCTTTACATCATTGTCACATTCCTGCTTGCGATTCAGGCAGACGTCGACCGGGAGAGTGAGAAGGTCTCCGCCGATATTCTCGCTGATATGGCTGTTTGCGCGAAGAACTATATGGAAAACCGGTGCGGTGGCGAGGACGGGCGGAGACTACCTGCACTGGAAGCAATATGCGAGAACTGGGAGAGATGCATGAACCGCGACCCTGCCAAAGTGGGAAGAGCCAAAGTCTCTGCACAGACTCTAGCAGAAATCTTCAACGGTTTTATAGAGCCAATTAGTTTTAAAACTATGGTAAGTAATATTTTTTGTCCCGCTACCGGTTACCTTCTGCTTTTGCTAAATGGGAGTGCGCAGTTTTTCTTTGTTGCTTCGATAGCTTCATGTTTCGCCGTTTCGAATTTGACCTTTTCCTTTTTTCGCAACAAATCAAACAATCCCCCGTCTCCGATGTCTCATCCATACGTGCCCTACCCACCCCAACCAATTCACCAACAGCAGTCGCACATCCCCTATTCCTCCCAACATCCGTCATTCGGACATGGTCATTATTACGATCCCACATTTAGCCGTCTGTTTAGTCAGGATGTCAATATAAGCCATCGAAAAACAAGTAAAATGCAGGATGACTGGCAGCCGAGGCAACTTGCTCTTCATTCTGCTTCCGAAACCGGGGAAGGCGATCATCCCAAAACACCAAGTCCCGTCAAACGTGAGAGAACTTATACTTGAACTCCTTGCTGTTACTTTCTTCATTTTTTGCCAGGCTTTCGTCCACCCTTTTCTCACTATTTTGCCATGCAATTAAATAGCCTAAGTTTCTCGAGTCTTGTTTTATATCAAGTTTATAGCCACCCAACTTCCCTTTCACCTTGTCGATCTTCTTCAATGGCTGGACCCGGATCTTATGCGGCAAGGGCTTTTCATTTTTGCCCTTTTTGATTTCCTTTAAGCTCTCAGCGCTGGACGTATTGCTAGTTGTACTATTTTGATACAGTCTCTTTTAATTTTTTTCCATAAGACATAGTAATTTGTTTAGACGAATCAATTTACACGCATTCAATGAAGACCGGACCTTTCCGGGGTGCCATCACAGAGCCCTTCCTACGCGCGCATCTCTGTTTCGGCATCAAGCTCCCACTCTGGTCATAATTCATACTCCTGTTGCAATTTCCGCCAGTCTAACCTAACCAACCCTCTTTGGCTTTACATACGATTGGCCCATTAAACGTCGCCAAGGAGAAGCATATACGCCTTTAGTTCTCTGCACACTGCACAATACATGAGGGATAAATAACGTATGTTTGTTCAGGCTGTTCAGAAAGGCTACTTCCTTCAGCAATCATGCCGTTTCCAGGCCTGCAATGCTGACCTCCCGCGCTGTGACTGAAGTAGGCATCCCCATCCTGTGTAGTGGTGTGTCGGAATGGACATGCAGGGGATCCAAGATTCATAGTTAAGTTACCCACGGAGTAGAGTGAGCTGTAATGGTAATAGGTCAAGCACGAGAACCTCGGCCGAACGAATTAAGTTTTATCAGGCCGAGAACAAACGGAAATGGCCATGTATTTCCATTTGCCCTGGAAGGCTCTAGGAACCACCAGGGTCGGGTTTGCTGCAATAGGAGAATGTACAGTACACACATCGGTTGCTCGACAAATGAGGGGCTTACGGAGTACAGCGCCACTACTCCGTATGCCCGTCAACAATTCCGAGGTCCATCTTGCGTATTTCCCACATCGACACTCGCCCGCTGGGGCGGACGGGACGTTTATGTGGGGCCGTAACTTAACTATTCATGATTCCCTCTGGTGCTGGAGTTTCGCATTCTGATGGTATGATGGCGGGATTGGACCGGGGTGGCTACTAGCGTGGACCTATGTTGCCAGAGCTCTGAGACGGGAGTAACCTAACTTATCTCCATATCTCCATCCAATACCGAATTGAGCGTGCAATCCATTCGACTGGAGATTAAGATCGAGCTTTTGGTTTTAATTTTGAGTTTTCTTTACAGTGGGGGGTATTAAGTTTGAAACCCCCCCCCTCTGGCCGCCGAGATTACACTAACCATATAACGTTAATATCTATATGCTGCTTTTTGCAAAGATCTTTATATTAATATTTTGTATACCATCCTTCTGCCTCTATAACTGCCTTCACTCGATGAGACATTGTAGCAGAAAGATTATATAGAATGCTATCATCAATTACATTTCATGCCTCCTTAGCTGCCTCTATTAAAGCTCTTTTTGTAGCTACTGTATCTGATGCATGCTCCAGCTCTGGATGCAGCTTATAGATCTCCTGCTTCAACAGTGCCCAAAGATTCTCTTTAGGATTCAAATCTGGAGAATATGGAGGCCAAGGCATGATCTCTATATTCATCTCCTCAAGAACCTCCTTAACTATGTGAGCTGTATGAACCCTGGCTCCATCATGCATGAATATATCCCTCTCTCTCACAAATTCAGGTAAAAAGGCCCTATACACATCCTTTATCACTCTTGAAGAAAGGGGTAAATAGTATGATAAAAGCAGCATTCCAACATAACTGGGTTTGGGTTAGTGATATCTTGGCATCACAGGTGTGGCAGTGGGGGGGGGGGGGTTCAAACTTAATACCTGACACTGTACGGAGTAGTTAAGGATGATATCGGCCATTCATGGCCGATATCTGCTGCGGAAGCCCGCGATGATGCATTTCCCCTATATTTCTAACAATGGCTTGTAATAATATTGTTATATGGTAAAAAAAAAAAAAAAAAAAAAAAAAAAAAAAAAAAAAAAAGGAAAAAGAAAAGAGAAAAGAAAACCAAACCAAACCAAACCAAACCAAACCAAAAATTATGTGCAGTAGGAATTTACGCCTATTAGTTTCCCATTGCCACTCAATGCCTTTCCATTGGATTTATTCCTGCGGATGATGAGCTTCTTTATTCCAAGTTGTTTTTGGCCCAGTAAACCATTTCCTCGCGGAGAGGAAATAATACAACAGGCAACTTCCCCAAATCGTTCCATTGACAGCGACAGTGTAATTCATCAATTTTGCTATTGAATTCGAGCGTCAGCCTCAGATCCCTCAAGCGTAAAAAAAAAAAAAAAAAAAAAAAGGGAGGGAGAAATTAAGAAAGAAATTAATGAAGGTAATGGCCAGCTTACGGGTCGGAGATGGTCCTCGTAAGGGGAACATGCAGAGTGAAATTTCAAATATCAGGTATAGAAGTGCCACAATAGAAATTGGCCTGCTGTAAAGTTCCCCCGTATAAAACGAACCGGGCTTGAATTTATGTTTTCCCCAAACAATGCGGGAGAAAATAGGTATAGCCCATGCCACAGCATTTCCTGAAGGACCTAACGAAAACAGGGCTTTGGCAGCGGTAGTGTTGACTAAACAAATGAGGCCGAGGATCATCGCTGAGAATGCGCAGCCCCAGACTGTTCGTATTGGCTGGGCGCGGTAATGAATTCGCGTCCCAAGCACTCTGAAGAAGCTGGAATAGGGAAGACCGCCGTCTCGGGAGAACGCCCAACTTTGCCGTGACGCAGCGATAAGCTATAGATACATATTAGCGATGAGATTTTCGTCGTTTGGATCGCATGCTATACCAAGCTCAAACCCATGCAGTACTGAAGACACGTTATGAATACCATGAAGCCGACAGCGCCGCTCTTTCCTAGAGCATCATAATAGATCTATTTAACGGATCAGCAACAGATAGTACGTTATCAATTGCCATTGGAACAAACCTGAGCCATCGGCTGCCCCAAAGGACTGTGTACCAAAGATTCGACGTTTGGATCCATTGAAAGGGCAATCACGCAAACCGTGATGAACCCCAAGAACCAGCATCCAGAAATGGATCCCAGAATGCCTCGAGGAACCGCTTTTGAGGCATTCTTCGCCTCTTCACTCATATGAACACATGAATCGATCCCCCCAATGGTCCAGATCGGAGATAACCAAGAAAGCATGAAGGCCCAGCCGGCTGGCCATGCCGTATGATTTTCCTGGTGGGTAAAGACATAGCTTGCAGAGTTCAGCCCTTTTGCGGATCTGGATTTACCAACTGGCAATGCAACTATTGTAGCTATGGCCATTGTGACATTACCCACAATGACAGCCATTTGAATCTTGTTCATGTATTTGGAAGCAAAGGTGGCCACAAATGCATGGGCAATTACACATCCTGCAAAAACCCCATATACTACGGGTGCAGAAGCGGTCCATTTACCATCGGAGACAATGGAGGGGATAGACAAGAGCATCAGAGCGAATCCATCTGACACCAGGTCAGTGGGAGCCAAATATACAGGAGGTTGAGCTGGTAGATAGTATTCATACAGTCGGCTGAACATGTTCCCCCAATAAGTCCAATTGCATTGCTATATCCGACGAGAAAGCTCAATGGTCTTCTAAACTTCTCCGGTGCGAAATAGTGTGTCCACCAGTATAAACCACCAGATGTGGGGAGCGATGATGCAAGGTCAGACTGAAGGGTAAGTCATAATCGGTTTGAAGATGGGTATTCGCAGTATGATGAAGCGTAGAGCACACGAGCACACTTACTATTGCAAGTCCAACAACAAAAATGAAGCCACACGCAATAAACCAGCCCTGGAAAACGACAGAACAAAATCGTTAGCCAAGAAATATTCATTCTCGTGAGATACTTTCTGCGACGCACCCAAACCATACCCACAGGCCCAGCAGGGAGTGAGAGAGGTAATGTGGCCGCGATTGATGGTAAAAGGCCCATGATGCTAAATGCAATCGAAAAGATCTGAAGAGAAGAGTAATGACGTTCAAGTTCCTGTTTATATCCCATTGTGGCTAATTAAGAGCCGGCATGTCAGTTTGATAGAAGGAAAGGAGGGAGCCAGGCATCACACTGACCGAGGATGTCCGCATCAAACGACTCTGCAAGTTCAGAGTCACCGAAAATTGTCAAGTCTTCGTCAAATACCTGAAGCTCCTTCTCCAGCGACTTAAGCTGCGTGTCTTTCATGATGGTGGCGTTGACTCTCACGGGAGAATAGAATCGGCAATATAATAAGCCAGAAGAAAGGGGGGTAAGAACAGTGGGTGATTCATGATCGAAAAGGATTAGAAGTGTTGCGGGATCAGGAGAAGCAGCAGAAGAACCATTTAATAGAGCCGCGAGAGTGCGGCAGTAAATCCAGACTGCTGGACAGTGCTTCTCTGAAGTGTAATATCCGGTAAGGCACTGTTTGATGGATACAGGGGGTGGTCACTGAAAAGGTAGGTGTTGGCTAGCATTCATGCAATGTTCGCATCTATAAAAGGAGGAGCATAGCCGGTGTTTATTTCTGGTGAGCCACTAAGGTCGAAGCAGCCACATACCTCTACCTTGTAGTAGGGTTGGTTGACTGTCTGGCGGCATATTTCGTTTGAAAATATCTCCGATGGATATGTTTGAGAGTCATCATCGCGGAAATCCAATATCCACAATGCCCCCAAACAGCCATCACCGATCATTTTCTTTGGTTACAGCTGCGTTGGCCGGCAAACCGAGAGATTGTCACAAAAGCCAATTCTCACAGCTAATTTGCCTTTTGAGACATCATCTGGTGAGAGGTCAGATGTGGCAGAAGATCTTCCGGTGCGTAAAGTTTAGACGAATCGGGATAACGAGCTGTAATAGTCTTCACTAGAGGTCAAGGTCAAAGCCTACAGAAGACATTTTAGATTATTCTTCTTCCAGACACGGCATACATCTTTTAGGAGTTGAACAAAACTCAACTCACTGCAGCATCTACCTCTTGGGAAAATAGCCGGGAGGGTCAGGGGTTAACATCCATTTGCCGAATACCAGCCGTTCTGTAGCCAGTGTCGGACATAAACAGAAAAGGGTTGGAAATACGTTTCGTCTATGGCTGAGAACGGTTCTTTGAGGTGCTGAAATGGCCGCCTTCCGTCAACGAATCCCGGTCATGAATGGCGTTGATTCCCCTTGCCAAGTAAGTTCTGCAGCTATTCAGGGATAAGCTTGCTATTTATAATACAGTATGTATGGTTGAGAACTCGGTTGAAGTTTCAAAGCTTGCGAACTCACGAACGTGCAGAACCAGGCGCACCCTGGAAACTCGCCGAGATGAACCAAGCCGGGGAACGGCTCGACCAAGCGTCGCGTAAGTCGACTTGACCACGCTACGACGGACGGGGATGCTGCTGACTCGGTTCAAAAAATAGGCGTATCTGAACAGGGATTCAAAGAGCAGCTTGAAGGGCCCTGATTCGGATTTTTGCCAATAAATTCTGAGGCCCTGACTCTATGCTTAACTGACAACACCCGGTCTAATAAAACATTCACACACTCACAGCAGAAGCGTAGGGTTTTGGGAGGGGGGGGGAGGAAAGGGAGTTGGATTAAGGGAGTTAGTTAGAGGCTAGGGCTTGACGGAGCACCCAGAGGGCCCACAGCAGGAGAGGGGTGAAGGATGCAATTGTCGGACTAAGAATGGTCTCGGCTGAGGCTGATGGGGCTCAAAACAACGCCAAGTTTTAGCCTCAAAAGGACCCTTTGCCGAGACCCAAGAAAGCTTAAGGGGGAGCCAGGCCATATATGGATTAGCGGCCGCGGTTGGCTGACTCGATCTCTTTTCCGTGGAACTTCTATGCAGTAGTTACTATGCACCACTTGTTTGATATTGTATTGGGAATATCACCAATTCGTAGTGAGTTAGCGAACGTGGGGAAGCAGAGAAGTCAGATTTCGTTAATCGATGACTATCGACTATGCTAGTTATTAGATTTTAACTAGGGTTTGACTAGCACTGGGGGGATATAAATATACAACATATAAAAGTAGTACGAAACATTTGACTACTCGTTGAATGTATTAATAAAACTGCTAGATATATACATACATCGCTAGTCGCCGTAAGTCCACGATCGGTTTTTAAGCGGAAGCAGTTTGACGAAGAGTTCCTGTGAACAAAAGTCCCCTTCCGTCACTCCGGTGGAACTCCGGTGGAAGTCCGGGGGAGGGTCCGGATGTCTACTTTTGTTGACTAGCACGCCAACTGCGAATTAATAATAGAAAATGCCTTTTTGCTAATGCAGCCAAACTCTTGACTGTCTCTTGGACAGATGGATTATCATTGAAACGTTGGCGCAAGTGCCGTAACCAAATAAAGCCTGATCCACCCCTCTCTCAAGTTGTTCCGGTAGGCGGGGATGCCCGTCCAAGTCGGAATGATAACCGCAGTTGATGTTATTCTTGTCCCCACCACCCGCAGCATTATAACATTGTCCAACTTTCCCAGACTTCTGCATTACCAGCTTTGATCGGCGCCAGTGATTTCCCCCGGTCTCCGGATGCGATCCAGTCGAAGACAGATAGCGACCCAGAGTCGATCTTATATGCTAGTATGATTTGCCCAGATCGACCTCTAGGGTTTGCCATAACACCAATTCTATACATGACGTTGGGCCCCTTGTGCCCCGAAACATAAATCCCCGAAGCGGCTTAATAGGTGGGGGGCAAGGATTTCTCGTTTATTCGTCAACCGACGTCCGCATTCATGGATCCCGACGGCGGGGTAACATTTTCTGGGCTGTCTCATCTTCACCCCCCAGTTTAATCGACTAGGCTCGCGGTATGCATGTTATTCGGCGGCAGCAGCGAGACAGACTTAGCACTGGTGCTGGCCAGGAATTTCACTGTTTGTTTCAAAGTTGCCGGTAATGGAGACCTTCGCATTCCATTCCAAGCATGTTGGAAAATGTCCGTACGCCACCACTTTCTTTCCTTTTCCTTGCTTTTCTTTTTTCTATTCTTTACACTGAACTATATAGGTCCTAGGTCCTGGGACCCATGATGCCCTTCAGAGCGAATGGATTCTCGGCAGGCTGCTCCCCAGGACACTGAAATGGAGATAAACTGTGTGGAAATGGCTTCAGACACGCTCGATTCTATTACCCCTCTTTTCGGCGACAGTAGCATCACGATTTCGATGTTGTTCAGCCTCATGTCGGTTATCTTTCACTTCAACTATCGCACAATGGTCGACCACTTCGTCTCAGTCCTTGATTCGTCCCCACGGTTTTGGACACATCAACGTAACTTCTCAACAGAAGCTCGATCAACAGCCTCATCAAGGGTGAGAGCTTTGCAGATGAATTTGAAACGGCTCAAAATTATCCTATTCGTCCCTTCTGCTAATTTGGATCTAAGTTGGTGGGTTAGAGAATTGGATAGTTTCGACGCGCAAGCGGTACGGTTTCAGAGGCGAGGTTATTTAAAGCCATACCGGACACTACTAAGTATATACCTGAGGTGTGCATCGGATGTTACATGGCAACTTTCCGCGCCAAGGCCGAGACTCGGCATCGGTTTTCCTGGCTGACTATTGTGGCGGACGTAAAGCTTGCGAAAACAGAATTTTCTGCCACCCCCTGAAAAATAGTAGCAAAACACCATAAAAATAACCAAAATATCCACATTTCTCTAGAATCATTCAAATATCATTCAATTCATTCAAATACACATCTTTATCATCAAATACACATCTTTATCATCAAGTCTGTCAATATGCCGCCTCAGCTCAGTGAATTTACCATCAATGAAATCATTCATCTTTTAAATGATGATTAAATACCTGCTCAGATTGCATGGATCATTGAGTGTTATCTGATCATTGTATATTGAATTCAACAAAATATTCACTGCTTTGAAACTTATAGAAATCCTCATTCAATATAAAATGTAAAATTAAAGATCACACTGAATATCTTGTCAGATTTGAAGAATTTTTTTGAAATATATTTAATTGTATATTACAATGAGACTGTCTGCTTTGTAAAGAATGAATTTGATGTTAATATTTATTCTTGATCAATATTTAGATTGTTGATGAAACTGAATTTGATATGAAAAAAGATGATTAATTATTACAATTGTCATTTATATAATCTGTTAATCTGTCAATTTTATTTGATATAAATTGAAACTGTAATTAGTCAACACAATGAAGAATTTTAAATTGAATGATGTATTCAAATTACTCAGTATCAATTTAATCAACTTATCTTTTTAAATGAGAGTGCAGTGAATGAATATACTGCAGATTGATGATATGAATGATCAAGTAGAGAATTTTTTTATTGAATTAAAGGACTTTATAAATGATTTTGCAAATGATTAATTTTATTGGCAATAAATGTTGATAAATATCTTGATTATAATATATATCAGAGATTTTAAAATATAAAAAGGTGTAATAAGTTTGTATATATTTAAATACTGCTCAAATATAGTTCAAACTAAACAACATCTAAATCTTCTAAAATAAATAAGAAACAAAGCAATTTTTATATATATTGATGGCTCAAAATGTGAGAAAACAAACAATCATAAAGCTGGAATAGTATATTCAGAAAATGATAAAAATTATATTATTGATTTTTGACAAATTGAAAAAGAGTCAGAAGTTTTTAATGCTGAATTATTTGCAATTTCAAAAGCTTTCAAATTGATTGAGATGAAGATTGAACAATGGAAAAGATTTGAATATATTTGAATATTCTTTGATAGTCAAACTGAGTTTAAAAGATTTCAAAGTATTCTTTGCGACGGCGAGCGCGCGGCCGGAAACGGCGCTGCCCGCCCGATCCGGTCAAGCGTCGTCCGCGTCCGGTTTAGCGCGCACCGATGCGGCCTGGCGCCGACCGCCCGGCCCCTGAGGCGCGCCGACGTCATCCGTCGCGACTATATAAAGCTGCTTCGACTGCCCTCCCTCGCACACGCACTTCTGCCTCCTCTCACCCGTCTCCTTTCCTTCTCTTCTCTAGCCCTGCCGTCTCTCGTCCCCTCCGACCCACTGCCTCTTTTCCATCACCCCGATTTGATCGCCGCCGGTCGATGCCGATGCCAACGCCGCAGAGGCCTTCTGCTTCGAACCCGCCTAGGGTTCTTTTCCACATATGCCATATGTGTTCTTTGCCCTCATGCCTTCCTTCCGCTCCCCTTTCCGCTCCCCTTACTGCTCCTTCACTCTCTACTCCCGTCTCGCGTTGAAGTGATACCTGCGATCTTCAAAAACGAAACAAAAAATATCCCTTATCACCTCCCGCATCAGCAGCTGGTCAAACCCACCCGCAGTTCCCCCGGTCCCTCTGTAACCCCCTCTCTCGTGCTTCGGACGTGCCTCCTGCTCAGCGGCCAATGGCAAAAATGCCTCATTTCGGTGAAGTCCGGTAGCAATGGATGATCGATCCCCAATTGCGGCGTCGCTGAGCCCGGCGTCATTCTTCCCCCGACCCTTGGACTCGTTCTTCGACCCTATGTGTCGGACCAAGAAATAACAACGAGGGGCGATCGATCACATGCCGTGTTTCCGGCCTTCCTTCTGCCCGTGGTTCGAAGGACCCCAGTTTCAGCTCCGGTGTGGCGGTCTTGCAGTTTGTCGACCAATCAACCCCGCCAGGAAATCCCTGCGATATGGTACGCGAGCGAGCTGAAGTCGCATCGTCCGGTCATCCTCGCATCGGGCTTTCCGGAGCGTGTCTGCGCCGCGTACGCCATGTAGAGATGCAAGGATGGTATGGTAGAGGACGAAGTCGCAGGGCCGAAGGCGCGAGGAGGCCGCGTATGCGAGGCTATAGCTGCATGTGTGCACAGCCGTCGTGTGCCGCTCGTTCCCACTCTCCTTGGGGGATTCGCATCCGATTCGTCCATGGTCCTCGCATGTTCCATGCCTGGATCGTTCGAGCGAGATTGGACCGGGACGGGAGGAGGCCGTGGCGTCGCTTCTGCGTCCACCCGACAGGCGATGGACGTGGCTGGCCGCTACTCGCACCTGCTTGGGTTACATTCGGCGGTTACGTGTGCGGTGGCCGACGATGTTTGATTTGGAGAGCCTGACGCTCGCCGGCGCTCTTTTGAGCGGGTGGTAGATTTTTCTCGCCGACAGGCTTATTCGGAGGAACAGGGAGGATGGAGCTGTCGCCAGAGCGGCGAAAACTGTAGATAAAATGGTCTGCTTTTCCCCCGTGGATTCACCACTGCCGTTCCGACGAACTACGCGAGATCATCATCTCTTCTGCGAACATGTGCGGCGACTGGAACATCTATACCCCTTCCAATCCCCCCCCCCAGGGCCTCGAAAACTCCTCAGTCCCCCAATCCCGCGAATCTCCCCCCTTCAAGACCCATGCCCGCAAGTCATCAACCCCCTTATCCTATACCCTCTGCATCCCAATCTCTTCACACGGCCCCTGCACCTTCCATCAGCCCTCAAACACTCTCCCACCCTTTACCCCCTCGTCCTCCTCCCTCCAGTCGTCCTTTGCAAGTTCCGCCTTCCCCCCCCTTCAAAGATCAGCACGAGGTCCAGTCTCGGGCAGGGGATACTCGCCCGAATGATTTTGATGAATTCTTCGCGGGACTTGATTCTCTCCGCGTCCCCATCCCCAGTGATGCAGCCGTGGAACGCTCGAGCCGGTATTTGCAGGATGAGAGGCACGGTTCTCACGGTGGGTAGCCGGTCTGCTCTCTCTCTCTCTTTCTCTTCCCTTTCTTTTTTGTTCTATCTGGTTAGACCGGTTTCTAACGCCAGGGCGTCTCCTAGGTTTTCCTGACGGGGATGAGGACAGAGGCCAGGAGAAGGACGACGAATCCTTACCGGTTCCTTCGCCCGCTGTAGAATGCGGCCTGGTCGGATCAACCGGCACAAAGGCTCTTCCTGGCGACGGCAGTTCAACGCTCGTTCTGGATCCGACTCCACACGCTGGCTTTTTGGAGCCGGGGTCGGGTCAGGATACATCGCATAGACAAGAATGGCCCCGAAGCAGTTCTGATGACCCTCTGCCCTTCAATCCGCCGATCACGGTAGACTCTGATGACAGCGCTACGGACAGGTCCGCTGTTGACAGCACCTTCACGTCTCCCGCCAAACGAGACACTTCCAGCCGTGCTACATCCATATCTCACTCTCCCAAGGCGGATGGTGGAAGCAACGAAGCCGGCACTGGCATCGCCGGTGTGCGATCTACCCTACTCAAGAGACAACGCCGGCGCGGGCCTGGTACCGGTGCCATGCACCCCATGGTCGCCGTTGAAGTGCCGGTCATCGCGGATCGCCTCGAAGAAGGCATATCAAGCTCGATGCGGTACGAGAATGGGCTAAGCAGCCGACCCCGGACCCGCCAACAGGAGACTCGTGCGCGATCGAGGCGTGAGGTCCCCGATACCCAGGACTGTAAGCTTCCCGGAAAATCGGTGCAGTGTGTCGAAGACGACACGACCATGTCCGACACGGGTGGCTCGAGCGCACACTCCGACGATACGGACGACGACTACCGTGCGAGCAGCGAAGAGGATGGCTCAATGAAACCACCTTCGAAGCGTCGCAGGCTTTCCACACCGCCATCCGGCCCTGCGTCGCGCCGTCCTCGGTTTCGGATCCCAAGGGCAGCAGCCGCTGCAGGTCGTGAAGGTGACGAACGGGAGGACTGCAGGGTGCGAACGACGACTGCGAAGGACCGTTCTACGAACCCCGGGAACAGAAATCATGGACCAGACACATACGCCCACTCCCGACCTCCTATTGATTACGAGACGCGCAGTTGCCCTCTGCCGTTGTTGGCCCGAGGGGAAGCTGTGATGCTATCATCTAGGGTGGCCCAAGTCGTTTTCGAGATGTTCATGGGCCGTCCAATGACCGCCTCAGATCTCGCGGGCGAGACGACAGCCGCGGCCGACACCGAAAGAGATTACAGCGAACGGGAGGTCGAGGGCCTGGGTGGGAAAAGACGTCGCTGGACTCGAGAGGAGGACGACCGTCTAATGACCCTGAAGCAGGACGGCTTCTCCTGGCCGGAGATCGAGGAGCGGTTTCCACACAGACAACTCGGCTCCTTGCGGCAGCGATGGTACACAAAACTTCAGAATACGCACGCAAGCAACCCCCCCACCAACAAGCGGAGGCAAGAGTGGAACTGTAAGCGCACCCACCCGATCCCCGTCTGTAACCCCCCAGCTACGTGTGACGTGAGCCTGAAAAATAGTGCTTAGAAGGTGTGCTGCAATGGGTACTGATGCCCTGTTCTCCTTGCGAACCTACTAGGTCGTGCATCAGCCGGTGAACCCCTTCCGACATCTAAGCCACCCACGCCCGTGGAAACTTCACTGGGCTATCTCGGCGGACAACCCCAACCAGCGGACGACCGGGCCACACCGAATGCGAAGCCCCGCACACCATCTCCGTCCTCAACAGTGACCGCCATGTGCCCGGTGTGCAATTCTGTGGTCGAGGTGGAGGCTTCCAGTGCGTTCAATGCCGCCAACAATCGCATGCAGGTCCGCGAGCAGTTGCGGTTCTGCGAGAACCACCGAAAGGAAACCGCACGGCGCGAGTGGTCCCGACTTCGCTATCCCATCATTGCGTGGGACCGCCTCGATGATCGGTTGACTCAATTCCATCCTCGCCTGCGCCGGATCCTCGATGGTTCCGGGTACCGCTCCCGCTATAAGAGTGTTGTGCACGAGAAAGTGCGGAAGCATGGCAGAAAGATCCTCTCCCGGAGTGTCCTGCACAGCACTGGCTACTATGGCCTTAGAGGCCATGAGATCCTGTGAGTGAAGAAACACCCCTCCACCCCTCCATCCCCCACCCCCAATCCCGACCCTGCGAACCCCACCGAGGAACCTCTTCACTGACCTTCCCCTCAGCTCAGCGCATGTCGTGTCTCACTTTAAAGATGCCATCCACTCACTGGCCGGCATCGATAGCGTGGCGTCGAAGTATGGGACCGTGGTGTATGCCCAAGAGGTCTTGGTTCCCGAACTGCTGGAGATGTTGGTTCAGGAGGACATGAGAGTCGATGCCAAAGTGGCCCGCCGGATTCTGAAGGAGAGCAACGAGATCGGGAATTTGCTTAATCTTGAGTGAATCGGGTACGTGTAGTTATTGGTTAACAGTGATGACCTGTAACCATCTTGATTTAACACAACCCAAATGATCAGCATTGTAACTACCTTAGTGAATAACGTAGCCATCAGAACATATCTTTTGGGTGACTCCTGCTTTGAAGACTTCTGAGTGAATTGGGTACATGTAGTTATTGGTATGCCGTAGGCCGATTTCGCAGCTTTCAAAACTTGTAGGGGTCTTAGACATATCAACAGAGCCCAAAAGTCAGCCAAAGGCATGGTGTAGTAAAAGACAACCAAGAGCAAATTCACGCTATCAATACACTAAATCTCCATTAGTTTACAACATCTGAGTTATAATGTGCATCGTTAGCTTAAGCGTACGTCTGGGTTTCTAGGTATAGTTTACCAACATTATCTGGGCCATCTACCAGCCTCATCCTGGTGAGGCTTAGTCGGCACTGAACCCCGCCTGGGAACCGGTCAAGGATATTAATCTCAGCAATCTCCGCTGTTTTTTCCTCTTCCACTTCTTTTCCTTCACAGCGAAAGCGCCCACCTGATCACATTCTACCCACATTATCTTTCATTGCTTACATGCGAAGTCCGCCGTCAGATCTGCCTTCTCCACAGTCACCATGACAGTTAATCCGCCGCGCCTCCCACCTGATATTGTTTCCATGATCCTTGAGAACCTGCCTGATTTTGCAGCTTTATTTTCAGCTGTCCAGACCTGTCGAAATTTTTACTCTGCATTCCAAAACTACAGCCGCCAGATTTTGAAAGCAATATTTTTGAATCAATGTCGTTCCGTGGAGAAGTACAGCTGGGGCAAGGTTTTTCGAGAGCTAGTTTTTATCGTTTGCAAAGATTTCGTGGCAAGGGATGCTGCTCGCTTCATCCTTGAGACGGCCTGGGAGTGGTTTTTGCAGATGGAGCAAGAGGAGGTGCTGATACCCATTGCAGTGGGTTTGGCCCATTCCTATGTTCTTAACGAGCGCATCGATGATGCAATCGACCTTCTTGAAAATATCTGCGGTGGTGCATGCCCCTTCAGGTGGTCGATGTCGATACATTCCAAAGGCACCTGGCGTCACTATAAAGAGGTGCAGAGACGGAAGGATATGACGCTATACCCTGCTCTACATCGGCTAGCAAATCTATACGCTGAGAAGGGCTGTGATAATGGATCAATCCCGAGAATTCTACACAGTCGCCGACTAGAGTATGAGGAACTGCCAACGGTCTTGATTGAGGAAACAAGAATCACCTACTCGACCGACTCCAAAACTTTTAGCTCAGAGGATACCTTGGTGGATGGTATTATAGGCTATGAGTACTACCGCGCTGGGAAGCAGTCCCGGTGGTCTGACTTTCCTCTTGTTGTGCGAGCTTGCCAGCTGCCTCACCCGGTCGCATTTGGAGCCACATTCCTTGAGAGTAAAACACGCCTCGAATTGTTGACCATGCGCCGATTGTGTTCTGCTCCCCAAATAGGGTTTGCGAGGCCAAGGAGGCACCCGGAATATGACAAGCGAATGTGATCCCATTCCTGGCGCTACCGGCGAAGACGCTGTTTAAAGTGCAAGAATAATGTCAGATTTTAGGTGTTATAATGGAGGTAAATGGCTGTTGGTAGCTGCCACAGCTATGTACCTACCCTCTACCTACAGAAATCTCTTTCCCTTTACCATGGATGAAATGGCCACTTCCGGCGCGTTCCACGCCCGTGTCTCTCCACGGAGTAGGAGTGGCTGGTTGAAAAGGTAGTGGATCCTGGGATCCGCGTGTGAGGGGCAAGTCAATGGGAGATCGCGCAGGGGGCGGTGGACGCGGGATTGAAAAATCGATTGGTCAGGATCATCTGTTGTATTGTGTCAATATCAATTTCAGTCCTGATTTCGTAATATGCCTGTCTTGATTGTGTTCGTGTTTGCTTCCGTTCTCTTCGTTTGAATATATATATCTTATTTCATTTCTCATATTTCATTCCGGTCCAGGAGCCCTATTGATATTGCCTATCACACTCCCGCCCATGGTATGGTATTTTCTTTGTGTGTGTTCCTTTGTTTGTGTCTTTGTTTGTTTCCTCTTCTCCCTTTTTTCTTTATCTCTCACTTGCAATAGGATGTTCTAAAGCATTCACCGCAATGTCGAATACCAACCACGGCATACGAAGACTTTCGTCAACCTCCTCGGACGTCAAAGGCGGCGGCAATACGTCTCAGCAAGACGAAATCATGGAGATCCATAGCCAGGTGCTCAAAATGATTGAAATATTTGAGCGAATGTCCGCGATGCTCGAGACAATAGAAACACGGAGTAAAGAACGATATCTACAGGCCTCGGTGAGAGAAGATCGAGATGTAGCACGTAACATTTGAATGTCGGTAAGCATTATTTCCATATCCAGTGGGCTTTATTGCTGACCGTTCAGCAAGGTTCGTCGAGAATGCGTACAATGAATGGAAAGAAAGGGAATCCGATAATTGAACAGTCCCAGTTGGTTCATACCTTGCTATAGTTGTTACCCGACCATGTACATCTGCGAATCGAAATGAACTACTCCCTTGTGGTGCTCATGGGTATACGTCATATGGCTGCTTCTCGGTGGGAGTTCACTTTGTGTCGGCATTTTCTCATAATGTCGTTAAAACGCTTCTAGTAACGAACGATGCCTTTGGGCTCCGGCCACCTCTAGTTAGTTGACTTATTGGCTGCAGGTGTAATGAATAGCGATGTTCGCGCAACTCCTCCAGGAGACATAGAATATTTGCTGGGGTCCATATTTCACCCTTAACGTAGATCATGTAGCTGATTTAGTAAGCGTCTAGGAAGTTGAAGTGGACCTAACTAGAGAACTGGACATGTTAACAGGTATGCATTGAGCAGCATTACTATAAGATTATGCCTTTAAAATGGATCCGAAAATACAAGAATTGTTGGCTGAACGTGAGTGAGAAAGAGCTGAACTTGATCAAGAAAGACAATGGCGTCAAGACGCGGAAGCCGAGGCGAGAAGCGAAAGAAGGCGACGTGAAGAGCTAATGGTTTCTCAGCTCACAGATTCACTAGTGAGTGATCTAGTTACTATTTACAGCAACTTAGGTCATATTCAAACACTAACCAGGACCATCACTTTACAGGAAATCGATCATGTACGAGGCGAAATTGCTGAGACTTATCTCTACTACTGCACCTAGCCAAATTCTCTGCATTGGAATAAGAGTGTACCGTGTCGCATGGCGGCATACGTGGCAACCGCGGAGCGATCTGATCCTGGGCTGCTAGGAGCTGGTCAAAAAATTCCCTGCAGAGTGGAAGTCCCCTCATTTCTTTGCCTCTCACTTCGGTTTTTCTTCGAACCATTTCCGTTCTATTTTGTCTAGCCAGAGAAAAGTATAAAAGCCTCCCCTATTCTGGATGTGCATATATATATTCTTAAACCGTAACAAATCATCAACAGAAACCCTATCGCTCTTCTCACTTGCAACAGGATGTTTTAAATGCGGTCATACTGATCATTCAAAAGATATGAGAATTTTTACAGTACTGTACAGTACCCTCCTAGGAATTTCTCTAAATCCACTCCGGATCCATATTTGAGGCCAATTCAGAAAGGCCCAATTTTGTATTAATTACTCTATGCCATTAACTTCTATTTACCATGGTATTCTACTAACTCTAAAGATGAGGAAACAGGCTCGTATCCTTCATTATTTCGAATCTATCAGGAGGCTCTAAAATTTACAAAGGCTGAGTAGGGGAGTCCAAGTGAACTGTAGAATGTTTCCCTCACAGCTGATGGCCCCGCTCATACTGGTCAAACTTATTGTCTGGTCCCATCTCAGCTCTCACAGGGCCTTCAGACACACAACTGCAATCTCGGGAAAGCTGCTGGAGAGTTTCGTCTGACATTTGCCTCAGCCACTGTGCTGACCTAGATCTGGTTGTGATACATTTCACCAAGATGAGCTCTCTCAGTGTTGAGACAATGACTTGATGAGCATCATCAGCTGAGAGAACATCCTCAAATTCATTGAAGCGCACCTGCTTTGTTTGCTCAGATGCCTCAGCATAAATGGCCAGACACTGTTTGAGGCTATTTCTTTCTTCCTGGAATTGCTCCCACTCAGCTGTTTTCTCTGTCTTGACTGCCTGCGACATTGCTTCCAGTCTGACCTTTAGTCTTTCAGTGTGTTTCTCGAGATCTGAAGACACAGTCAAGAGTTTCTGCCTGTACTTCTGCAGAATGCAGTTGGTGACATATTTAGATGAGCCAGAATTGAAATTGCCAATCACATCAATCTCCAAGAGTGGGATGGAAGTCATGGGGGTCTCAGTCAAAATTTTGAGTTGAAGTTTGTCTATGTGCTCAAGAGCATCCGCGCAGATTCGGAGGCACTGTTGAGTACTATTTCTTTCCTCTTGTATTCAGCTTCACTGCATGCTATCTTTGTGCTCCATCTTGAATCTCTTTGAAATGAACAAGTCAAGTTTGTTTTCAACATCTGGAGATGATCTTCAAGATCAGAAGCTGTGTTTGTTATCATATCTCTATACTTGTTAAGAACAGTAGCAGTAACAGTTGTTCTGCAGCTATAAGACATATCATCAGCTTGATTGGGAAGACATGTCTTAGAGAGACATACAAAGTCACATCCCCAAGTGCAATATTAATTGTAGATTTATATCCTGCCAGCATCAATCTAAATCGGCCTAAGTCTTCTCCCATATATGTCAACTTGGCCCAATCTCAAAAGCTGGTCTTAGAATCATTTGAATGCGTCGCGCATTTGTTGATGATGTCTTCAAATTCCCTGCAAGCTTTGCCGCAACAAAGCAGTGGGAGATTGAGCCCAGCTAGTTCTTCCCCATAGGCCATGACCGCCTGTTGAAGTGATTGCAAAACCCCATCAAGAGACTCAAGCTCCTCCTTCAGCTCCCTCACCACTTGCTTGGTACTGTGAAAGCTCTCAACCGCCTGGTAAAGTGATTTGCTTGAGTTAAAAGCAAACCCTGTCAGAGTGATGATACCAGAAGCAAGGGAGACAGGTTCCGCCATTGAACCAGTATAGATTTCCCGAAATTAGGTTAAGTACGGTAAGTTCCCAGCGAAGATTGCGATTTGGGAAGGGGTTTTGGTCACTTGACAGCCCCGCGCTAAATTCGGCCAATCACGTGTGTTATTGCTGGGACGCCAAGACAGTGGCCTGGAGTGGGGAAATGGCTTGGCTCCGACGACCGTGACGTCACAGCCAAGCGACAAGCTGAGACGGAAGGCTAAACCCGAACGGGAGACGCCATTCCGCATTGGGAGGACGCCAGACCACAACGGGACAAGCGCGGCGCAGAGGGCGCGAAGCGACCGGGTCGACTCAAACCGAATTAATGAGCGAGAATATCCCAACGGCTGCTACAAAGAGACTGCCACAGCTATACACGTACCCTCCAAAGCATTCCAGGGCGAGAATGATGTTGTCGTGTCGGATACGTTTGAATCTGTCCAATGTCTCGTCGATCGCTTCTTTTGGAAACTCCCTGACGGCGAGAACGGTAGAGGGGCGGACAATGTGTTCCACCACGGCCACCGATCCTGCTAATTCGCACTCATCTGCTGAAGGTGTCCCACGGAGATTCATTTCGGACTACAAGCGCCTGCTGCGCCCGATCACCCGAGCTCACGATGGCGGGAAGGGAGAGATCTCTTGGCTTGCCTTTCAGAAGTTTCCGAGGAAGTTCCTGTGGTGGAGAGCCTTTTCGTTTGCTTGGTGCTTAGTTCGGAGCCGGATTTTGAGAGGAGAGCCTGTCGCCTCCCATGAGGTAGGAAAAGCCAGCGCCATCCTAGTGAGTCTGGCTCAGTCCAAGTAGCAATTGTTACAGACGAGCTTCCCGACAACGGCTTCTACGTGTTCTATGTTGGGAACTTTGGGACGGTTGGGAAAGTTGCGCTCATAGCACCTGATCATGGAAATGTAATCGGTCCATTCCAACTCCCTTTCCTTGCGATCAGGATTGGGTGATAATTCGACAGTAGAACAGCACCGATTCCATGGCCATGGCTCTTCCAAGGCTGTAACAAAAAAAAGGCTCTTCATGCCTGTCATCTTGCCTGACAGGTCTAGGTTTCTGGGAGACCGGATTGGGATGGCTATCGACTCGATTTCATTTACTTCAGGGTATTCCGAAGTGATTTCGTCTAGGAACATGACATCGATGTATAAAATGTCGAGCTTGGGGCGGAAGTATATGGGTCTAGGCATTTCGCTTCCACATTTCTCGCTGAAGAAAGGCCTAAAATGGGCGAGAGCAACTTCGCGAGATTCTCTGCATATGTGGAGAAGTACCGGCGGGCGGGCAGAGCAGAACATTTTTTCACGTGGTTCATATCCACTTGCAGGTAATTCACTTATGCGAAGAACACGTCGATTGGGTAGTGCATTCTTCCAAACAAGTATCCGTATTTCAGGTGGCAGTTCCATGAGAGGGAAACATGTGCCCTGTTGGTATCGTAGTTGTTGATTCTCAGCTTCGACTTTGCGGAGCCGAGCTGTTAGATCCTCAATTTCCGCTTGCAGATTATGGACGATATTCTGGGCAAGAAGATCCATCCTGAACTGCGGTAATAAGGTGGACTAGTTAATAGGAACGATGAAGGTGGTTGTTTGCCAATGATAGAAATGGGGAAAAGGGAGAAGATGCACATACGGCAGGAATTAGAGAAGTTTTACGTCGTGGTTAGGGGTCTTATAGTTATAACTGCCACAAAGGCAAGGCTGACCTGGCAGTGCAGGGAGCCACGGGAAAGGGGGGGTGCAGGGGGCGCAGCTAACATTCAGGGATCCAAGCAGATTTTTAGTGGGCAGCATAGCTGTGTGTTTTTCTGTCGGCAGATGAACAGCGGAACTTAACCACTGTATCTCAAATCTCGGTGCAAGCGTTTCATAAGGTGGGTGGTTTGTTTCAAAATATACCCGGAAGTAAGATAATCCGTTCCATTCACTTTGTTTACCTCGTTTGCTCCATATGGCTTTCTGATTTGTAATTAAGCGCATACAGCATTTTAGGGAGATTACTATAAGATTGTGCGTTTAGAATGGATCCGAAAATACAAGAATTGTTGGCTGAACTCAAGATTCCTAGTCAGCAAAGGGACACGCTCTTAGCTTTGGCGAAGACTCGTTTAGGCCTGGTGCCTAGCGTCCCCTTCGATGACTTTGTTACTGGCAAAGGGCGTGGCCTCAACGTTCTCCTATAGTAAGTACCTGCATCCTTGCTTAGCGAGTGAAGCGCCCTGACTTTCAATATCAGCGGCCGGCCAGGCCTCGGAAAGACTTTCACCGCCGAGGCATTGGCGGAGCACTTACAGCGCCCTCTTTACAGAGTATGGTCCCAACCCGCCTGGTCGACAGCCACTACCCTCATCTGCCTACCAAGGGCCGTTAATTAACGGCTAGGAGAGGCCACCTTATGGTCGATCATGATATCACTTTCATGATCAGCATTACGGTCGGGTGCTAGTAGAGTCCAGCTGACATATCAAAGGCTATTCACATCTCTTCTCCAAGTTCCTTTCCTGTTTGCCCCTTTTCTTTTTTGGATTTCTTAACCCCTCCAGGCTGCGCATGAAGGCCAAATGAACAACTTTTGCCCCACTTGTGACTCCTAGGCAATGGGTCAACAATTTTCCGGTTAGCCTGTTTTTTGGGATTGCTTACCTCAGCATACTCAACTTCTTCTCGATATTTTCGAATGCAACTCAATTTTAGACTTTTGCCAAGTCCTGGTAATATACAATCAGAGGCCTCACACGTGCTTATAACATGTTTGGGGATTCCCTTTTAAGATTAGTCGACAGAAGAAAAAAGGTCACGATCGAGCTGTTCTTTCAGTAGTTGCACAAGCTTCACCCGGTTGGTGAATATCATTCCGGGCTGTCCGGATCGCTGATCTGCTATGGTTCTTCCCTTGTGGCATACATTCGATGGCAGAGATAATTTAGAATTTTAGGGTTCAGCGAAGGGATAATAGATCACTGGAACGGAATTACTCGATTTGATTATCTAAATATCTATTTGCGTCTTTTCTGGGGCAACTTGAATGCTTCTGAGGATTTCCCTTCATTTTCCCGCGGAGGACCTGAGGGGGGAACCGGTGAATCGGGGGGAGATGGCTGGGCTTCCTCTTCCAATACAGATGTAAAGCTTGAATCTTGTACATCGACACCCTCAATTCCTTGTGAAAGTCCAGTTGATTCTGAAAAACCCGGCTCGGGCTGCGGTAATATTTCAGGATGCTGTGATACGTCTGGCTTAATCTCCGGTAGTTCATTAATAGCCGAGCACAACCTTTTGAAGTGAGAAGGGGCCCAGTCGTCATACACGCCCATCACGAACTTATAGCATGTCCATTTCTCTTTGCCATCCAGCGCTGCGAAACTAAACTCATGAATGGGGTGACGGTAATAGGTGGTCTTATTTCCATCAATCACCGGATAGTGACCGTAGATCCTCACCATTCGATGATCATGCGAAATTGAAAAAGAAAGAATCTGTCGATTTAGCTCCTTTTCACGCTTCACAACCCTGAAGAGCTTGACAACACCTCTTACTGAGAGAGTCATGCTGTGCGCATTCTGTCGATCTGCTATATCGAGTGCCGCTTTTCCACACTTCACTTCAACCGTCATAAACGGAAAGTACATGTAAGCAGTACTCATAAAGAACGACATATCGCCAATTTCACCGACAAACGGCGCAAGTTTTTCCAGTTGATCCTCAGAGAAGGATTGTCGGGGAAACCCGACCGCGTAATCGGGCTGTGGCCGAGATAATCGAAATTGTCGAGATTGTGGAAGAAGTGGAGTTTGTGCAAGTGGTGGCAATCGTTGATCCTCATCTAGGGAAATCGAGCTATCCCAGCCTTCATTCACGCTAACAACCAAATGCGGAAAAGTGACATGGCTGAGGTCGATTGCACTCTCTGCTGACGGAACGATTAATTCACCTATGATGCGAGTAACCCCAGCTTCGTTTTTCTTTTGTAGCCTTCGACATGTCGATTCAAAGGCACATTGTTCAAACACAGTTCCCTTGGGAACCTTGGGATTTGCGCTTAGTATTTGACGACAGGTAGACTTGCTGTCGCTATCAATACCATCATCATGGTCATACATAAAACAGCCCTTAGTCTCCAGATATGTATCATAGTTCTTGTTAGTGTAAGGTCTACTCTTCGCCTCTCGCGAACTCGTTTCGCTCGCAGTGGTCAAACTACCGTTTGACTTCGTCCGGCGAAGAGATGGGGTGTTTGGCCGGGCAAGAAAGTGTTCCATAGTGTTGGGTTCCGAAAGCTTTTCAGGCCACGTGAATTTATTGTGCGTCCAATGCTCAACAAGTCTATTCTTGTCGGTTCTTGGCCGCTTCGATGGGGGATCGGGGTTATCAGATGGACGCTCAGGTTCCGGGAGTAGTCGTTTATGCTTTGGTGAACGCTGTTGCGACGAGATTGGTGGACCATGAAGAGTCTTAGGTTGAATTAGCTGCTGTCGGAGGATCATACGGGTGATAAACTTACCTCTCGTTTGATGGTCTGGGTCGAAGGGAGATTGATGCTCCTGTGTTCCTTTATTCCGTAGACTGTATCCACACCAGAGTTGGTAGGGTTCGTACGCCGTCGTTTTTCAAGACGCCTGGCTGGTTTCCCAGGCGAGCATGATCGCTTCCGTTTATGATCGTTTACTTGTCTTTCCTGACCATCAATATTAGTTTTCCATAGCACCCAGAGGACGACGGGTATCATACAGTCTTTCCGAGTGAGCGACTCGTGAGATGTTTAGTTTCCTGCTCACAGAAAGGATATCTTTGAGAGAGGCGCACGCTTCTTCGGCAAGGGCTGTGTCGTGCTCCTTTCTGGGCGAGCAACTCGCTATTGTCCTTTGAAGTAGAGGTTTGACGGCCTCTTTTGTTATGATATTTTGCTGGACGCGAAGCCATGTTTATTGAACGAGAGAACGAGAGACTAGTAGATGGATTTATGTTGCTGAACAGGGGATTTGCATGGACGAAGCACAAGATTGATGGAGCGCTTGGGTCTGGGGTCAAACATGGGAAGATGGTGGAAAAGGTGTGGCTTGGTCAGGGATTTTGTGGTTGTCATTGGTTATGATTCGGCTCGCTAGCTTGGCAGTTAGCGGAGGCCCCAGAGTCATTAAGTGTCGCCAACCTGAAAATTGTTCGCTTCCTCCCCAACTACGAAAAAAGGCTTGGCGTCCGGGGGGGGGCTATTTGGGTTAATTGCTGTTACAAATTATACGGGAGGGATGGGAATTTCACTCTGACCGGATTTCCTTTACCAGATTTGTTAGGAGATGCATTGCTACCTGACGGATGTCTATCAAGATCTTTTCGCGTATTTGGACATGGGCTAACCCTGAAGCCGGCTGGCTGATGGAAGCCTGCCCCATGTGATCATAATCAACCTCTCTTGCAAATGTCATAGTGGGGCATGCAGCCATCAACTTTTTGCCCCTCCCCTCTGCGTCCCCTTCCGACTCTTTACGTCACTCTGGTCACTCATTCCCACCCGTTCACCTTTTTGCTCACTTTTTCTATAAAATTACCCCTTTCTGTGGGCCGCTGAGCGGTGACAGAACACTTCGCAACGCCAGAGAATCGCTCTTCCGTGAATGAACAGCCTAACCTTTACCCTTGCAACCGCCTCCTTGGAAATATTTTTTTGACAATCGCCAAGGTGAGTTTTGATCACCTCCCAGCGCCCTTAGCTACCAACTAATTCTATCACAGTTTCAACTGTCGCATTCCATACCCATTCACCCTACGTTGTTTCTGAAAAATTTCTCGGGTCACTCTTCAAAAAACGCCCTTTGCGAGACAACATTTGCCCTTATTTAAACTTCGCTGAATATTTTGCCCCGATTATCGTCGTCCTCGCGATTTGGGTAAACCGCAAGTCTCACCAGAGGCGCGTCCCCGGAATTTCGGGAAAGTATGGCTACTCAGGTTGGGGAAAAGGCTCTCAATGGAGAATGGGAGGACATCGGCGCGCGTGATTTTCACATAAAGGAGGACATGACTATGACATTTGAGGGTAGATCATGTAATATTGCAGACGGTGAAGGGAAGTTAGTCGAAAAATTAGGCGCTGGCGATGGACAAGTCACGAGAAAGGTCCTCGCCGGATATCGATGTTACATAATGAAGGCGTCAGTTAAGTTTGAGAAGGGGTAGTACTGATTGCATTTATCATTGATGGCAGTCAATCTTTAGATACTTCTGAGACATCACCGCTAGACTCTGGGTCCCCCAATTCAAACAAGTTACAGATGTTCCATCCATCCTTGTAAGATATTCTGACAGCAAACAAAGCATCTTCGTTGAGTGTCTCTGGCATGTACATAGACAAGCAATTTGTAACTGCTAGTCCTCCTCTCTCCTGTTCCTCCCTCCATAATTTGCTCGCCTTTAGCGCAGTGCGAAATGGCTCAGGAAGGTTTTCGATCATGTCCCGCCTCACGAAAGAAAATGAGCAGTACTGTCCATTTCCTGGAAATGTTGGATTCCCTGTCGTCAATGTTAGGTACAAAAGTGATATCTCAGGGACCATCTGTCTAACCTGGAACCTGCTGTGATTCCAACCGGGGTCGTTTCGGCAATGGTTCATCTGTTTGAGTTGCAATAATGATGAGAATCTAGATAACTAGAGCATAGGCTAGCTAAGGTCACTCACACTTATTAAAGTTTGGGACACTGAACTCTGTTGCCATGGAAGAGAGCGCTGGGAAATACAAGAAATTTGTATTGTTGGCGACCCAATGAACAAGCATCGTTCTCTTCTCTTCGCTCAAGGCAACCACTCTGTGTTTGCCCAGGCCAACAGCGCAGAGCACGACAAGTCCCTGTCCAAACTGCCCACACGCTCGAAGAACATCATGTAGAAAGGAGTGGTATATTTTGAAAGCACGAACAATCTGCTCGGTGGTCATGATCTTAACTGCGGCGGAAAGGAGATTCGCGGCTCTGGGCTCTAATCGCTGTAGGGTGCGAAGTTTCTTTGCGCGCTCTTGGAGTCTCTCACATGGCTCGCGGATTCCCGTTGTCACCTGAGGGTGTTGCGTCTCCTTCTCAAGCGACTGGTCCATTATTGGTGAAGCTTGCCCAAGTGGCAGTTAATGGTGATTGAGTTAATCGGTAGTTAATGGGTAGTTGATTAGTAATGTATATCTGAACAGCGAATGAAAAACTTTGGCGCGTCTGGCGGCAAGGGCACGCAACTCAAACCAATCCCACTACTGCAAGTTTGACAAGATTCTCTTCCTCGATTGTGATCAATCAAGCGACATATTTTCCTAGCCGACTTCTGGATATTTGCGGCGAAGTGATGGATGCGTGGCCCCAATACGGCATGCTGTCACGGCCGATTGTTTGCCAATCGTGACTCTGCCCGCATGGGTCATCCTGTAGAGCTCCTGCAGATCCGCGACGCAGACGGTATAGCATATCCTGCCAGATATCCGGGGAGATGGTCCAATTTGACTCGGTGCGCGCGGGTGCTACACAACAACATATAAGGCGGCAAAATTTCCCTCCGAACCCTGAGGCATGAACAGGTGTTTAAATGTTCGGATCCTGCGCTAGCCCTCCATTTCAATATTTGCAAGCCTTTACACGTTGTCACGTCGTCTTCGTTCATCGCGATGTCCATGCCTAGAGTCACCAGCGTCGCCAGGCCCTCGAAAACACCAATTACCCCTAACCACGAGACCACGGAAATTGGGAACAAGGGGCCAGCTCTAAATGCTCCTGAAGAGTATGCTGGTAGAATAACTCCTGCATTTTACCTTACTGACCACCATTAGCCACGGCGAGGAACTGTTAACCAAAGGGGATCAGATTGTACTCCAAAAAGAACAAGGTAGGAGCCATCTCAACTCTTACCAGACTTGATTGCTAATAGGGTATGCAGGTGGGGGCGCCGAACGCCTTACGAGCAATGTTGATACCAAGCCAAAGAGCCTGCACCAAGACCCTGTATTTGCGGATAATGAAATTGATTTCGATCCTGCGATGAAATGAGATTGTATCTAAAATAGCCGTATGGGATGATCAATGACCGATTTCAAACATGTTGGCCTATTATATATATCATGTCAGGAATTCACTCTGTGTTTCGCTCACTGTTTCTACTATGGCTGGATCGTCGATCCATGGTCGCCAAGCGTAAATCTGTCCAGTAATTAATGGCTCGGAGGTGAACTGCTCTATCAGAAACAATAACCTTTCAGCCTGGCTGAAGACTACTCCACATTTTGACAGGCGACGTGGTTCATGCACTTCCCATATTATGATCTCTGCTTTACTCTATTTCACTAGATGACGGAGGTGGACTTTTCTTGATAATTGGCCCATTTCGAAATAGTCCCCGTATATAGACAGGGAGGCGCCTCAGCACATTTAGAAAGTGTTGTTCATTTTCTCCTTTGGCACCAAGAAATGCCGGGAAAATATTGATCCGAAAATTTATGCAAATGCCACTTAAGTGAGGGGTAAAATGTCGAAGCGTCAAACAAGTGAAGGTAGAATCATTTCTCCAAAGCGAACGAAAACGGAACAGAAGACACCCATGGCCAATCCCCGGGGTTACATCATAGTCAAACGGGAAAATGAACAGTCGCCACCAGAGGAGCTTTTCGCAGCGGTAGAGAGTTACATTGGGGAGGCAAAATTTCAAGAAATGCGACAGATCGTGGATGAAGTGGGCGCTCGAAGGGTCGATGGGGGAGATGCTGGTGAAGCATTGTTACATCATGGGATCAATGTAAGTGTTGACTGTAGCCGCGATGGCCCCAAGCTGACCTCAACAAGTTTTCAAACATCAAGTTCGAACCCTTCTTCCAAGATGCCCTCGGCTGTGCTTTTGACGAAGCAATTAAATCGAAGGTGGAGGTTGTATTCTGGCTAGAAAACAAAAACCAACTGCCACGTTATCCCGCCGGGCTCCGTGGTACAGTCCACATATTCTGCCCGGCAACCACCGAAGAGCTCCATGAGGGTAATGGCCTCTTTCGCATCGTGGAAGGTTCCCATGCAATGACAAGGGGCCAATTTCGTCACATCGAACCTACCCCGATCCGTCTTCAACCCAACCAGATATTGATTCTCTCCGCCGATTTAACAATACAATATCCACAGGCAGGGGGGGGTGTCGGGGTTTTCATGAGGCTATTCCCACCTACGTGAAAGAGGCACCATGGAGATTAGAATATTCTATATGATAACATAAAGCAATTGCTCATATGCAGTCCATTCAATTCCAAATCAGAAATTGCTAAATACAGGATCAATTGCAAAAAAGACGGGATCGCAATTATTGGTAGTAAAGAGCACAGGGTCATGCTCATAAAAACTGGCGTATGTCCCATCATCTGCCATTGCGACTGGTGGTGAGGAATCCCGCAAAGTTGCTCCGTCATCGTTTGTAAGGTCCTGGGCGACGTGCGGATCACACCACCGATTTTGGCCGGCCCTTTTAGTCGTTTCCGAATCCGAGTTTCGCGCATGTGCTATTTACGCCTTCAGCAATTATATCTGTATATGATATCTTTAATACTAACCTTCGGAGTAAAGTCTGGAACTTGCGGTTTCTGCTAGTATGTTTAACCTAGCCGGCTGCCGAGACCGTGATGGAATACCATCTGTACAAATATTTGTCCGAATCCTGTCGGTAGTGTCACGCGAGCGTCGATGATTGGTTGACTGGGTGTCCTTAATAAGCAAGTAGCCCTTGCGTTTCCCTCCACCCGCGCTGCTTCCACCGCAGGAGAGTCGGAATCGTTGCCAGTAGGACTTGGGCATTGATTCATTGGATTCTGCGCCCCTCCATTCTTTCGCTTTCGAACTCTTGGTTGTTTAGTCTGGCATTTCTTTCGTTTTGCTCCGGATTGCACATTGTTCTGTGGTATAATCACCGTTGATGGAATTTTCGACCACAAATGTTTGAAAACGGAGCCGATAACATCATGGGAAGTCCTGCCTTCCCACTCGACCGAAGCCGCACGAGACGCATCTTGAAGCAGATGGATTATAGCAGTCGCATCAATACCCGTGGGGCGGTAGTGGGTCTCATACCTGGAGTGCAGCCGGTCAATGAAAGTTTTGTGATGCAGGATGGACGGTACTAACATTGTCCGACCAAGGTACGGAAGGTAAACTACACTGCCTTTCCCCCCCAGCTTTCGAGCGATTATGTTGTATTTGGAGCCTGCAAATACCCAAGCCGGTAAATGTGAGCTCAAGGCCTCACGATACTCGGGCGAGAGAAGGTTAGATTGAATGAGTATCTCCGCGATCTCAGGAGCTTCCGCATTGAACTTGGCAGCAAGATCCGCCATGAACATGGAGCCCACCCGCCAGCGTACATCATTGAGAATAATTTCGTCGTCTATTTTGAGCATAAGGTGGACAATAGGATCAAAGGGAACAATGGCAACAAGTGCTATGCTGTTGTCATCACCAATTGTTATAAACCGCTCCGGGCGATCGAACCATTTCCATATAATCCCTCTGACGCTCTCGCTGAATTCGGCACAACCTTTAGTTTTTCCTCCTCCCTTGAGAGAAGTCCTCAGAGGATTTCTACACTCCCCGGCTCTGAGGATTTTCTTCCACCCTTCCGGCAGATTTTCCGATAATTCGAGGAGAGAATCAGCAAACTGTTCTGTTAGCGTTGACTGCTACTTTCACTCAAAAACGGGACGTTTTACCTTTCCATCATCTAAAAGTTTCTCAATAGGACGATCTCCATGTATAGTGACAAAAATATCAATTTCATCTGCAACTCGTCTAAGCCTCCGGCTAATTTGATGGGCCATCTTTCACGGGTTGTGGATGGTGAAGGGAAAGGAGGTGGGAAGCAGAAACAATGGATCGGGTTAGCGTGCCTCTAGCATGTCCATCAATAGGGGTGCACGTGGCTGTAGCATCATGGAACTCCTTTGCCAATGACAATCACCTACGCTATTGCGGGATGGTGGCTACAGCAAAAGCCCGATGACCAGGAGTATGGCAAATGCAACCAGGAGTTGGAATCTGTCGAGGGCACAGGGAAACTTGCGTCGATCCTGGGAGGAGCGAGTGCGATATATGTGCCTAGCTTGAGTCCGAGCCACCTCATGCAGCAGTATCCGAACTTTGCACCTCACTGCTTTTGACTATAAGAGATGCTTCACCGTTCGCTCGTTGCCTTATTTCAGTCCGGGCTGGCCCAGATCTTTGCAGCCTGCTCGGTTGATCAAGAAGGTGGAAATTAGCTCCTGCTGCTGCATACGAAGGGACTTGTCTTTTGCCTTTATTGTCCAGCACAAAGTTGGTTGATATCTCATTCCTCTACCATGTCGAGTTACTGACTGTGTAGAAGGTTGTTTGGGTAGCTTTCGAGAGACTATTGATCATGGCGCAGCAGGCGCTCAGCTTTTTGAGCTGGTTGGGCCACAACCCAAATTCTACACCATCAGATGTGCCCAGCAATGAGGATGTGAAAGACACTTCAAGCATCTGTACACCAACATCTCCTGGACGGTATGTTTCCCCACCTTGTTTTTAATCGTTGCTAACAGATAGATATGACAGCCAAACCGAGCTCTACCAGTTCGCAATTGATGACATTGAAGGAGTCGAATGTTATTACGGTTTGATGTATGACCTGAAATCTGCTCGCGTACTATTTGCCGCGAAAACCAAAGATGGAATTAGGGTAGGAATATCTAATTGGGAAACATTCATCAAAGCAAAGGGTGCTAGGAGCGCAGTTGAAAAGATGGATGAGGATCTGAAAGAACTCGCAAGCAAATACGGGCTAGCCTGGGATGAGAGATTGGACACAACTGATGTCTTGGAGAATGGGCGGAAATGATCAACACCGCTTTGCATCCCTGAAAATGGTATTTTAAGCTTTGGCTGGGTGGAAAACTGGGATATTATATTATCCTTACTGGGCCGTGTTGTATATAAATGGTAGCTTCTGCCTTTCGCTGTCATCGCAAACATGAATGCTGCGGTTGGTGTCGGCGTTCTATATAATTTCTGAGTTCCCCTGTACAGCCCTCCATCCCTCAGTGTGTTTTTATTTGATTTTTTTCCCCCTACAACCCTGGCCAACCTGTGATTGCATACTTCTCAAAAATATCATGGACCAGGCATCAAGCCTCGTTGATTCTCTTTTGAATACCATATTCCCTGGATCCATATTTATGGACACATTTCACGGAGCTCCCCACCTGGGCATTCTGTCCAATATCCTGATTGTCGGATGTGCATTTGTTTATGTCTGTATCTGGGTATATGATGGAATCTGGAAATTCTGTGCCGTGGAGGTACAAATTGAACCGCGCAGTGAGGAGCACGAACATCTAACCACGTTTCTAGAATCCCGGTTTACCGGGTGCCTGTCTTGGAGGGTTAGAAGTGAGGAATGGAGTGGAGAGAACGCGCCTAAGAAGACCGATGGAGAGGACGCGCCTGAGAAGACAGAGTGGGACTGGAAAACCGTTGGAGCATTGCGGGATTATCGATTTCGGCCCAACACATTTTGTTTATTCCTATTCGGGCTTTCAATATTCCAGTTTCAGCGGAAGGAAATAAGATTCGAGTTCTGCTCTGAGGAGCGCTACAGCCTGAGAGTTTTAGGCTGGTCCTGCAAGCCAATTCAAAGATTACTCGCAGAAGCCAGGTCATGTCACATCTCCAAGAACAAATCCCACATTACAATTTTCAACCCGGGAGGAAAGCCTGTCCGCCAGACTAAGACTCCATGGCATCTTGTCAAAGGCACGAGTCGTCGGTCGCTCAAAAGTATATCCATAGAAGAGAAGCGGAAAGACGCAGTTTACGAAGACATGCGCAGTTTCTTGAACGCTCAGTCAGCGTATGCAAAAACAGAAAGGCCGTACCGCCGTGGTTACCTATTCAATGGACCCCCTGGGACTGGGAAAACCAGCCTTGCGCTTGCTTTGGCGGGTAAATTCGGTCTGGATATTTACACGTTGAGCTTGACGGGTCAAAACATGACCGACGATGAACTCCAGTGGCTCTGTAGCCATCTCCCGCGCCGTTGTGTCCTCCTCATTGAGGATATCGACAGTGCCGGAATCAACCGCGAGAAAATGCGAGCCATACAGGAGCATGGCACGAGGCAAAACAACCAAGTATCACTCTCCGGCCTCTTGAACGCGATCGACGGCGTCTCATCATCCGACGGGAGAATCTTGGTCATGACCACAAACTGCCGAGATCAACTTGATGCGGCTCTTATCCGCCCGGGACGCGTGGACATGGAAGTAAAATTTACACTGGCGTCAAAGGAGCAAATAAAATCGATTTTCCAGCATATGTACCCCCACGAACGCGGTACCAATCTTGCAGACATGGCTGCTGAGTTCGCCAATCAAGTTCCCGATTGCCAGTATAGCCCGGCGGATATCCAGAACTATCTATGGAAACATAGTGATCCTAATCATGCTGTTATGGAAGCTCAGAAGCAATTCCCTACGAAGGAGTGAACTTTCGCGTCATTTCCTGCGCGATATTCATTGGTGGTTGGTGGCTTGCTTAGCTAGGAAATGGAACCTGGAGGATGCCACATAGCACATCTGTAGTGAGAAATTATTGAGATGGGCAAACACAGTTTAAATTTCATATGTATACGATATATTGATGCACAGAGATAAAATCCTGTGGCAGTCTACCAGCGTATTAGGTCGTTGCTTGGCGGAAATGCTAGTTACTGGTGCATGTAGTTAAACAACTGGTACCGTACGTAAGCCAATTGATGGGCATGCAAATATTGGTTTAAGTTGGCGAAGAGCCATACATCAACAAGAAGCGTGGAGGGCGTACTGTGCAAAACCATCAAGTTGGTATACCCGCAATGGTCACAGCAGAGGACATCATCGGCGCTCTAGAAGCAGGCCATTATTTCCAATCTGTTGTTGAAATAACAACGCTAAAAATGCATACCCCACAACAGTGGTCTGTGTCTGAGCGGCACAACCGGGGCGCCTTGTCACCAGTATTCCGGTACAATTTTCACTCATTCTTTTCTAACTGATTGGATTATTAGCATTATGTGACCAAATTTGAGTTAACGGAGCCGCTAAGATTATTTTCCTCAGTTCCAAAGTCTAGACCCGTTGTTGTCGTCGCTATCTATGAACAAACGATGTTTCCAGTGTTAAATTCCCCAACATATAGGGGGAAGCCGTCCCCCGAACATGGACAGCATTGAAAGCCATGTTCATTGTCCCTCCCTTTCTTCGGTATGGCCGTCAAACTACCTAGTCGACCTAGGACAGCCGGAGAAATATTACCTTCCACGGACCATTCACATGTGGTAGAGACGGAGAAAGACGAGGAAGAGGACGAAGGGGAGGAAGAGGACGAAGAGGATGAAGGGGACGAAGAGGACGAAGAGGACGAAGAGGACGAAGAGGACGAAGAGGACGAAGAGGAGGAAGGAGATGAAGAGGACGAAGAGGAAGAGGAGGAAGGGGCGGAGGCGGGCAGTACTAGTGACTACCACTCTGAATCGGTGGAAGAAGACTTAATTCCTCTCAAAAAGAGTGACACCAATTATCCGTAAGGACCCTGTTTCACATCAAAAATGCTTATCCCAGCTAACAATCTCAGAAATCTGGTAAGAGAACCCCGAACAGACTTGACTCGCACAAGCTAAATAAACAGTACGGCCGAACATATCATGCATTTTGTAAGGGGATGTACCTTTTGGTGAGTGCTCTCTTTGTACGGCGGAGAAACATGTTTACTAACTGGTTGATAGCCGAACGATGAGCGGGAGAAGGATCGGATGGACATGGTAAACAATTATACCCGATACTCACTGCATAAAATCTGACCAGGACACAGGGGCACCAGATGTACAAAGACGCTTTGGGTGAACTATTTCTCGCTCCCATAAGGAAAGGCCCTCAGGATATTCTTGATATAGGAACGGGAACAGGTATCTGGGCAATGGAATGTGCTGAGTGCGTAAATCAGAAACTGGTGCCCATGGATATCAATTTGAGTCTGGCTAATCACCACAGCAGCAAATATCCCAGTGCGGTGGTTCGAGGAAATGATTTGAGCCCAATTCAACCTTCCTTGTAAGAAGTGTACCCACCCTACAAAATATACCCTGGCTTACGATTGATTCCAGTGTTCCACCAAATTGCACTTTTGAGGTTGACAACTTCGAGGAATGGAATTTGCCGTACAAATTCGATCTCATCCATGGACGGGAGTTGGATGGTTCAATCTCCAACTGTGAAGAACTGTGCAGAGGAGCTTTTGAGCATTTAAAACCTGGTGGATACTTCGAACTCAAATCACTTGAGCACGGCTTCCTCTCAGATGACGAGACGCATAAAAAAGCCGTACACGCACTTGAATGGCAACAGCATGTCATAGAGGGCCGAGATAAACTGAAAAAACCTTTCTGCGGAGCAACAACCTGCGCACAGGGGATGGAAAACACTGGCTTTGTCAATATCAAAATTCAAAAATTCAAGGTATGTCAAGCTTCGTACATCCGATGAAGACCCAGCACTAAAATGAAGTAGATTCCAATAGGGCCATGGCAAGAAGGCAATAAACTGAAGCAATTGGGCAATTTTGCTCTTCTGGATATTCTGGGTGGACTGGAAGCATTTTCGCTCCTGGTTTTTACTCAGGGTCTTCAGTGGTCAATGGATGAGTTGCAAGTATGTCTGGCTCGGGTGAGAAATGATTTAAAAAGAGAGGAACTTCGCATATACCGCGAATTATATGTGATATATGGGCAAAAGCTGAAAGTGGAAGAGTAGAGAATGCACATCTGGACTTATCAATTACCTTCTAGTTCTTTGCGGAAATCTCAGAGGGCGCACTTTAGACCATTAGCAAACTCGGCCTTAGATAAATTTGGACATCCAGGAAATAGAGCTAGATGTATCGTATGCTAGACTTCATGAAGAGAGGTCTCGCGCCCACCTACAACCTCTAGTTGCCACCGAAATCCCGCGCTACTGCGCGTACATCGGACACAACACTAGCCGGCATGCGAAATTCCGAGGCATGGATTGAATTGCATGCATAACATATCTCTGTCCTAGGATCCCAATATAATCTCCCATATCTCTAGTCGGTAGTGTCCATTATATAATGGCAATATTGATCCTGCGGAAGCCGTACGGAGACGCGATTGGGATGTCTCATAGGGCAGCGAAGTATAAAGATATGCCTTTGGGCCTGCTTTTCTGACTGACCCCTGATCCGATTCCTTCACGGAAATTCTTCCATCCTTCCTCTTTCATGGATTCGGACACTGGGAGCTACTCTCGAGCGGCGAAATTCTGCCTGCTGTTGTTCGTCTCACTTCCCTACATCCTTGATGGTCACTCTTGCTAACAGATGTCAAAGTGCCTATCGATACAGTCGTCTTGGGAATCTGATCGCATCTGCCCGGCACAAACCAATCCGCCCACCCGATCATGACCCGTCCTTCACTGCCAACATTGCAGTTATCATACCTACCCTAGAAGGCTCGGGAGAACAGTTGGTTAATACTCTGAAGTCAATCCTGAGGAATGAACCTCGCCAGATCATACTGTCAACCATTGATGAAAATCGACAGAAAGCTGAGTTTATAGCAACATCAATGCAGAATCACAAATCCAAAGTGGAAGTGACAAGCATTCCTAGACCAAAGAAAAGTCGTCAGATTGCAATCGCAGTTAAGAGGGTTCGCACAGATATTGTTATCCTTGCAGATGGCGACGTTCTGTGGCCTCCATGCCTTGTGCCATGGATTCTTGCTCCGTTTAAGGATCCTCTTATGGGAGGTGTGGCCACATGCCAGCGTGTGCAGGCACCTAACAACCCAACGATCTCCTTCCAGTACGTCTGGTGGTTCCTGGGCGCATTGTATCTAGAGCGAAGAAACTTCGACTGTACTGCAACCACTTATATGGATGGGGGTGTTCCCTGCCTCTCGGGCCGAACGGTTGCCTATCGCACGGAGATCCTCCAATCCTGCATGGAAGCTTTTGTCAATGAGACCTGGTTTGACAAATCGCTCAACGCGGACGATGACAACTTCCTGACGCGCTGGACGGTCACTCACGGATACAAAACCTACTTCCAATCCCATCCCAATGCCGAGGTTCTCACGACGCTAGAGGAGAGTCCGAAGTTCCTCAAACAATGTGTGCGATGGTCCAGAAGCAACTGGCGAAGTAATCTGCGCAGCTTGTTCATTGACCGGGCTGTCTGGTGGTGAGCCTTCTCTCTTCCTCCCAATCGTCAAATGCTGATGAATATCCCAGGAGGCATCCATGGAGCACTTATGCAGTGTTTCTCACAACCATATCGCAATTAGCTCTCTTAACTGACACCTGGCTAATCTGGTTATGCCACACAATGACCATGTCGAATCCCACACTACACACTTGGTCGTTGGGGGTGCTTCTTATTTGGATGATTTTCACCAAGTTCATCAAGCTTTCTGGCCACTATCGCCGGCGACCATTAGATTGCCTCTTATTCCCGGTCTCGGCCCTCTTCGGTTATGTCCATTGCTTCATCAAGATGTACGCTTTATTCAGTCTTCACGAGGTACAGATCATCTGCTCTTTGTTCGGTGGCAGGTTATTAATATTTCATAGGACGCGTGGGGGAATCGCGAGGCTTTTCAGTTTGCCCAAACCGACGACAATCGCCAAAGGTGATGTAACTGCATGGCTCGTATTTTGAACGGATCACGTGCATTCTCAAACTTAATCACAACAACATTCCTTCTGGAACTCAGACAGTAAACAAATTTACTGAGGTTAGTTGAATTGTATCTCCGCACGCTAAAATTATTCGGTTTCAGCGGGGAGTTAGGGAAAGGGATTCAAGGCTGGATACTGGAAAAGCAGCTGCGGCAGCTGACCGAAAAAAACATTTCTATTCAGCTCCCTTCCTTTGCGGAGCTCAAAGTGGGAGTTTCAGAATGAGTATGGTTTGAGACATGCTGGTGGCCTGTATTTACTCTCCTCTATCTGATGCAGGGCGCTGTTTGATTTTCTGTTGTACTCTACTTGCGTCGTTTGTTCCTAGTTGATATAAATCAAGGGAAATTGATTGGCTCAAAAATAGAACATCCGGAAAATTAGAATTTCCGGATGCTGAGTTTCTACCCAAGCTATTCATCCCCATTTACACTTCTCTCAGACCTCAAAGAGCTTGGACCTGAACTTTGGAGAGTCAAATCTAAATATACTTATATGACCTGGGAAACTCTACTGTGTAGTGGAGGCTCATTTCATTCAGCTATCCATGCTTGGACGCTTGATCCCGCAGATGCACAGTTTTGGCACCGGCGCCTTCGGTATACACAGCTGGAATAATCAAGGAATGGACGTTGTCGCTTATTTTGGTTAATCAAATATATTCTTGACACGTTATCGCTGACCCGGAAAACTATACACGGCTAGAATCAAGGGTGCTCGTGTAGCTTGTGTGGGTTCTAACGCCTTGCTGCATCTTTCAATGGAAGATGGCCCCTGGAGCAAGTACATGCATGCGCAGTTTTGGCACCGGTGCCTTATTGTTGACCCGGGAAACGATGCACTGTTGAATCGAGAGATGGGCTTCCATTGCAACTGGTGGCTTGTATGAGTGCATTATCCTGTCCCCTGCACCAAGTATCAAGCCAAATTTTTGTCTCTCACTTGTTTGACAATCATCACTAGACCCTTGCCTCAGCCATCCACACTTGTTACTTACGGGAGGAAGTTTGCTCCCGTAGCAGCATGGCCTTTTGCCTTGTTCATGCGCCCTGTTACATGCATGCACCGCTAGAATCAAACGACGGAAAATTCCCCTGCACCAAACATGAGAAGGGATCTTGTCATTTAGGCCTGCATGAACTCGGCTGCCTTGTTATGCGCATGCGCCAGGCGTGCACCAGGCACTGACCCCAGCAGAAAGAGATTTTAAAATATAGGTTCTAAAAGGATTCCGGGTTTGGTAGGTTTGGGCTGCAAAAACGGCTTCTCTCATAATTTGCCTGATTGCTAAACTCAACCAGACCAATGATTGAGAGACTACCAGTGTGATCCAGCTGCAGTTGTTGTGCCACGAATTCTTTGCTTTGGGGATTATACAGTCCGGGTTTGGCTGTATAATCATAGATGGCCAGCTTGGTGAAAATGTTACTGGCGCATGTAAATATGGTCAATGCCCTCAGCCCTTCTATATATTCATAGCCTATTGGGTATGGATGACCATGAACATATTGATTCCCAGTTGGGTTGGGCGAAGCGAAGATCTGGCTTGCATTCTGGACCTTGTTGTGTCTCTCACTAGACTCCATAAAGAGAGGCCTTGCTTCCACTCTTCCCTCATCTCTTATTCTGTGCATACACAATGCTAGCTGGCATGGGATCACAGGATCCAAAACAAGTGACCAATCTCAACCATCTCCTCAGCCCCGTTCCAAAAGACTTTTTAGCTGTTCTCTAGTTTTACCCTTCCTTTTATCTTTAGTTGTAATAGCCGCCGTGTGGTTATCTGTCCAGTTGATCAAAATATTTCTCCAGTGACAAAGCAAGAGCCAGTGCTCTTTAGCACACAAACCGCGATTGACCCTGCTCCAGTGAACCCAGTCCTCGCTATTCTTTGCCAGGACAGTGACAAATTGTTGAGAATGAATGTCCGATCGCCTTTGAATCCTCCAGATGAGGGAGAGAGGAAAGTGATTGCTGCCGTTGCATCAACAGAGAAGATATCTCAGCCTCCGTCAATAACCCAAGGCCAGATCAATTTTCCACACAGGGTAAGATTTCTCCAGCTTATGGGTCATACTTCTGGCTGATTTAATGCGCGCAGGAGCAAATGACAACTGTGGATGCAACCTGCCGCCCCCATGAACGCGCTGAAAAAAGATATGAATGCTCAGTGTAAGTTGTTTGCACAAAAAGACAATATGAACATACATCTAAAAACTGTCTGCCAGGAACACCTTGAGAAACCCAGCGCCTTCCACCCCAACAGGCAAGAAACGGTCCGCCGCTGTCGTCGAAGATGAGGAGCGTCGAATTTCAGCGGGCTATTCACATGGCAATGCCTCTGGTGAAAACCAGCCTTGGGGTGGTTCTCATATTCAAACCGGAAACACTGAACATCTGCGAACACACTATGATTTTACAATATCAAACCCGGATGCTCCAGCGACGCCGGGGGTTCCTTCCCACTCCCACTCCGGTTCAAATTACCCCTGCTCCTGCCACAGTATCTAGCACCCTATTTCCTGATGGTTGGGTGCCAGACCCATATGTCTCACCTCAGTTGGAGGATGTTTTGAAATTTAAAACTGCCTCATTGGGCGTTCCGCATGACCCCGAACCACCAGAAACAACTATCATGATTCACCATTATGATGTTGAGGAGTTGCCATTCGAGATATTGACGTCAGAAGCTGCCAGAATGTACGATGTTATTTTGACAACCGAAATGAGATGTCTTGCAGAAGATGCAAATATCTCATGTGTTGGAAAGTTGAGTGAAAACCAGTGGATCAATCTGGTCAAATGGCATCGAAGCCTCATTGATCACCACTATGATTTACTCATATGTACGCAACATCCAATCACCAACGGAGAAATTTTGGCGATTCCTGTTAAATATAACATGCCGTCACGCATGCTGCACCAAGGAATCTATGCCTTGCTAAAAATCATGAAAGCTCGACGACCGGACAGTCATGATTACATGATTTCCTTCATCTACTATGCGTACGGCCTATTGACGCTGCTTATAGATATGGTCCCCGGATTAAAAAATTTGTGGCTTGAATGTCTTGGTGACCTGACCAGCTACATGATGTGTCTTGAGGATACGGATTCTGATGAGAGGGAGACCTGGAATGAAATTTCATCGAGTTGGTATCACAAGGCCCTTGATGAGAACCCTGGAAAGGGAAGTCTCTACCACCGACTTGGTAATCTTTCAAAACCCAACATGGGTGGGCAATTGTTCTGTTACTCCAGGTCTCTTATGGCAACCAAACGATACGAAAGGTCAAAGAGCTCCGTTGAGTCTGCCTTTAACATGGCATTGAACTCGATTCAGAAGCAGAATGTCACCCCGCCAGACTTACCATCTTGGTTTGTGAGCTCGCATGCTATGCTTCTTCGCGGTGGTTCAATCCACAAGTTCATTGAGTATGTGAACAAGTACATTGCCCTTTTTGACACCGAGATTGAGCAACGGACTTTCAAATTCGGGGAATCAACAATCTGCGTGGGAATCCCCAACATCGCTGCAATGTTACAATATGGCGAGGAGGATGGCACTCTCACAAGAATGTTTATAGACTCTCAAAAGCTGAGCTGGGAGGCTAGGTTAGAGCACGCTGAACAGTACTGGCTCCAGCTCCCTTCAGAACCTTCCCAAAACACTCTGAAAGATGGCATTCCTTCTGACGCTGCAACTTTCTCTACCCCCTTGGAGAAACTTACTTACAGCACATATCTAAATTTTCATACCCTCTCTTTTGTTCTTCAGCGTGCCCGGGGCGAAAATATTTTTCCTTATGTCCACCTTTCCCTGGCGTTTATTTTGAGCCTGGCATTGATTCCGGAATCGATGGCGTATGTGGAAGGGGAAATTCCGTGGACAAAGATCACTATCTTTCTGAACATGTTAAGCCGCGAATCTGTCAGCGAATCCCGGCTTGAAAGTGTCAACTTCCCGATCCCAACTGAAACGGAATTCCCCCAATTGCCAGAGGATTTCCTCTTTCGAAGCCAGATATGGTCACAAATAGTATATCCACCTGATTTCTTCACAAATGCTACCATGAAGGACCACAGCGGTGGCATAGACATGCCCAGCACTCAATCAGCCCGCAACGAGCGCTGTCTATGGTATGGATATCGTCTGGCATCGGTAAGAGCCGTCTATTCAGTTTTATGCTGCTCGATTCACCTACAAAGCCTGATCATTTCCACTTTGTTTCGTATTTGCTTAGCTAATTGAATTTGTTTAGTATAGCCGCTGGATTTAGTTATTAGAGGAAAACGCCGGGAAGAAATTTAGACCTACACATTATGCCACCTAACTCGAAACGGCTGCTATACATCCTAAAGTGTTTAGACAGCCTCAAATGGATGTCCCTACCTCCTTGTGTACCTCCCTGCTTATCGCAGCCATGAACGACAGGATAGGCGACATGGAACACTCGAAGTTGTTTGAAAAGAACCTTGGAAATGCACTAGACCGATTGTCCTACGAAATATGCGACGCCGGCCGCGACGACAGCGACATCACTAGACTTCAAGACATCTATCAAACGCTTGAATATTCTAAGAGCAAGGTCGAGGATGCCAGAATACTCAAAGAATGCACCATGGACAAAACAGAAGCGGTGCTCAAGAAACTTTTAACCTCCAACGATGTCGATGTCATAACTAAAGCCAATGAGAGCCTCATGCGCCTTCAGGCCTACCGGCGCGAATGCGAAAAGGAACGTCAACATGTTGAGAGTGATGGCAGTTGCAGCGGGGAGGAGAATGACTTAGCTGGGAACGTACCCCAAGGACCAAAGTCAAATGGCAGCAAGGATTTGCAATCTAGCAGAATCTGATATCCGGGTGGAGGGTATGGATATCGCCTAGCATCGGTAAGAGCTGCCTATTCAGTTTTATGCTGCTGGATTCACCTACAAAGCCTGTTTACACAATCTTTATTATTGGCTAAATTAAATTTGTTTAGCCGCTGGATTCAGTTATGCAAGGAAAACAGTGTGAAGAAATTGAAGGTGGAAAGCATCATTGATATTGGCGCTCTGGTATAATGAAATGGGAGACAAGGGTTGGCCAAGGAGCTACAGGATGCACCTGCATGGCACCTTCCAATCATCTATCCTGCTGGGAAGTATGAAACGGTCCTGATAGTGGCAGGCTGAGGACACTTTTAATCAAGTTCTAGAGCACGTGCGTAAGGGCGATCCGCTAGGCAACGCCATGACTGTCACCGCAGCTGTCAACGGTTCGCCAAGGCAAAAGCTTAATTTAACCACACCACACCAAGGAAGATGCGCCAGGTAAAAGTCCCGTGATCAAACCAAGGAGCTTATAAAATTCGGGCGGGTTTCCTATGAAGTTAAGTGATGGATGTCATTCTCACTTCTCACAGTTACTGTTGGGCCTAGCTCATCTACTGGTCTATAATCCCAATGTCAACAGTACAGAGCAGAAAAAAATCAAAAATTCCCGAGCAAGACTGAAAGGGCGGAAAGACACTGCCAAGCATTCATATCCACAACGTAGCCATCCCTTTTTTTGACCCACCCGTTATGGAGGTTAAGAGTTCCTTGCTTCAAGTTGAGTGGCATAATCTTTCTTCACGCCAAATTCAATTAGACAAGCAAATACCAAAACAAGTGGAAAATGACTCATTATGCTATTACAGTAACTATGTTGAGCCTCCTAAACCAAGAATCCCCTCCAGGCAGGCTGGGGATGGATTAGATCAACCGACATCCGAGAGAACCGGGACAAAAGGCCACAAATCAGGCGTTTCTGGGCGTTATCTATTCGTTCTGCCACTCTTGACAAAGTAGCTGCATACAGAGCTATCTGCAGTCGCAATAATATCTTAGTTCTTGTCAATTTCCTAGACTATAACTTAAGAACTTGATCAAATGTTTGATGTTCATCCAACCTCCTTTCCTCTATCTGCTGCATTTTTGCCCGAACAAAATCCTCCATCTGGTCCCGCTCATCTTGTGTTAAACGGACGCAATACACGAAGGCGGCCGCTCCACAATCTTCACTAAGAAATTACTGTCCTTAACCTGATTTTGAGAAACCTACCCTGCAATGGCGGAACCTGTCTTTCTGCTTCTGATATCATCACCCTGACAGGGTTTGTTTTTAACTCGAGCAAATCACTGAGGTGGTCAAGAGCTTTTGCAGTACCAAATAGGTGATGAGAGAGCTGAAGAAGGAGCTTGAGTCTCTTGATGAGATTTTGCAATCTCTTCAACAGATGGCTGTGGGCTATGAGAATGAACTATTTGAGCTCAACCTTCCACTGCTTCACTGTGGCAAAGCTTGCAGAGAATTTGAAGATGTGATCAACAAATGCATGAAAAATTCAGCGGGTTCTAAGACCAGCTTTCAAGATTGGGCAAAGTTGACATACATGGGAGAAGATGTAGTCTGATTTAGATTGATGCTGGCAGGATACAAATCTACAATTGATATTGCACTGGGGCTGCTGGAAATTGCATGCGTTCGTAAGATTAATAACGCCATTATTTGCCTGCACTCAGTTTTTAAGCAGGAATAAACATGACCTGAAAAGAGCAGTCACCTCAACAACCTCATCAACAGCTGACCAAAAGCTTATGCTGTCTTTCCTCTCCACGGAAGACCCTGAGCCGGGTTTGGCGGACAAAGAATCCATTTCAGAACTTTCTGAGCAGTGGTCTTGTCATAGCAAGACATGCTAAGATTATAAAAAGCTCTCAGTGAGAACGTAAGAGAGGTGGATGCGTTTGACGGATCGCAAGTCGCCTGAACCACCCGTACTTTGCCGGGAATAAAGGTCACAACCGTGGCCAAGAGGAATGTCAGCGTTGCATCCATCTAAAAGGGAGAAGAAATGGGCGATGAACATACGATTAAAGGACCACCCGAGTATATTAATTCCGGCTCCGTATATTTGGATTTCGATGGATCCCAGCGTACTTCATTCATCTGGCGGTATATGATCGAAGTGATTCCCATTATTTCACTTCGAAGAAGATAATCCTTACAGCTCTTGTGTTGGCTCAACGGTGAGTGATCTCGGATCATAATGCCCCAGTGATCTGGCCGGTGTCGAAAGAGGCGATGCGCAAGAACGCGGCGGTGGCCGTCAGCGGCCAAGCCTTGACCGAGGATGGAAAACAATGGACCATCACACCTGTAGGAAAAAGGGACAGTAAGTCACAAAGACTCACAACGTAGACCAATAGAGTTAAGAGACGAAAACTGTTTATTCTCTTACTTTGCTTCAGTTTCGATTGTAACTTCTTTCTTCAAGTCATCGATAGCTAGTCCCATCCAACCAGTCCAACTATAGTCGGCGGGCGGGCAGAGGAAATCCAGGGAATTTGGGGAATTGATCCTCGCACATTTCCGGATAGCTCGTTCAAGGCTCGGCGGGGTTGAAATCCCAACCTCTTCCTTTGTCGTGTCTTTGCAAACCACTTCCAAATCCAATGTTTTCTGCAGCCAGTCAAAGGAGATCAGATCTGGAGTTTCTGACCTATACATGTGAAAAAGTGCACGCATCAGTTCACTGAACTCATGTGGGCTTGAGAAGGGCTTGAAGTTGACGCATTCCATGATAGCCGACGCTTGATGTTGTGACATGATGCTGAACCGTCGATTTAAGGCAAGCTTCCTCTGCTTTCTCGCTCCACTTTGGCACGTGATCCCGACCTACTGTCGTTAGACCGCTGTCGCCTGCCTCGAATACTAGCATCTAATCCGCTCTATCACTTTCTACCGCCTTGCAACTGTCCACCATCTTTTTTGGCTGCGCACATTCCGGCATTGGATTCTATATCAGTAGGTACGTTTTCTCTTGAAGCATAAGCGGGATTGAAAAAGGTCGCTAGTCTTCGCAACTGTGGGTCCTTCAAACTCCATACTAACTTTTACCTTCAACCTAGTCCTACGGTACCTCGTTCCAAACCGACCCACTCGCGCGTGTATTCTTCGAAATGGCGGAGCTTCCTAGACGGAGGCGGAAGGCAGTTGATGGCCTAGATAAAATCCCATCCACTGAGCAGGAGTGGCTTGAAATGGTCACAACCTATTGCTTGGTCAATGCCAAACTCCAGGACTTGTGCTCCTATGGTAGGCCTCTCAAGTACTTCAACAGAAGTTAGCAGTATTCCCTAACTTTATTTCTCCGGGATAAGGTTCTTTCTCTGCGTCAACAGTGCCTAAAGAAGCCTTCCTCACTGTCCGATGCATTTGGCCAGAAATGATGGCTGTTGGCGATGCATTACCATATATTCTCAGGACGGGGTCGTACTTCAGTGAAGAACATGTTGCCCAAGCTACAAAGCTTATCAATAGGAAACTTCTCGGACTCGACAAGTTAGACACTCTGTTTGATGTCATATGTTCCCAAACAAAGACACCTCGTGAATGGTTATGCACGCTTGCAGATGGACTAGGCCCATTCTCAATGCTTGTTAGTTTAAAAAGGCAAATTCTGGACAAAGGACTGCATACTGCTCCAAGAGAAGAGCCTCTCCCTATAACTTACGCGCCAAGAAAAAAGGGACATTACAACGCTTCTCAAAGTTCATCAGGCCAAATGCCTGATTCTCCGACCCCCAGGCATCCTAAGCGTTTGCGCCTAGGAGATTTTGGTGCCATGGATGACCATCCGGCTCTAGGCGAGCCTTCTACTCCGCCTAACATTGAACTTCCAGAGGATACATTAGACGAAATTCCAGATGACATCCCGGACCCACGGACTCCTACTGAGACTCTGGTGGTTGATTTTATGGTCAATCTTCTAGGGGGTTTAGCATGCCTCTTACAGCCCCTTGCTTACCGGACTGTCTGCGTGGCTAATGCCTTTGAGACAACCTATCAATTTGGCCCACTTCCGAATGGTCCGATCGCTTCAAATCATGTACAGTTCCGAGCACGTATCGACGGGAGCATCCCCTTCAGCCTGCCTCCGGACAAAAATCTTCCTGAAATGGTGATATTCGAAGCCAAGCGTGCCCATCGTGAAACTGGCCAGGGCGTTACTGTCGTGGGGCAGCAGTCAATGGAGCATGTTGCATATATCTGGAAACGACACAAAAACGATCAATTGGTGAATTATCTCCCCCTCCCGTTTCCATCAAGGGAAGTTTTGACGAGTTGACAGAACAATGCAGAAGTTCAATTATTAATATATTGATTAGTAAAAATGTAATATATAGTTAATTAATGAGTTAACTAAATTTAGTTATATCAAATAAAGATGTAAAACTATCTAACAAATTATTCATCTATTTTAATTATTTTCCTTCAAAATTGATTCCGATATATTTAATGAATTATTTACAGTATATAAAAATAATGCATTTTCAATGAAGATAGATTCTTACTCTTTATTATCATTGAATTTCTCAGAATAAACTTCAACTTAACACTGATGATCATAACATCAAAATTCAAATTCATTAAAACTGATCATTGCTGAATTTATATTTGATTAAAGTACTCAATCTTTTCTTCAAATTTTCCACTCCAATTGTAAATATATTTAAGGTGCTACGCCCTGCCACACGCAGTGCCACGCCTTCGCTCCATCATACGCGTAGTCACATGACTACGCACAGGGCTTCACCTCCTGCTTGTTTCCGCTTGCACAGCATATCTTAGAGTTACGATGAAAAAGAATAAAAATAGCATGCCCAAGAGCTTCTTCGTACGGCTTCGCCTTACATAAGGAGTCAAACATATGTTTTTTCAGCAGTAAAAGCAAATCTCAAAATGAGATGTAACCATTCTTTAACAGATTTCTAATCATAGAGAAGATCTCTAACTTAGTGACAGCATTTATATATTCCTGAATAAATGAATATTTACTAATACCTCTGTGTAGCCGAGGAACCCCGGAACTTACCATACTTTCATGATTGCACAAGATTTCCTGTCCTTCTACATCAGCATTGGGACTTACGACAAAGAGTACCTTGACTATATTTTTAGCCCTGGCGATGTACCTGTTGTTGCTCAAAGGGGGAAAAAGCACCTTCTTCGAATTCAGGAGTTTGGGCCGTTCCAAGTTGATGAGAGAGATGAGATGGAGCTTCTCATTCACATTATACTCTGCCTGATAATCTCACAACTTACACCGACCAATGAGGGTGATCTGATTCAAAAGGCTTTGAGTTGACCCGCAACCAGTCCAACTTGCTCTATTACAGTTTCACTTCAATCGCTCAGCATTTTCTGATTTGTCTACAACAGAGTGGTTGAAGAATGAATATGGGCTGTATCTGATACGTGTTCGATTTAGGACCATATCTCCTTCGCTATTGGTGCGACCAGGGTAACGTCAAGACAAACTTATCACTTTTGTTCAAACTCCTCTGCTATAGTTGCGATTCTCTTCTACTCTCCACTGGAAAATGGCTCAGGAAGAAATACATTGTAGCATCAGAGGATGACTCTAAAATTTTCTTAAGATGAGACTTTTATTTTCATTAACTCTAGAATTTCATATCCGGTCAAAATTCCGAGCCATAAAGTTCCCCATCAGGACCAGAAGCGATGAATTGATGATCATCATCGATAGTTGAAAGGGGGATGGACTATCTTTACGACTTGACTATGCCTGGAGTGGAGGAGCTACCTCCCTTCATATGTGTTTCCATCACCTCGTCTGGCACACCGTCTTGCTTGGTAGGATAATACCATCGCATTGAGATATGGTTGACTCTTCCCGTTGTCAGCTATGATCACCAGTCATTGAGAAGAAATACAAACCTGGCTCACAATCCTCTGGTCTTCCTCCGTTGGTTTTAGGAGTGCATTGATTCTTGGAAAATCTGTAAACTTGTCCAACCATTCATCCACATTTTCTCTGTCCCAACCATGAGTCGAGCCAAGTTGATTCTTCGCACGCATCCGGAGTGAAATGAGAAGGGTAGAAGGCCACCTCTCTTCCCTGAAGGGAAGATAGCGACTGGCAGAGGGGGAGCAATCCATTTTGAGTCGCCCGGCACGAAAAGAGCGTGGCCTCTGGCTTGGTGTGAGGGAGGGTGGTTGAGGTGAATGAAAACGGGCTGGCAGAGGAGCGTTTCAAAGGTGGTGCAGCATGGCCATCACTCTGATTGGATGCGTGCATGTTGGAGGAAGGGTGCGTGGCGGCACAGCCTGGCGAGTGGACGTCGCAAAATGGCGACGGGGCCGGGTTCTTTCGGCCGCCCGCCTGCCATCACATCGTTTAATCTAGTAATAAAATCAGCAGTGGACAGTCAATGCTAAAGCTGATTTTGAAAAGTCTTTAAAATATTCAAAAGAAAAATCTATTTTCACTGAGTGCCTGCTCACATGGGTATATGTGGCAAATGAAATGGCTGATAAAGCTGCTAAAAAAGGAACTGAATTAAAAGTCTGCTTTCAAAGAATTGTAACATAGGCTTTTTTTAAGAGAAAAATAAGAGAATCATATTTACAAAAATGGCAAGATATCTGGTTTTTACAAAGAAAGAGTGTACATTATTTCAGGTTTGAAACTAAGTCAAAATGAAAAGCTTGCTCAATAAAATGGAAAAAGAAACTTTTTGCTACAATAATGCAGCTAAAGCTTGAACATGGTGATTTTAAATCATATTTAACAAAGATTAGAAATGATTTAAATGATTTATATTCAGATTGTCAGTTACATGAAAACTCAGAGCATCTTCTTTTACTTTGTACAAAGCATACAGAGTTAAGATTGAGATTGAGAAAGAAGTTTGAATTGAGACAGTTAAATTTAAAACTTTTATTCAATATAAAAACTGGAAATGAATTTTTGATTGAATATTTGAAAGAATCAAATATTGCTTTAAAATTTCAATTGGATAGTTTCTGATAATGAACTCAATTTTTTCTTTTTTTTTTTTTTCTTTTGTTTTTATGTATTTGTTTTAATTTTTGTTTTTGTTTTTATTTTTATTTTGTTACTTTTATTTTGAAATTTGTTTTATTTTGATTATTTTTGATTTTGATTTATTTTGAAAAGTTTGATTTGTGAATACTTTTTTTTCTTTTAATAACTGCTGTTTTTTTATAATCTTTAATTTATTTATTTTAAATTGAATGTATTGATCTGTTGTCATTCTTTTAACATTCTTTCTTAAATTGAATAATGTGAATAGTTGTTTGATTCTGAGCTGGAATTCTGCTATTGCATGTATTAAATTGACTTTGTATATTAGCTTATTTTTAAGTTGAAAAATTCTATGACATCAGATAGATGTCATAGTCACTGACTGCATATATTTATAATGGAAGAAGAATAATAATAATAACTAGTGGTTATGAATCATGTATGTATAGATGGCAGCTTTTCATCATCAGATATTTTATGAATTCAAGAAAATTTGATAAAATAATAAAGAGAGAATTTGACAGATAATGAAATTATTTCTTTTTTGATATTTAATTTTTTTTTTTAATATCAATGTCTGAATTGTTAATTGTGAATTCAACATTTCAATGAAAGCTGCAGAATTGTGTATTACAGAGATGTTTAAAAATAAAGTTGAGATATTAAGAAAATTAAAAAAAAATAATAATCTCAATATTAAATTCATTCATTTTTTTTTTTATATAACTTTATGTAATGTGACGGCGCCGAGGCGATTGCTACTCGGCAGCGGCACAGAGGAGGATGGTATATAATGGGAAGCCTTATGGGTGGGCTTGATTATCTCGCTTGAACCGCGAACTCGTAGAATACTATACAAATACTGAACTACCAGAGGTACTCGGCACACTAAGAATATTGTATGAGGACAGTGGTAACTCTGGTATCTTATTGTCAAAAGATAAAAGACGAATCGCTGGCTCCTGGAATAGAGAGCCAGCATCTAGCTATTCTATATAGACAACGGGCAGCCATCCTCCCCTCACTCTATGAGCGAGGGTAGCCGAAGCAACTCCGCAGTGGCGCTGCATTGATCTGCCAGAAGGAATCCACTGACCCCGTATAGAAACAGGATTCTCATATCTCATCAATCGGATCCTCTTCTATTGCATCCGAATGATGTCATAGGGTGGTTGGAAACCGGTTCGGACACCTGCGTGACGTCATGGGATAGATGGGATTATCCGAGGGGAAACGATGGGCCGTGTGGAGCCGTCACGGGGCCTTGGCACAACCAAGGGTGTGACACTTTATCAAAAGAGTGATAATCTCTCTTCAATTTATCTTCTTTTCAAGAATGATTTTAATTGAAAATCTATGTTTGTTTGATAAGATGATTGTTATACAATTTACAACTTTTATTTTTTTACAATTTTGCTTCATAACATACTGTTCAGCTATTCTTTTTACAGTATATTAAATACAATAAAAGTTGACAATCATATCATTTGTTGTGATATTTTGTAACTTGATTTTTATAGACTTTTTTATTTCATTGATAATCACTCATTCATACAGTTTGGATGAAATCTCAAACTCAAAAGTAGATGTTTGCAGAAAGTGAAAATCTTTTAATTGTGTTTTTTTCTTTTTCTTTTTCTTCTTTTTCTTCTTATTCTTCTTCTCATCATCAGTTGGATTCTCATCATTATCTGAAACATTCAGAACAGACAGTTTGAGCAAATGAAGATGCAGAATAATTGAAGTTCTTTTACAAGCTTATATGACAATAGAATGGTGAGTGTTTCAGGGCATATTGACAGATTTGATGATAAAGATGCATATTTGATGATAAAGGTGTGTATTTGAATGAATTGGATGATATTTGAATGATTCTAGAGAAATGTGGATATTTTGGTTATTTTTGTGGTGTTTTGCTACTATTTTTCAGGGGGTGGCAGAAAATTCTGTTTTCGCAAGCTTTACGTCCGCCACAATAATGCGGGGAATGTCTGCCTTTCACCCTTAGCTTAGGCGAAGAAAAAGAAAGGAACCAAATCAAAAATATTTTACTGCGTAGATATATCCGTACTATCAAGTTGAGAGCAATTATATCTTTGCTTTTCCCACTCAATACTACAACGATAAGTCCGAAGTGCAATCACCGTGTCTCCCTCCGCGGACAAGCGTCAATCCCCATGGCCGACCAACCCGTTATCAGGTTTGCGACTGAGGAGGGTGAGCCCAAGCATATCCCTTAATACATGAAAGTTTATGAAGGCCAATTGGTCCCTCCTAACTTCTCATCCAACAAACCCAGACATCCCCACAATCCTGCAATTCATCCAAGGGCTCGCCGCTTACGAAAACGCCTCGCACGAAGTCGAAGCAACCGTCGACTCCCTCCGCGCAACTCTCTCCTTCCCTTCCTCCCCTCCCAAATGCTCAGGCGCTTACACCCTCCTCGTCAGCCCTCCAGCCACCCCCACTGACCCCACCCCGTCGCCTGCCGGCATGGCCATGTTTTTCTACAACTACTCGACCTGGCGCTCGGCACCGGGGATCTATCTCGAAGACTTATTCGTGCAGCCAGAACAACGGGGCAAAGGGTACGGACTTGCTCTGCTGCGGCGATTGGCGGCAGAGGTATGCAAGGTTGGCGGGAAGCGATTGGAGTGGAGTGTGCTGCGGTGGAACGAGCCGAGCATCAAGTTCTATAAGAGCGAGAGTGTAGGGGCGAAAGGGATGGAGGAGTGGATGAAGATGATGATGATGGTGGATGGGGAGGCGCTGACGAAGCTGGCGGCGGCGGATAGGTCCTTAGGCGAATTTTTTGATTGATGTTTCAAATAGGCGATTGCTTGCATAGTTGCCTGAAGCTCAACCTATGGCGCGGTTAGAATAATTTTCGGGGTGCTCTTTTGGAGTGTTTTGGAGTTCCCTCTGAAGCAAGTATATAGATTCTTTCTTGTAAATACCCCATGGTTTTCTCCATGTCCATCACCTTCTGATCTAATACATTTAACTTCCAAGGTCATTGCTCCCTGACGACGCTGATTTACGGCTACTGTTACCAGTCGAAGGGCAACGACCCTTGGAACTCGGTAGCTAGCCCACAGAGCGGAACTTGATATCTAGGTCAGGGTCAGGTACACATTACTCGTTTTTCCAACTATTCAGTTCTTCACTCGGACTCATCCCCGTAGCCCTAACCGGTCCCATACTGGGCTAGCTCGATCGGATCCGCCGATGACGTAGCCGGCGATCTGGAGCTTTGTCACGGCGCTACGTCCAGCTATCCACAAACCACCACCGGATAACAGCTATTTCCCACGACAAATACACCCCCTGCTATGAACTCCCCTCAGTAGCCGGATAGTTGTGCCTTATACGTTAGCCCCCAGTAGTTGTTAGCCATGGGCGCCGACATCACCCATCAAAACACTTTGGCGGAGAATTTTGAGGTGGATTATGTTGTCCTTTACCGCTTCTCCAGCATTGGTTCGTGCTGATATTTCCAGTCCATAGAACTGAGAATTCCATAGCTGACAGGGTGTAGATAAAAATGAGGCGAAGGAGCAGTTCAAGAAGCTCATCCGGGCTCTCTCGGATGTGGGGCTGCAGACAGAGGTACGCCCGGGGATAGACCAGAGCCTTCTTATCTTTGTAAAGGCGCAGGAGAAATACTTGGGTAAAGCTCTGTATCGATCCAGGTACGCCCCCCGTTCACGTGTGCCAATCAATTCATCACTCTTTGTCATTTCTTCTTTTGGTTTTTTTTTTTTTTTTTTTTTTTTTTTTTTTTTTTTCTATTTTTAACTTGTCCGCATATAGGGTACGAGACTGGCTGCATGGTGTGCGCAATTCACAGCCAGATCCCGATGCAAAAGGCTCATGTGTCCCCGAGACTGATGCAGAACGATTCCTCATAGTCTACAATATGATCACTGCGCCCTCCAACGAGGGTGGTGCAGGAATCACTCCCAAGCAAGGCGAGTGGGATAATGTAGACTCAATCTTCCCGCTTCACGACAAGCTCCTCAACAGGACCTGGATAAAAGCCTGGACGAGCAAAACATTCCTCACCGCGGATGACCTTGACCAGATCCGGAACCACCATGGTGAAAAGATCGGCTTCTACTTCGCCTTCCTACAGTCGTATTTCTCATTTCTCATCTTCCCCGCAAGCTTTGGTGTTGCGTGTTGGGTCCTACTGGGCAATTTCTCAATCGTTTATGCAATCGTGAACTGTCTGTCATGCGTCGTGTTTACTGAAATGTGGAAGCGGCAGGAAAGCGACTTGCGGATTCGCTGGCAGGTGAAAAACGTTTCCGAAATCCACACGAAACGACGGGAGTTTAAGTACCTTTCAAAATCTATTGATCCCGCAACTGGCGAGGAGTCATTTGTGTTCCCGTCAACCACGCGGTTGGGCAGGCAGCTTTTGCAGGCGCCGTTTGCGATTGCCGCAGTTCTTGCATTGGGCACTCTGATAGCCACTTGTTTTGCGATTGAGATCTTCATTTCCGAGGTCTACACAGGGCCCTTCAAGTCATACTTGGTGTTCATTCCCACGATTTTGCTCTCTCTATTTGTCCCGACGATCTCCGCCGTTTTAACCAGTATCGCCAAACGACTAACCGATTACGAAAACTATGAAACGCAGGACAGCTATGACCTAGCGCTAACTCACAAAATCTTCGTTCTCAACTTTATCACATCCTACCTCCCGGTCCTCCTTACTGCCTTCGTCTACGTGCCATTCGGCAAGGTAATAGTGCCGTACCTCGACTTATTCAATCTAACCGGGAACCCATTCGCACAAACTTCGGAGAAAGACCAGCTACAAACGTCCGCAACCCCCTTCCAAATCAACCCATCCCGGCTACGCAAGCAGGTTATTTATTTCACCGTCACAGCTCAGATAGTTAACCAGGGCCTCGAGATCGTCCTTCCGTATGCCAAACGCAAGCTCACCCGGAAGTACCAAAAATACACGGAAGAAAATGCCAAATCCAAAAAGAACAGTGGCTCGTCCACCCCTGGGCCTGGCACGGCTGCTATACCAGAAGACGCACCCGGCGAATCCGACTTCCTCGCCCGGGTCCGCGACGAGGCAATGCTCACCGAATACGACGTCACCGCTGACTTCCGCGAAATGTGCGTTCAATTCGGCTACCTCTCCCTCTTCTCTGTCGTCTGGCCGCTCGTGCCGCTCTCCTTCCTGATAAATAACTGGATCGAGCTGCGCTCCGACTTCGTCAAGATCTGTCTCGAGTGCCGGCGGCCCGTCCCCTTGCGGTCCGACAGCATCGGGTCCTGGGTGCAGTCGATCGAGTTCCTTGCATGGCTGGGCAGCATCACGAACGCGGCTCTGGTGTATCTGTTCTCCAACGACGGCGTGGGGCCGGACGGCAGTCCCTCGCAGATCACCGGATGGGTGTTGCTGCTTGTCATATTTTTCGCGGAGCATATATACCTCGTCATGCGGCTGGTGGTGCAGGTGGGGATATCAAAAATCGAGACACCGGCAACGCGCCAGGAGCGTCTGGCGCGGTATCTAATGCGGAAACAGTATTTCGACGCAACGCTGGCGAGGGAGAGGCGCGAGGAGAACGCACAGGGTTCTCACTGCGGGGGACCAGAGGAAACGAGGATTACGCGGGAATCGCTCGAGGAGGATGCGCGACGGATGAGCCAGCACGACTCATCAACGGCAGATGTGTTCTGGGGCCGACAGCGAGGGGCGTGGGAGGCGAGTGTTGTTGGCGAGGGGATCATTGATGCAGAGTTGAGCACAGCGAAAGAGGAGAAGAAGGCACAATAGTATAGCTGTTGGAACTGAAGGTGTGGTTGAGAGCAGCAGCGTGATCTCGGAGGGTGAATGGTGTGCCGGTTGGTTTTTGTTTTCTTTTTGTTTTTTTTTATCATCATCATTATCACTGGTAGCAACATGCGGCAGAAACCTTGGTATGTATCTGTCTTTGCAATGCTTCCATATGTTCCCCTTTCGTTACAGGGTTTGCCCTAATTTTTCCCCTGCGGTTTGATTCCCGCTTGCCACCCGTTTCCCCCTTTTCCCCCTGAAGTAACATGTACCTTCACGCATCTCGGTTAGCTGCCAATGACGATTTCGATTCCACGCACAATCTAAAAACGGAGAAATCCAATTCCATTCAATATCCGTGGAGGATAAAAAACAATTAAGATAGATACATACATATATCCCGCGGTCCAGTTCCCGGTCAAATAGTATTATAGTTCGTTCGCCAGTGTAACCATAAAAAAAGACCCGGTGTTCGTTAGCATGTCTTGGTTTCGATCCAAGGTCCTCCGGGTTATGAGCCCGGCGCGCTTCCGCTGCGCCAACATGCTTGGCCTTCGCTGGAGTGGCGCATTTGGTTCGTATTAGCCACCAACCCTATGTCTTAGTCAGCTGAGTCATCCACCGATCTTAGACTGGGCCAAAACCCTTCGGAGGAAGTTGACTTGGGTTTGGATTGGATGTCAGTCGCCTCGAAAAGCAGCTCAGTTATGTTATTACCGCGGGGCGCGAGAAGAGAGGGGACGGGCCAACTACCGCATCCAATCTCAGACTTCCCGGATCGGGATCCGCGCCAACACCTGTCAATTACAGCTAGGAAGTACTACGCAGCGTTGGTAGGAGAAGAAGATGAGATGTCGCTGAAATAGAGCTCATCATTGCTCATGCTCTAGTTAGAATATGTAACAAGATATAATATAACTACATGATACATCTGTATGGGTATAAACAGCTGTCAACCAACTATCAGAAAAGATCAGGCTACTCTTTCGGCTATATTTCTAGCAGTAGATTTGTCAGACTCTGGCTGCTGAGTAAGCGCCAAGAACTCGATCGGGCCCGCCCTTAATAATCCATGATTCATCCGCTGCTGACTGATCCAGTTTCTTCTTCATCTATAACTTGCAAAATCTCGAGGCTTCAACGAGAGCGACAGCGAGGGTTTGATGTTCAGATATCGCGTTATTCCCTTCTTCGGCCTTCAGGATCCTGTGATTGCTACTCGCCGACTGACAAAGTCTACGACAGCTACAAGGGGCAGAGACAATTCCTCTACTTCACCGTGAACCCGTTGCTGACTACTCCCCGCCGCCGATTAAATAACTCCTTACTCATCTTCTCATCATCATCTATTCGCCACCAAGTTTCCCATCCAAGCGCATCTCGAGCTATCTCATTCTCAGGTAGATTATGAGCTCGCAGCACGCGCTAGCTCCAGCGCCTCATCCCCAAATGCAAGACCTCAAAAACCAAGTCCAGGTGGGAGTTCTCTCGCTTCCCTTCCCTTCCCTTCCCTTCCACCTTTTACAATATTATGAGGACCGTTTTATTAATTCAATTGCTCTCAACAGGACCATGCCGATCAGGGTGAGATTCCATCTTATATTCCTACGTGTAGATCCATATCTACCTCCAAGTACGCTGTCACTAACCACTGCTTATCATACAGTCCTCCACGACCAGCTCCTGGCTGCTCAGGCGCAGCATCTCCATCAATCCCACCCCCACCCTCACACTCACGCTCACCACGCCCCTCCTCCGCCCCGTCCGACGCCCGGCGCATCAGCCGCCTCGGTCCGCGACCCAAACAATACCAATAACACCAATACAGCCAACATCACCATCGACCCAGCAATTGCTGGAGCTTCCGCGATGATCCATTCGCCACCAACTACAGTGGCGACCACAGCCCAGGGACATGCGCCTGATCTCCCCATGGAAGACCACGCCGACGGGCGCAAAACCTACGGCAAACGCGAATTATCCACCTCCAAACGTGCCGCGCAGAACCGGGCTGCTCAGGTATGTGGTCTCGTCCCCAACCCTCCCCTATAGTATATATCATGCTCTTGACAAAAATTCCCGACGCGACCACTGACACGTCATGCTAATATCAACACAGCGAGCCTTCCGCCAACGCAAGGAAGGCTACATCCGCAAACTCGAAGAACAAGTAAAAGACTATGAAATCCTCGTCGAAAATTACAAAGCCATCCAGGCCGAAAACTACCAGCTGCGCGAGTATATCATCTCTCTCCAATCGCGCCTCATCGACTCGCAGAACGAAGTCCCCGAGCTTCCGGGAAACATCGACCTGTCGCAACCGCGGAATGACCCCCCTGCACCCGCCATCAATTCCTCGACCACTGCCGGAGTCACTTCAGGGAACGCCGCTGCGGCCGCCGGTGGCGGCGGTGGGGCCAGCGCAGGCGACCAGGCGGAGGTCAGCGCATTGAATCGCATTGCCGTCGCGGGACTGGGGATGCGGAAGCATCAGCATGAGGAGGCAGCGTTCTTGGGGAACAACGGCGAATCCTCTGGTAATCATGCCAATGTCGGTGCGGGTGTGAATAACGGCAATGTGAATGTGAATGCGGAGGCGGATTCTCCCTCGAAAAGGATGCGGTTCGATGGGTTGCCGGATGTTGAGATCGGGGTTGGGGTGGGTATTGGGGATGGCGTCAAGGGCGAGGTCGCGTCGTGACGATGACCGTTGCCCCGCGGTGAAAAAGAACGAAAAGCGGTATCTGTATTTTTTCCCTTTTTTCTTTCTTTTTTTTTTTTTTTTTTTTTTTTGATGTTTTTTGTTATATTTGGTCATGGTTTCCTTACTGCAAGTGGCTGGATTATATTATTTGCCAAGGGAGAGTAAGTTGAGGGGAAGCACAATGTCCGACGGGAAGGGAAATCGAAAAATGAATAAAAGCTGCTCAGAAACAGGGAGAATCCCCAATACCCCTCCCCTTATGACTGATTCGTCCTGTTATACACTGGTATACCAGACAGCAAGTTCCGAAAATCCCCATCCCATCCCCCTCCACGTCTTCCCCCTTAGAACTGTTTCTGTTATTTTCTCCGGGCGTTGGGAGGCTATTTTTCCGTTCACTTCATCGGTTCTGATTTACTCTGTTGGAATCCGGCCCGGTCGGTTTCTGTTCCCTCCCCATCCTTATAAAAATTTTTTAATGTTGTTCCAATCCTCACCCCCCCCCCCCCCCCCCCAATCTCTTGCTGATACGAACGCCATAAAAATGGCCATTTTCCGTTTCTCATCGTTGTCTTTTTTCTAACTTCCTTGTTCTTATTGTTATTATTTATTATATTATCTCCTTTTCCTTTAATTTTATCTGACAGTACTTTAGCCCTGTTCCTGGGATCTGTTCCCGTTAAACCCTCTCCTCCCCTACTTACCTAGTATCCCCGTCCTATGTAATTCCGCCGTCTCGGTAGTTTATCTTTCTGTTCTAAATGTTCTCTTCTCTCTGCTATAAAGTTTTCCGTTGCGTTTCAATTTCCCCTATCCTGTCTCACTGTCTCAGGCATGTGTGTCTCTATGTACCTATGTATCTAGTATCGGGGCTCACCACCCCGCGTCTCCTCCTCCAGCTCACAACTCCAGCGCTGGCTCCTACATTGAGCTCTCGAGTGCGCGAGAGGGCGGGTTCGCGCGTCTGCTGTGGCGTTTAGTGGTAATATATCCTTTTGTTCCTGTCATACTCTCTCGACCGATGCTCTGGCTTTATTCAACTATATTTTTTTTTTTTTTTTTTTTTTTTTTTCCCCTTTATTTATCTTGCTCTCTCTCGCTCTCTTCCCCTCCCCCCCTATTTCAATCGCCATTAACGGCTATTCAACTTACCTTAAGCCTGTGAGATTCGAAACCCACGTTCTGTGGTATGTGGTTTCATTCCGTGAAGGAGTGATTTTACGTTGGAAACAGGTGATGTGATATAAAGGGCACATCGCGGTGACATCGCGGTGTAAGGTTGGATGGACGAAACAAGTACTTGTTTTCATTACTTTTGATTTCTCTTCTGTCCTTCCGTGGCCGTCACCCCCATTCCTTGTTCTCTGGTTTGACTGTTTGAAAGAGTACGGCTGCTAGGGAGGGAAATGGACTCAGAAATGACAACGTAGAAGTATCATTACATCTCATTCATATAGTTACCACCGTTGTGTTTAAAGCTACATTCCATTCCATTGATTGCATCCCATCCCATCCCCATACTCCAAATACCATCCAATACGCACAATAAACGACTTAAGTCCACGCATTCCAAGCATTCCCCAAATTGTGCTCCTATCACATCCACACGGTTAGCTTCTCAACTATAACAACCAACAAACTCACAAAGCAAACGCAACACCTGGAATGTAATAAAACCTACCTTAATATACTCCCCTCCCTTCTCCAACCATTCCTGCCGACTAACTGACGCATTCTGAAACTCACTGCCACTAGCCCACTCCGCCGCACCCTTCCACGCATCCAACACCGCATTCCCCGCTCTCCTGACTTTCAGGACCGACCCCATCTCCACCGGCAGCAGCGACCGGAACTCTGTCGCAAACCTCTCGTCAAACCCCTTGAACAGCGAATTGCCGCCCGTAATAAATACATCCCTCAGCAGCCGCGCCCGCTCCTGACCCGACGAAAATCGCTGCTGGTTAACAATATCCGCCGCAATCTCCACAAGACCCGCCTGATCCAGACCCGCAATCGCCGACGGCTGAAATACGGTTTCGGGAACCCGGATGCGCTCCACGTTGAGATGGAGCTGGTGCGCCTCGCGCGTGCTCTCCGGGTCAAACGGCCAGGGACCCCGCAGGAACATGTGGATCAGGCTCTTGGTCCAGTCCGACTGCGCGTCCAGAGTGTGGTTTTCCGTGAAGAGCGGGTCGTGCTCCAGGAGCTGCTGTTCGATCGCGCGGAGTTGGGTGGGGATGTCGATTTCGTCGTTGCCGTCATCGTCGGAGGTGGCACCTGCTGCGTCTGGTCCTGTGGCGACGGTGCGGTAGACGCGCCAGTCGTCGTCATTGGCGCCAAAGGTGTCGTCGTCGGTGCCGCGCCGGCGCTTCTTGGTGGGCGTGTCGGAGGCGAGGTTTGCGAGGGTTTTCATGCGCATTTGGCTTGCGAGTGATTTGCGGTTGCCTAGGTCGGCCTTCAGGCGTTCTTTTTCTTTCAGTTTTTGGAGGAGGGCCTATAGAGTTTGATTGTCACTCAATGGTTTCTTGTATAAACATGCGGAGTAAAGGCACTAAATACCTCGCGAGCCTGCCTCCGCTCTTCGATCCACTGGTCAAAATTGTTTTCCCGCTTCTCATTATCCAACCGCTCTTCCTCGGCCAAACGGGCCTTTTCCATTTCCTTTTCTGCCTTGGCACGTTGTCTTGCTTCGATGTTCGATTTCATGAGTCGCTGGTGACGCTTCTCTTTTAAGCCGGCCTCGTCCAACTCTTCGTCAGGAACATCTAACAGCGGGAAGGTAGCTTCCTCTTGTTCTTCAGTCTCCTCATTTCCCAGGTCCTTGCTGCGAGATTTTTTAATGGATCTCTCGAGATCACGTATCGTGCGTTCCAAATGCGCTTCATCCTTCATATCTTCCGCCTCTAGGATACGCTTTACTTCTTTCTTGGTTTCAGACGCGAGTCCTTGCTGTAGGTCTTTGTAATATTCCAGCTCCTGTTCCTTTTTCATCAGCTTCTCCAATCGTATCTTCGCAGCTTGTTCTTGCAGTCGTCTGCCGCTTTCTTTTTTCCTCTCCGCGATTCTGGCTAGTTCTTCTTCCGTCTTCTCGACGACAACGTGTTCCGTAAATGGGTATTGGATGACACGGTTCCTGTCCTCCAATCTGTCCAATCAAGATAACTCGATAGCTCCCGATCGTAGTCAGTCGAAACATAACAATGTTCATGGACCAATTGCGTTATTTGGTGCTCCGTCATGCGGTCCGGAAATGTAGGATATTTCAATTTCAATAGCTTCATCATGAAGTCGGCCGCTTGTTGGCCACCCCAGTTCAACCGTGAGGAATTCGACAAGAGCGCCTTAGAATTGAGAACGGGGATGACATGCGTGGAAGCGTGGGATGAGGAAATCACGAGCCCGTCCGTCCCGCGGTTGTATCGGTATGAGAAGAGGGAGTCAATACCGTAGGCAACTGCGGGGGCAGAATAACATTCGAAGAGAATCTCATTCATCACTAGTGCTCGTCAGCCGACATATGATAAGTATATCTATACCAAGGGAAGGGGGACAGGGCGCATACTTCTCCTCGTGTAGCCCAGATTAGCAATAGGTTCTGTTAGAACAATTGGCCTATCAACACTGCCATTCGCCCCGTCTACCCCCAGCTTCAGGAATATATAATCCAGCACGCCTTCCATGACGTCCCAGTTGCCAATGACGCTTGATCCAGGGTCGAAAGCATTCCGCACCTGGCCGCGCGTGGTCGCGTCGACGTAGGCATCGTATCCCACAAAATGGCACGTCCGGTTGAACTTGCGATCGCGATACTTGGCCATGACCGGCGGGATGATGAATCGAGGGGATTTGTCAAAGGACCATCCTGCCTTAACCAGGTAGGAGCCTGGCCAGGGAAACGCAACATATATATATATATATCAGTAAAGTAGTTGAGCTAGATTGCACATATGGCATATATGGCAGTAAAAGTGAGATATGCGCACCATTGTCAATCACGATGGCGCTGGAGCTCGTTGCCTCTCGGCTCTGTTCATAGCCCTCTGGCTGAGGGGGCATGTAGCCCTTGAACGGCGGCTCTTGGACAGGATAAAGCTTAGGTGGCGGCTTTGGGTCATTTTTCTGAAAAATATCAGCCGCCGTTCGAGTGGCGGCATGTATGCGGGTAGAAGTTATCGTCATCGAGACCGGGATGGATGAGGCGACGGAGGGGATATGCGGAGGATGAGAGCTGTCTGGTGGAGATCAACCTAGCTTGCAGAAGAGAGATGGGGGCGCATTGTCATAGATAGGTTCCTAGGAATTGAGCTGGTAGGGTTCACAATTTGGCAGTAGTTAGATTTAACGGTGGCGGCTGGGGTAGTTTGACGTGATGCCGAATGGATAAAAAAATACAGTTGAAGTTGTTCTTGCTTTTTGGTTGGCAGAACCACCATAAATGCATGAAATAAATATTTAAATTATACGGCGACACTCTGAAATATTCAAGTCGAACGTATCCAACAGCAATGTCGACATCTCAATATATATGTCATATTCAATAAATAAATAACTAAGTATTATATATATATGCCATATGAATTACCCCATAGATGCTATATCCACTCTGCGCCCGTTTCCAGTTAAATTTATACCCCACAGGGGAAATATATTTATGCCGTGACTAGGAATGAGAACCACTACCAGGAAAAAAAAAAAAAAAAAAAAAAAAAAAAAAAAAAAAAATACAAATCCCATCCTTCCCAACTCCATAAAGCCATTGCCTGATTTTTAGATTCACATAATTTCATTTCGCCATAGTGAAACCAACCCAGAGTATAAAATACTCCATAACTTCCAACGACATAGGCTATACCTGGTCCTTCAACTCCTCCGTAGCTGCACACAGAGAAGAACAAGCATTAGCAAACCCAGAAGTAACCAACTAATCGTAGCTGTGATATCTTCCAGAAAGAAAAAACACAGGACGGAAAACACACACCTTCGAGATGAAAAAGCACATTGGACTGGTAGTTCTTAAACATCTGCGCGACCAGCTCGACGTTCATGTTCTGCACGTTGACTTCCTGCTCATTCACAGGCATTAGCATAACCCCTTTCTATTTCATAGATGGATATATATAGGAATAGATATACGCACCTGCAGATTCTTATTCAATACCATGATCGCTTCGTTGAGTTTCTCCTGGAGCGTTTTTGTTATTATTAGGATACATCATCATATACCCCCCATACAGTCCGGCCGTAAAGAGACGGTGCGAGGTATGAAGGAGGCATAGAAACGTACGACATTAGAGATGATGCGTGAGAGTAGAAGACTTTGCTGGTGTTCGTGGGGGCTCTCCTGGATCGCGATTAGCATCTGCATGCAACTCCAAGGTATTGTAGCTGGGAGAGGTTTTACCATGGTGGCAATGGTCTGTGGTCTATAGAAAGATGTCCTCCAACCAGAAGAGAGAAGGACTCTCGTTGCAGTCTCTTACTGAGTGGCCTTGTTCCAATTGCCTCCTCTCTTCGCTACAAGTACTCTGCTCGATTCTGGCTTGTTGGTCGACTTGTTGATAGGCCTTGTTTATCCGAATGTTTGCAACCCTGACAAACACCCAACAGCTCAAGCAATCTGCAATTCTTTCCTTTCTACATTCACATCTTCTTCTTCAATCTTTGATTGTTTCCACCGTATAACTATACACGACTACTCTATCCTAGTCCGTTCATCCGATCCCGATCCTCACCCACAACCATGCTGCCACGCCCCTCTGCCGCCGACGATTCCCACCAGAAACTCCTTGACCAGCTCGACATGGCCCGCATCCCACGACCCTTCCGCAACCCTCACTGGAAACCCTCGGCCCGCCGTAACAAAAACGTAAAACAAATCCTCTCCGAAACCTCGCGAAAGGAAGCATCGGTTCTCGCCAGTCAGAATAACTCTGGTGCCTCAACCCCGTTCGCTGCCCCATCGAGCACCACCGCCGCCGCCGCAACACCTGCTACGGAGAACGGTACCGGTGACGGCACTTCCGCGACACCGGCCACTGCGATAGGTGTAGGTGTAAATGTGGGTGTGACATCACGACCACCCAACATTGCCCAGGCGGCCCAGAGTCTCTCAACCCTGGTGCTGGAGAAGAATTTCCGCACCCTAGCGCAAATGGGAGGTGTGATGGCGAATGGAATGGGGCCTGCGGTAACATACACGAACATTGAGTCAGCGCCCTCGCTGCACCCGTCGTCGCAGAAGAGATACTGTGATATCACGGGCCTCCCGGCGCCGTATACGGATCCGAAGACGCGGTTACGGTATCATGACAAGGAGGTTTTTGCGGTTGTGAGGTCGTTGGGACAGGGGGTTGCTGAGAGTTATTTGGAGGTGCGCGGGGCGCATGTTGTGTTGAAGTAGGGGGGGGGGGGGTGGGGGTTTTATGGTATTAATGGATACTTTTTTTCTTATCTGAATGGGACGCATGACTCTTCAATATCACTATGGATGGGACCAAAGGTACGTAGTGATTGGCTAGTGTCATCAAAACAGACAAGGGTAATATTCGATTCTTCCTGATTATACTGATATTATTTATATATTTTAGAGAGAGAAAATTCCTCTCCATCATGAGGAAATCCGAACGGAATAAAAATCAGATGTTAGGCCAACAAAGTCAAGCCCCACGCAGCCCACCCCACCCCTTTCGAGCTGGGGTTCAAAATTGTGGCGCTCCGGCTTAATCGTGACCTTTAGTTTTGATCTCCGCCTGCACATATAAATGATAATAAATGCAGAAAATCCGACGCGTTACCGCCGTCCCATGGGGGATGGCAGTTACAGTGGCATAGACTCAACTGTGGCCGTGGCGGGCTGGGTTGGGGGTGGTAAATGGGATGGAAAATGAGGAGTGTCTTTGGCAAGGATGAAGGGGAAACAGCAATGGGTTTGTAGGAAATGTATACTTTATGATGTGAGAGTAGACAAGATGTGAATATTTAAATTAGCCAATTGTTTGTGAGTACGGATTAGCATCTGCCAACCACTTATTTTCAGTCAACAAATGAAGAAAGACGTTTCATTTTCAGATTTCACATTTTAAGAGACGAGATTAAGGCAAGAGTGTGGTTCAATGGCATATGGTCTTTTTCATTCCGTAGTCCATTCCACCGGGCGACTGTTGTTTGAAAAACAAAGATGAAAAAATTGCTAAGTCTTTTTGTGTTTTATTCGGCGCCGTTGCTAGACGCGGCTGTTTTCGGCACCATGACCAATCATTTGCTGGCAAATAGCCCAGTTGGCTTAGCCGCAGCCGCGCTGCGATTTATTCTAGAAGTAAATAACCCCGAAAATAATTCAACAGCTTCTAGTTGCTATACAATTCAATACCCTCACTTCCCATGTTCGTTGCCTTGATGTTTTAATATTGATTTCGCCATATGAACCGCATTCAGTAGGTTATCTTCGCAAACACAGTCTGATACTTTCACATGAGTACAACCTTTTCACTGCACGTCAAAACTGTCTCTCCTTTATTCAGCGTTTCCTAGCAGTCAATGATTCATATACTTCCGGTCCCCTGTCGTCTTGTTGCTCACAATTCTCAGAGATCAATGCGAAGCCACGCGCCTATCTGTATGACCACCCATCCCCCCGCGCGCACCGAAAGTCCCCGGTACACCATTCGAGTCCAATAAACTTCCGAGTCCAATCCCGACCTCCTCTGTCTCTTATTCTATCCTCGGTTCCTCTTTATACCATATATTGCCATCATTAGCTCAAAGGGTGCTATGCGCCGGAAGAAGAGTTGAGAATACGCTCTACCTATAACTATCTATCCTCTCACGGGCAGCGGAAAGAGAAAAGGGATAGTAGCCCTTCCGAAGGGAAAATATAAAAATATAACAGCCAATATGCCGACGATGTGGTTATCAGATATGCAGAGTGAGTTCTCTTATGATTAGATTATTTGCCTTGTATTTGATATTCTGGAGCGACTGGGTTCTGCTTCACTTCTGGGAGTTTTCTTCGTTTATTCTCGTTTTACTATTCTTTAGTGATACACATTTGTTAACAGCAATGTCTTCAACGTAGAGTTTGGGGTGGTGTTTTGCTCTGGCGGTATGTGGAGCATATCTACGATTTCCCTTGCTTTCTTCCCACCAGTCGCAACCAATTCCGACTGGCGATTACAGACGAACCGTCACTATCGACCTCCTGGATCCCCAAATGAGCACACATAGGGAAAAAAAAAAGACATTTTTATCCACTCTGTCTGAGACCTCCTTTTAATATATAGGGGCGTTATTCCTCTTTTTGGGCATTATGATGTTTTTTGATCGATCGCTGTATGCTCCTTTTCCCAAACCCACTCCCGCACAACGACAAAAGGCTTCACTAACTATTTACTCTTCCAGCCTCGCCATGGGAAACGTACGTTCCGACAACTAACACAAGCCCTTCCGGAACTAACAAATTAAGCACCTGCAACACATACATCTAACCAATCCCTGACAGATTCTCTTCCTAATCGGTCTCCCCTTGATCCTAGGCCCGTCCAAAACCCTCTCCTTCTTTGCTCGCCGCCAAAAACTCACAGGAACCATAACCTTCGTGCTAGGAATCCTGCTAATCCTCTTCCGCTGGCCGCTGACGGGATTCTGCGTCGAATTATACGGTCTCTTCGTTCTCTTTGGGGACTTTTTGGTTACGTTAAGTGGATTTGTGGGGTCTGTGCCTGTGGTGGGACCACCGTTGAAGAGACTGTTAGTGTTCATTGGGACGGCCGGAGGGAGGAGAGGGAGAGGTGGAGAATTGCCTGTTTGATATTGCTTTAATGATGATTGATATTAATAGGCTCAGGAGTGTTGCTGCGGTTAAGTGTTTGATATCCGTCTTTATTTTAAGTTTTTCTTCTTCTTTCGGCGCAACTCTTGAGTTTTCTGTACATTGGAAATGTAGGCAGGCTTTTGAACATTTTGAAACGATTATAAGAAATGCAACCTCTGGAGAATGAATGGTAAAGCAAAAGCCGAACCACAGGCGCTTCCGTGCCCTGATTCAACCAAAGATGCGTCATGGTTTGCACCTGTTGGAGAGCCCAGGTTGATGTCTGCTCCAGCGCGAGCCGCGCAAGGATACCATAGAATATGGCGGGATATCTGGCGTGTACCTTGTTGTTGTGATGAAGTTATATGGGCATCCCCTGACCTGAAAAACTATCAAATAGCCCAAACTTTGGGCTGTAGCACAATACGTACTGCATTAGAGCTTTATTAATGGCTCTGTTATCGATGGCCGGGGTTTTCGCCCTGTGTTGACTGGTGCTAGGAGAGAGGTAGAGCGTGCGCTTCGCCGATTTGCACTAATATAACTCCCAGCCCGTGGTTGGCCCAGCGCATCCCAATCCAGCTGTTGGGGAAAGAAAAACAGTCCATGGTGGTTGGTAAGTACATAAATCAAAGGGAGATGAATGTCACTGATGGCCTATTTAGAACGTTTACGATGCAAGAAGAGGAAGGACGAGAATGTGGTGGGAATGTTGTTTATGATTTGTATATCCGTTCAAATCCATGACGACTCGCAAGTGAATATTTTGGTGCCAAAGTTAAGCAAGCCAAACCCAATGAAACAGGGAGCCAATGTGGCGATGGGCAAATATTTGCTTTTCTTGAAACAATCAACAATCTGTTGAGTTGCTGGAGGACATGCTCCACACTGTCCGAAGAGGAAAACTATCATTCACACAGCATCATGGGCTGATCGATCAATCCATGGATGTAATATGAAAATGTACGAGAATATGGACAACAGTCACCAACAGGCAACAGCTCACAATTAGAGTCTGCTGTATTTATACAGCTAGATGGATAGGGTTACCATTTCTTGCAGACTCCGTCTCCCCTTGTCACCGCCCAAGGAAACACTTTCTTGATAACTGTTTTGCCCTTTGGTGCTTTGAGATCGGGTAGATATGTATGTACAACGAATACCATTGATTTGGAAAATTGTTACCCTCATTGCCATTTTCAAAAGAACATCATAAAGTGAAAGAATGATGAAAAATGATTGATACCGAAACATACAAGTTGGTATATGAGAGAATGCTTCCTGCCTTTTAAGTTTAACGTATATCACAGGGAACATGTCATATATATTCTCATACATCCAATGTAAACGGGGGAGAGCAGACCGGGAGGAGATAATGATATAAAGACAGAAGAACAAGGAAATGAAACAATAAAAGTGCTTTAATCAATTCGTTTGATTGGTATTTGATCGTAGCGATGACGATCGTTATGTGTGTAATTATTTAATTTGTTCGATTAATTTCTCGCCTTTTTCTTCCTGGGACTGCTCCATTCCGTTCTTTCTCTGGTATGTTTCATGTTCTCACTATCGAACCCGGTAAACCTGCCAAAATGTCCTCTCAACCCTGAGCGTTTTCAGCATTGATCAGATATCTAGCCCAACCGTCCACATATTCGTTGACATTGTTCGTGAAGACATCGGACGGGTGGTGCACGATAAAGAGAGCAGAGGAGGTCTTATATATGACGATTCCTTCCTTTTGCTATTAATTGGTGGAAAGAATAGAAACAAAGGAGGAGGTTAGTTAGCATTCATTCCTTGGATATGAGTATAGGTTGAATTTTCAGACTCCAACGCGCATTTCAGATAAAAAAAGAAACGGGAAAAAGGGGACGAGTTGACAACCTTCCGACCGATGAGGCAATCTGGGTTCTTATCTGCTCTTACGAAGAAGTACTTCTCGCCAGCGAAGGAAAATCCGTTCGTTTGTACTTCCTTGGGTTCATCATCTTTGGTATCGGCGAAAGAATTAAGGATGAAAGCGATTTCATTGGGCAAGGCCTGATATCGAGATCTAATCAATATTTTTTCTTACTTGGAAATAGTTTCAAAAACAGGTAGCTGGGTTGATTTCCGGCTCCGGTCCTTTTCGCTTTGTCATATATAAACGAGAGCAAGGGAGAGTTTGATGGGAAATCTGTGCATACCGTGAAACCTGGAGAGCTGGCACAGGGCGAGTTGGCATACTGTGGATCTGTGCTGTAGATGGCCGCCTTGTCGATTCCGGAGTACTGCATTAGGCTATGCATAACGATCGAGTATTAGCATTATTGGCAGCTTTGCGGTAGACATAATGGTAAGGGATTTCTATCTTGCAAGACGGAGGTTGAAAAGTGCCCAAGAAAGCTAGGAAGGGGGTAAAGTTAGATACCCTTTGTGATAGTCTAATCGGTGCAAAAAGTGGTCAGTTTTCAAGGACACTTAGGACATATGTCTAGACAGTTTGCTGTACCGCACTCAGACAAACGAGTGACTTACCTGCCCAGCCAACTGGTTTCTGAGCAGTTGGATCGGCCATTTTGTTGAAACAATATAGAAATAATAAACAACGGATCTATAGAAATGGGGAATCGGCTTGCTGAGAAAGGGTCTGACGGATGCGTAGATTAGCAGGCGTCAATGGATTAGACATCAATGGATGGCCTGAGCCAGGGGGGGGATTGGAACACACCTGTAGACAGCCCGCTACTGTTAAGGGACTTAGAAGTCAATAAAAAGGAATGGAGGACTGCAAGATGAGAGGAGTGATATGGAAGATAATATAGCCGGGAAGAGGAGATCAAAAAGATGTTTGAGGTTGCAAAAATTGGAAGACGACATAAATAAACATGGAGAGTGACACAGTTGAGCGTGGTTCCAAATTTGAGCCCACCTTTTTAGCAGATGAGTTAGTCATTTTAATCCCATCTAAAATGTACTCATGCTACTCGAACTACGAACTTCATATTTTGCTAGTTATACAGTCCTGCCACTCCAACACATGGCTAGTGATGGGTTAGGGCAGGAATATCGTTCGCTAGCACGTAGGGATCTAAGAAATACGAAAAATAGCCACTATAGAGAATGGGAGGTGGTTGAGAAGGTGAGAGATACTGTTCAATCGTCCGAAGTTTTAGTAGCCTTAGCTGTTCGGAATTCACGCCGAAGGTTTTTCCGGTTGAAATCGGAACCACGTTCAACTTTCTGCCATCCGCGAGGAGAGGGGCAGGATTACCTAATCCAGGGAGGTTGAACTACCCCGCCATCGCCCACAGAGAGACACCTTTATATGCATTCTACATCAAACAACTACCATGCGGCAGGTATCCTATCACTGTGGCCGTATAACTATGACACACTTGCAGACTATGGCCAATGCTGATACATGCACCTCCGTGGTGTATATGCACAGTGTATACTGTACACGTCGCTGGAAACGTCATTAGGGACCTGTCCTAGGTCGATATAGATATAGTCACATAGCCGGCTGTTTCCCCTCGAGAATGCAGCCTGCGGGGAACACATTGCAAAGGTCAGAACGGGCATTGCTTAAAATCCCAGTTGAGGGGCAACATGGTTTAACGTCAGCCCGGGTTCTCACACTAGATCTGCGGACATCCGCTCCATAGGTTTGCATATTGACGATCAAATGAAGCGTCCGCTGGCCATGTTGGCGAGATAGAGTTTGGCGATATGAATCCTACTTACCCCGAGAGCTCTGTCGATATACAAAGCAGCATAGCGGTTAGTTAGTGGTATTATTTCCAGGTTTAGCAAGGATTGTCATCTTTCATCAGCTGTTGGGCGTCAATGTGATAATGGCAGGGCATCTTGTTGTCCCATGTCCGTGATGTTCATGATATTCATGAATCAAAGGGAAGTTTTAATTCCTGCATAGCCGATTCATTCATTCTACTTTGGCATGTCATTCTCGTCCGCGCCTCCCATGAAGAGAGAAAAAGCAACAAAGACGGATTTATATTGCATTCTGGAGGGATGGGCTAGTCTACTAATCTCAGTGTCTGAGTTGTCACGAAAACCCAGTCCGAAGCGCTTCGTGAAGTATGTCGATGGTTTAGCATGCATGAGGCCCCCTATTTTGTGCTACGGGAGAGGGGAAAAAAAAAAGAGAGAAAGTATTCCGATAAAGGGGGATTAACTAGGTAATAGGAATGGCCTTTCAATTTCATTTAATCCTTTGTGGGATACAGTACTTCCTCAAACTGGTGAGCGCAACAATGATCAGCAAAATTGGTGTCACTGCCAGGCTAACTCCAAAATCGCTAGTCAAGTGTCAACAACATGTGTTTGAGGAAGAGACGCTAGCAAGCCAATAAGCAGATCCTGGCCTTGAAGCAAGACAACAACGAATCAAAATTATGAACTCACTATAAATAAATGTTGGACTAGCGTGATTGGCTACGAGCCCGCCAATCTCTCGGAGTCTCCAGCAATCCCAGATATCTCAAACCCAGGTTTCAGAGTGACCCTTTGGTAATGAAGGAAAGAGATCAACGACATGATTGCGAAATATCAAAGAAAGAGGCTGGCTGGTATGTTATCACAGGCCGGTATTCCGCCGGCTGAGTCTGGCCCTTATTGTCAGCATCTTTGGTGTAATTTGCTATTCAGGTCGCGAACAATTCAACCAGTGAGAGACGACAGGGAACCATGCAGCGCCAGGGACAAGACCCTTGAGGGGTTGAGTGATCTCATCTCTCATCTCCTTTAGTCAACACTGCTGTTGATTATGCTCCGAAGAGCTGATTCCGAGAATAATCCTTCTCTCGATGCAGTGGGATGACTGTCCGTGGGATATTCTGCTACGACAATAAATAGTTGCTGACCCTACTATATAGTAGTTATTATCACACTCTCGGCAAGCAAACAAACCGCTAGAAGGCGTGTTTCAGCAGTCTAGATTGCCGCAACTCCCAGTCCACCCATATCCTTGTTGTCGCAACTTGCGACATAACCTGAATGGTACAAGTATCGAAATAATCATGGAGAACATCGACCTGCCTCGTCCTTTCTCAACTCCACTCCTCCCGCCCCGTGGACTTTCTCCTCTCTTCCTCTCACCGTTGTGACACTACTGCGCTGTTTAGTCCCTCTATTCGCCACTGTAATCCTTTTTTTAACTTCGGTCATTTTTATCTACGTTCTTTTGCGCCGGTTGCGGTTGCATCTTCAATTCTCTACGTTCATTTTTCCCTCTATTGTGGTTTTCTGGAAAGCCGTCCATTCATTTTTATTTGACATCATTATTCCCATTCTCCCCCGCTAGGTTTCGTCAGCATTCTTGTCCATATATGTCCTTAATTATCCAATATTCAGGTGTAACATAAACATATGAGCGACCACTAAAATAACTATGAAAGCCTTCAGCACCAGAACCAGACAGCGTGCAAATACAACCGGTGGCACCCTACAAGGGCCGAGATTGAATGTCACAGATGCGCTACCCCATTCAGGTCTACAAGGTGACGGGCAGACCTCAACCAGTAACGCTGTTCCTAAACGAAACAACACTTTTAATACACATGCTGGTCCGCCACGGGAGGAATGGAAAGCCTCTCCCGCACCCGACTTTGATTTCCAGCTGTCCGCCTCACCGGCACAATCACCTTCCTTCCACCTCCACGAAAGCACTGCATCGGACGATGGCACAGCGATGATAGGCATGGCAGTGGGAAGCCCCACTATGTACAGGACCGTTCAGTATACACCTTCGTATGCTGTATCCCCACCAGCCATAGATTTCGATTCGATGGAACTAGTGGGATCTGCAGAATCGGAATCCTGGAGACCTAAACCGAGCAAATGGAAGAAAATTAGCGACTTCTTCAAGGCGAAGAATTCACTGCAACAACAGCAACAACAACAACTACAACAACAACCTGATGTTGATTTTGACCAGCTTCAGCTTCATAATCGACCAACAACCAGCCATGAATCTCGTGATCGAATGGCGGATTCTCACGACTCCCGGAATCTCGAGGCGTCTTCTGAAAGTCACACTCCATGGGATGATCTTGAATTTGAACACCGTATGGGTAAACTTTCACGGAAGTCAGGGAAAGATGTCTCCAAATCGCCTGGACGAAAGGAACAAAGGAAACTGGTCAAGTATGCAGAGCCTCCGAAGCCCAATAAAAGAGCTCCCCATCAGGCTAAACCAGTAGCGAAGCCATTGAAGCCAGAAGTAATATTGCCAGGTTCACTGTCAGGACCAGAGGATGTTACAGGTTCGTTGCTGAACGTTGAGATTCCTGAAGTCCACATGGAGAGATACAGTGTCATGTTTGGAAGCGTTTTGGACAAGCCAACCTCTACGACGCTATTGCCTAGTCGAAGCAAAACCCTTAATACGCTGAAAACCCATTACGAAGAGGTGAATGGTTGACACATCTTTTTCAGGGTCTTCTGACAACTAACCAGTGATACAATAGGAGGAATTGGGACACCCTGAAATGACATTGCCAATGCGAGGAACACCTCCCGCTCCCAAATCGCCGACATTCACCCTTTTCCCTGCAGCGCCAACAGCAAAACCTCCTAAGACACTCCATAACTCAAACTTACCCCGCCAGAATATCCCATTACAGCAGTCAAATACTAATCCACGATCGTCAGGGACAGAATTGAACGAGAAGGTCATATCTACAAAGGATTGCGCAACCCCACAAGGAGGGACATCATCCATGGCCACATCTTCAAGCTCTCGTAACCAGTGGGTATCGGAAGGATCATCGTATTTGTCAATGGAATCTACATCGCCGTCCTCATCGGATATCAGTATGTCATCCGATGAGGATGAGGCTGTACCATTTACTTACAACAAAGTCGTCCCCGTTTCTCCTGACGAACCTCTGTGGGAAATATTGAATCCTGCTGCAAAACTTGACCGGGTATCTGCCAAATCGAAGAGTGTGGTACGACCGCAAAGGTTCCGGACGATCAAATCAGAGGAATCGTTTGCTGCAATCGAACAACCTTACAGTCCTTCAAGCAAACGAATGACAGGAGAAGAGATCCACGCTTACCCGAAAAATTCGCCGGCAAAGGAAGAAGCCAGGGAGTTTTCCTCTACTGAATTTAAGAATCCCTCACAACCGCCAAAGATCCGCAAAACACGATCCGATGAGTCAGTTGTAGCAATGTTATTCGAAGAGCCGCATCACATCATCCCGCCAGCACCACTACAGTCAAAATCCGAAACTAAACCCAGGAAACCGGCTCCCATTTACCCATCAATTGATATTGAGCAATGGCTACCACAACCACGACCACCGCCTCCTCAACGAAAACCGCCGCCAACGCCTCCAGCACCATCCCCTACCATTGCGCTCCCGCCCGTCCCTGTTCAACCACCCCCCGCTCTCCCGCAATACCGGACGAGGCCAAAACCCAAGTCCCGACCACCCCCCAGCACCAAAGACAACGCCAACCGCCATGCCATGAACGCCGTCGAAATATCGGTTGCGCGGTCAGTTTCCGTGACAAAAAAACCAAAGCAGGTAATCGTGCCGATGAGCGCGATGCGAAGTGATTCTTTGCGTCGCCCTAACGAACGATTTGGCGAGAAGAGGTCGGCTACGCCCACGCTGATTTCGGTGTCGAAGGGCCATGAGCGAGAGAAATCTCAAGAGGTCCCGATTGAAGTTGCGGAAGCGGGGCTTCTCTAATTATTTTAGAGTATTTGATTCGCTGCGATATTTTGGGGGTGAGAGGGGGTTTGTTGGAGGGGTTAGTCTTGGAACTCGGCTATTGGATTCAGAACGCTGGGGAGTTTGTCCTGTACATAGTGGTGGTACACAGGTTGGATTCCGCAAAAAGTTTTTAAATATATAAGGATACAATGATATTGAAATCCTATAGGCGTTTTTTGCACTTTTTTCCTATTACACATTTTGATTTTCAGTTACGCCTTTCTTCTTCCTTGATTTCATCTCTTAGTTTCAATTTTCTACTTCAGAGGTCCTTTTTTTTTCTTTTTTTTTCTTTTTTAAATTCCGTCTATTATCTCTATGGCTTCATGCTGCAAGTACTTATTTTTCTCTCACTCTTATTTTGTATATATGTAAATATGCATACCTTGATTCTCTGTATATATTTTACCAGTATCAGATATTGCAACTCATACAGCTCTGACTTGAACTTTTGACCTGGAGATCTAATTCCCAGTTGATTTTTACCTGGCGCATATTGGTATTTCTTTTGGATGCTGCCCTCCAACAGTTGATCATATTAGGCCACTAGGGCAAAAGAGCTCAATCACCACCAGCGCCGTGGTGGTATAGAGGGTACGAATCACCCAATCCAATCCCCTCAACAGATCAAACGTATAACTTGAGAAGAGATTGAGGACAAAGAAGTCACCAATTTTCATGCAACCTCTCACAAAGAAATGATACAGCATTTGTTCATTTCATGTTTCATATTATTTTCATTCAAGCTTCAACCCTATTTTATCGCGCTCTCTCTCACTTTCTATATACAAGAATTTATTAACAAACCATGGTCCACTCCAACCCAACATACGCATCACTAATCACTCTAATCTTGACATTTAATTTACTACCGCCCAACCCATTCCCTCTACCTTTCGACTTACCTTTACGCATGCCTTTGTCCTCATTCTTCTTATCACGATCATTACTTCCCATATCAAGCTCAGCACCGTCAATATGATCATCACCCATATTCCACCCCTCCGGAAACCTCACGTTAGCTCTCGCCATGACATCCGCCCGCTCACCCACTCTAGCTGTGCCGGTCGCCGACGACCAAGAAACCCGCTTAAGTGCGAGGATATCCTCCTGCATGCCAGCACTCAAATCCGCATTGGCAGTAACGAGTACAAACCAGCCCTCCGTCTGCGGCTTGGGGAAGTGTGGCGCGTAGATGCGGAACGACTGATCGTCGCATGGCGCAGTAGTTCTTCGCTGTCCATCACGTGAAGGGATAGGCTGTTTACGGGTGAGTAATACTGTTAAACCGGAGGAAGATTGGTCGGATATGGATATGGAGACGATAGGGAGGAGGGACAGAGCTTTTGAGAATTGCGTGGATGTTTGTGGGGGAAGGTTGAGGGTGCGTGGGAGGGCAGTGAGAGTGGATTGGGGTAGTGAGAGCAGGGAATGTAGAGATGGGGAGAGATGGTTTCCGGAGGATGGTTCGCTATTTTGCGTTGGGTCGATGCCGGGGAGAATTGAAAGGGGATGGTCATCTGGCCAGCGCGCGGATTTTATGCATTGGAGCAATGTCATCATCATGGTGCATGCGTTTGGGAAACCCAATTCGGCAAGCAGGTCAATGCAAGCTTGGATGATTCGAATGCCTTGATCGAGAACAGAGATTTGGTCACCGACATAGTCGGTAATAGGTAGGTCGATGCGAGACATGAATGCCTGAAGCAGTAGGAAGGCTTTGATGTGTGGATCCCACATGGGTAGTGAGGAACCCATCGTGGTGATTGGGAGAGGGAGATTCTGCGCCAGCTCCGCGTTGACGAGATCTTCATTGTGGCGCACAGGGAGTTCGTCGAACTCTGTGGCGGAACACATCCAACTGAGAGCATCAGCAAAGGTTGGATTTGGTTTTGCGTGGGACATGACATATCGGATGGTTTTGTGGGAAAGATAGTAATAACTCATTATCTTGCCATATGGAGTCGGGTCCACGTCACCGGTGGCAGAATCTAATAAAATACATGAAGACTCTGCGAGCTCTTCTAGGGATTTATCGACTAGCTCGATCATGAAATCGGACGCCATCTGCTGTGCTGCCATGGTGTTGTGTTCTTCGACAGAAATTTCAAGTCCATAATAAGAAGGGTTCTTATGCAGCCGCCTGAAGAAGAATGTCCAGGTTAGGTAATCCAAAGCATCCTGCTTCGTTGTGATAGTACCTGCGGATATTTCCGCGCCCAAATGGTCGTGAAGCACCTTGTGCAGTGTGGATTCTACAGGGAAGCCAGTGTGGAGGAAGTGCTTATAAAAACCCTTTTTGGAATCCTGTGTAAATATACGGGCGATACCAGAAGAGTCAAACTGCGGGCGTCCAGCACGGCCCAGCATCTGAAGCACGTCAGTGAGGTCCATATCTTTATAACTTTCGATTTTAGCATCGAAAAACTGTGTCCCTTTCACAACTACTAGATGGGCGGGGAGGTTAACACCCCATGCGAGGGTGCTAGTTGCAACAAGGATTTGGACTTTGTTGTTCGCAAAGAGCTCCTCCGATAACTGTCTGTCGGATTCAACGAGGCCAGCATGATGGAGGGCGATTCCAAAGCTGAGAGCTTCTTTAAGAGAGTCATCCTTGACACGCGAAAGATTCAACTGCAAATCTTCTTCAGACATGTGAAGGAACCGGCGTGGATTGTCTTCCATGCCGCAAAAGTTAATCAGGTCTTTTGCGGTGAGACGTGTTTGTCTCCGGGATGCTACAAAAACAATTACGGGCTTTTCAGGGGAATGGTTTTTTATCGCTAGAAATGTGGGTCGGTTCATCGACTGCATAAGTGGGCAAAAGCCTCGTTGTTCAGGGAAGCCGTCAATGAATATCTCCAGTGGAACAGGTCGAACAGAGTGGCGGAAGTTAAAAAGGCCTTCCTTAACCCCCAACCAATTTCCAAGATCGGTAGCATTGGCACAAGCCGTGGACATACCGAGTAGCCGAACAGAGCCTTTTGATTGAGAGGCAATGTAATTCATCCGGGAAACGATAATCTCCAAAATTGGCCCTCTGTCACCCCCAAGCAGGTGGATTTCGTCTATAATGACGAGGCTAACTTGACGGACATACCCTCTAGTCTGCCAACTTCGAGAAATACCATCCCATTTTTCAGGTGTGGTGATAATAATGTCCGCGTCGCGTATTGTTCTTGTATCTGGCGTGTTGTCGCCCGTCAGTTCAACTAATTTCAGGCCCATGGGCGCGGTCAACCGGCGTCGCCAGTCCTGCACACGTTCTCGGACGAGAGCTTTCATGGGAGCAATGTAGACGACCTTAGAGCCTGGCTTTTCTCGAAAGGCCCACCACATCGCAAGTTCCGCTGCGACAGTTTTGCCACTTCCTGTTGGGGAACCGAGGAGAACGTTCGCGGCGGTGTGGTACAGGGTATGAAATATCTGTGTTTGCATAGGGTTGAAAAACTGGAACCTTTGTGCGTATATGTCTTCAAGAATGGGATTTTTCAGGGCAGATATTGGAAGGGGTTGCAGATCAAGTAAGTCCGTATAAACGCTTTCCGTATCAGGCCTAATTAGATGCTGGAAAGAAACGGGAGTAACGGTTTCCGCACCAAGCCATCGATCGGAGATAGCGCGAACATATATCTGGCTTGGCAGCGGATCGGAGAGAGGAATGGTGAAATTCATCTCATGGTTATCGTTGAGTTTCTTCCGACTCAGAATGAAATATTCGTGATGATAGATCTCAGATGTCTCTGAGTTCTCTACCCAGATCCAGTACGGCTCGGACGTCCCGTGGTGTCTATCATTCCAGCGGAACTCAGGATATAGATAAAGACGAATACGAAGGACATCGCGATTCAGCGGAGCAATCTCAGCTTCCACGCTCAGCGTTGGAAAGTTATCCAGCAGCTTCGAGAGGGTGGATCCCATGCGATGGTTATGGACAAGCTGTCCAATTTCAGCCGGTTCCATATCCCTCAACGATTCAATTGAAGAGGCAGGGAATTTCTCATCCAAGTTTTTCAGTATTGGCTGGGGCAAGTCAAACTGGTGGAAGGGATGTTGAAACGGCCATATTTGCTTTTCAATCGATTTGCAGGTAGACAATAATACTTGACACTGGTATCCCCAACGCCTATTCAGCGCAACCATGAACAAGGCACGACAAATGCGAGCCGCATTCTGAGCTACGTAGGCCGTATCAGAGGCGAGAGCAAAGTCTTCGATCCTGGCGCGAGAAATGTATGCTTGAAGTAAAATATTGGTTTTCGCATGGGAAGTGTCATTCGCCCCTTCGACCTCAGTTTTCAATGCCTCTAAACGAAGTCTATCAAGTTCTTTAAATTCATTTTCCCGGGATTGGATATTGTCAAACTCCCCACTCATACTGATCATTTTCATAACATCCGCATCGTTAGCCATGGGCGTCATCATGGCATTGAAAATTTCCACACTTGTTTGCAACACGTAGTATTGACTTGCAATTCTACCAACGTCTTTGGCTCGCAGCTCTTCCGTCCGCTCATTGAATATAATCATCTGGCTCTTCTGTAGGGTTCGGGCGGCGTTGATAATCAAATCTCGTCTGCGAATGACAAGTTGAGGGTCGTCTCTAATTTCCGCCCAGTCGATACCATAGCTGTGGGGATTCCGACGCATACGTACGAAGAGATACGAGTATCCAAGCCATTGGACAGCTTCAGAAACAGACGTCACAGTTCCCAGAGAGATCTCCGCATTCAAGTTATCAACCAGTTTGCGAGAGAATCTCGACTCTATGGGCTCCTGAGAAGTTACGGCGGACAAGTAGTGTTGCAGCTTATTATGTGTTGTGCAAATGAAGCCAATACCGGTGTCTTGGAACTGAGGGCGACCAGCTCGACCGAATATTTGAAGGACATCTAAAATGCCAAGGTCGATAAGTTTTCCTTCCTGAGCGCTGTAAAGTTGGGTTCCCTTGATAATGACCGCGGCAGCTGGAAGATTGACACCCCAGGCAAGAGTGGCTGTACAACAGAGAACCTTCAGCACACCCTGAGAAAACAAGCGTTCCATAAGATTGCGATCAGACCTAGCCATCCCCGCGTGGTGCATTCCAAGTCCCTTGGGGACAAGGTCGCGAAGCTCCCGGCCACGACTTGTCTTCACATCTCGCAGAGCCTGCGCGTAATTTTCGTGCTCTAAGGGGCTAAAGAGATCTGCACACCGATTTTCCACAGCCATCTGATATAGAAGTCGTGCAGCATTCACAGTTTCTTTCCGAGAATGGACAAAGACCATGACTTGATGACCTCTTTCAAGCATATTCCGGACCTTCTCGAAGCAGACTATATCTAGGTTTTCTCTAGACTTCTTAGAGCCCGCGTCACCTTTCACGCCAACGAAATGCTGTTCAAGGGGCACTGGGCGAAAGGAGGCATCAAAGTAGAATAACCCTGCCATCCTGTTGACTTTGAGGAAATCTGCAACATCAATATAGTTTGGCAGCGTAGCAGATAGCCCGACTATGCGAATGAGCGACTGAGTACTCTCAACTTGTCGCTGGGTCCTTGCAACAAGAGATTCTATCACAGCTCCCCGTTCGTCGTGCAACATATGGACCTCATCGATGATTAATAGACGAACCTTTTGGACAAGCTCCGTATCGCCGGTCCCCTTGCGGGTTACGACATCCCACTTCTCTGGGGTGGTAACGATGATTTGGGTCTGGACAATTTCCTTCTTGGACAGTTGCATATCTCCAGTTAGTTCGCGAACCTCGATCCCAAGCCATGCTAGACGCTTCCCCAACTTTTCTGTTACCTCTGCGGCCAGGGCTTTCATGGGTGCGACATAAACAATTTTGAATTCGTTCGTGATTACAGCGAACTCTGTGGCATCATGATTCTCAAGAGGGTTGGGAATGGTATTTTTGGCAATAACATTCAGAATAGTCAACATTGCTGCATCCGTTTTACCAGCACCTGTGGGGGCACAGATAAGCATGTTTTCATTCGTCTTATATGCAACAGGGTACAGCAAGCTCTGCATGCGGTTCAGAGACTTGTACCCCTTGAAAGTACCCCGGCAGAGCCCATCCATCTCTGAAACGGCGACTAACTTCCTACCAGCACCAATGATCCCAACTTTTGCGGCTGGAATGGAGTACTCTGTATATCTTGGTTCTTCAACGTGACTGCTGCCGACCGGGAGGCCATATTTTCTCCCATTGACAGAGAGAGTATTCCCAGCCTGATGCGCCTTGTACACATGTGGATAGATAGGTCCTTCGCGGTCCTGTTTAGGCGCCAATTTTGCATGTTTATGCTCGTAGTCTTGTCGTCGTAAGGAGTCCTCCCGCTGACTCTTTGTCTGCAATCGACTGAATATATCATCACTGGCCCTTAAACCTTGGGTTGAGATTAATTGATGTCGATGGGCGATCAAGTCAATGACAAAGTCCAAATCGTCGAACCCTACAATTTCAGTTAATGATACCTGTAATTCCTCGGGTGGGTGGTCTGCGGCCAGCACAGAGATAAGTTGTTGCTGAAGTTCGGAGGCATTGAGGCTAGCATTCCGCTCTGCGATTGCCCAGCATTTGTGAGAAAGCCACTGCAAGTTGTACACTCCCATTTTGCCAGAGGGTTCTACTCCATTTACACTGGCATCCACCATTGCATCAGAATCATTGCCTGTTCTATCATAATCGTCATCCTCGCTGATAATATCCCACAAATCTTCAACCGATTCTGGAGCTGATGAAAATTCGACATCGTCGAGGTTGAGACCCTTGCTGGGGGGTAATAAGTCTTCGGCTTTGGGGAGGTTTAGGTCTGCCATAGCTTGCCTCATAGCGGCCAGTTGAGAGAACCATTGTGACTCCACTAGCTCGGTTGCGGGCGACATTTTTGGTTTCCGGCAGATGGGAGGTTGGGCAAGAAAGGAGTTCTGGCAACCTGCAGTGGGGAGTCGTCCCTGCGGTTATTCAACGGTATCGATATGATGTCTCCCCAAATATTGAATGGCCGTGGGGCACCGATCTGGACATAGTAGCCGAGATAACGGTGTACAGGTCCTGCAGATGCCAATTTGTATGGACTAAGTTTGAATCAAGCGCCTTTTGCACCGAACCGGGTTAGCGGTGCGCACCCGAACCACATTCCCCGCGTGGAACTGGCGGTTCTTGTAAAATGTGGCGGGAAGCCTGGCAAAGGGTCAACGTTGCCGCTTCAACATCAGACGAAACCGGCGCTTCTTGATGTTCACGCCCATCAACCACCCCTTTAACACAGACTAGAGATCCCGGGGGGAAAGCCTATATCCCGGGTCACTGTACTGTACATACGCTGTTTAGTTTGATTTTTATTTTATATCCGTCCTGGAGAATAGGAACCCCTTTGTGACCGTCCCAAGCACAACCCCCTGACGACGCTACCACCGTCAACACCCTCATACACCTTTCAGCTTTGAGAGGGGACAGTGTAATCAAATTACAGTCATGAGCACAACTAATCCTTTCATCTACATTGGGGTATGTTGTTCTGGAACAAGCGTGGCCCGTTCATTGAAGACTCTGCTAAGCGATGCCATCGCGCCCGTAGTTCTTCCGGACCTACCGTGAACCCCATTATGATACGGATCCTACACGGCCTCCTGTTGAGCTCTATGGCGCAGATTCTATTTACAATACTCTAATGACCAGTTTCATCAGGAAAAGGTGAGCAACGGGCACTTCTCCGTCTGCCATCTAACAAACCGCACGTCTGGTCTTATCGGGAACATTAAGTTCTGATTTTTTTTCTTTTTTCTTATGCCCATCCTTGCAGTCAGCTAGAATTGATCGCATTTACCGCGCAAGAACTTTGCAGAAACATCAAAGCCAATGTTATTACCAAGATCGCGGAGAATATTGGGACAATATACTTCCTGGACCCGGGTACTGGTGTTGCTACATTCCTCGTCACTTCAGCCGAGTATGAGAACTCTCCTATTAATCGTACCGACGCCGGCTCTGAGCGTAAAGACACTCCAGCGGAAATTATAGTCAAATATGTCAGCCGGAAGTTGGAGAGCAAGATAGGGCCCGATTTCCATCTGACACTGAAATCTCGAGAAGAAGTTGACCCGAAGGATGTCAGGAGACGAGATGAACTTATTACGCTGGCAAAGAACGAATTGAACGCGTATCTTGTTCGCGCTAACCAGGAGCCAGATAAAGTTCGCAGAATAACGCTGGACGATCGGATCACGGGAATTCAGGACCAGCTTGATGATGTAAAAAGAGTGATGCACAAGACTATTGACGAGGCTTTGAGGAAAGGGGAGAAGTTGGATAGTTTGATCGCCAAGAGCGATAATTTGAGCATGCAGAGCAGAGCATTTGCCGCTCAGGCAAAGAAGCAAAATTCATGCTGCGTGGTTATGTAACTCGCGGCGTATGTTTTTCTGTTCATATTCTTTTGTGCTGTTTGTTTATGGGAGCGCCTGAAGACCCGCTATCGGGGCGGTTACGTTCGTCACTCGCTACTTTCCTTTAATCCGCTTTCCTCTATGTTCATATCTTTTAGGCATCCGAGTTTGTACAAACTCAAACACCTTCCGCCGCCCTTCTTTTTTTTTTTGGTCTCTGACTCAGAACCCATCTTTCAATTTTTATGATTTCCTATCGTCCATCCCTTTACGCTAGCCAAACTCACGTATTGAATTTCATATCTAATGGCCCTCCTCGAATCAGTCCGTTATTCTAATTACACCTATCTATTGTTACGTTTCCAAGGTTGGGCATTTTCCTGCCGACCCAGTCAGGACATAGAAGCTTATCTCTCTCTGGCTTAAAACTTCGATAATACATGGACAACTCTGAATGATGCTTTTTAGCACACGTGGCTTATTGCTTTCCATGAAGACAAACCAAATTTAACATATTGAGTCAAGCCAACTGTGCAAATGCGTCTACAAGTATATTCTAATATAAATCAAAAGTAATAAGGATGTCTAGAAATAATCGTTGATACAGTAATGCCAGATCCAAAAATAAAGATGAAAATGAAAATGAAAATGAAATAAATTAAATCAATGAAGCAAATAAATAAACAAAGCTCATGAAAACAAGCTCAGCTCTCCAGACTCGTGAAGCAGAACCCATCTATGGTAGCCGTATAGCCACAACAGCCATGTTGTCGGTTTCTTTCTCGACTAGAGTGTTGACAGAAACCGAAGACGGCTTCATATCGAGAGCCTCAACAACATTTTCATGTCTGTCTACATATTCTAGTCCACGCTTGACAATAGCAAGTTCAATTTGCCGACATAATACAATATCACCCACCGCTGTGACAGCATAAAGAGCGTGACCCTCGTTAATCCAATCCCTGGGAATGAAAAAATGGCGTTGGTAGGTGCCGTGAATGTCTTCTAACGGAAAAGAGCAGACCCATCCATCCTTATTGCAGAAGATGAGCTTTGATTCCCAAATCCCGAGCACGAGGTGGATTGTTTCTGATAAAGCAATGGGCGCCATGCGAGGAATAATATCATTGTTCGAGACGCTCTCGGCCTTTAAACACGGCCAGTCGAAACAATAAGCGTGTTGCAAATTATTCACACCGGCGTTTCTCAAGTGGACAACCATTTGGTTCCCACAAATGCTATAGAAGTCCGTAGGTGAGGTTGCAGAGGGGCGAAGGTCAGTGTCAGAGGAAACGTAGGCTTGGGGTGTCAAGTCACTCCAGCTGTAGATACTTATAATGCTCCTTCCACCGCTGACTCCTTCTACGCCAATTATATGAGCTGGTGAGGACGGATGTTGAATCCATCGTATCTCACTCAATTCTTTGGCAAACTGTATTTTCCCGTCAACAGATACGAGATAGGATCTTTTTGTGGTTGAAAACAAGCATTTTCCGTCGTACGGGCTGATTAAAAGTTGACAACTACCAAATTCGTCATGAGGGAGTTTAACCAAGAAGCCCCCGTTCCTTTCAGCTTCCCAGCCTTCCTTTTCCCAGTGTGCAGTCTTCTTCAATTTGGTAGACGTTAACCAGCCGTTTTTATAATCCTTTGTATGGAAAGCTATAAGGACCTCGCCCTTTGGCCACCAGCCAACAGCATGGACAATGTTTTCACCGAGCTTGTAGAACGGGCACACCAGGCTTCCGGTTTCTAACTCGTATCGGAGAACGGAGGCGTCGTTGGTGCCGCAAAATGCAAATTTTCCGGGTGGATCGACGGTCATAGAACAAATCGAAAGAAGTCCATTGGCCACCGCGGACTCTACACTGGGCTTGGTCCAGGCAACGCCTGGTTGTCGTTTCTGGCGCAGCACTGCCGGTTCCCAAACATTACAGTAGAGTTCATTGCATTCGGAAAAATAAAAATTATCATTTCCGAAGCTGACGGAACTATAGTCAAAGCATCCTGTCTTAATGAAGTATAAAACGTTTAAGGTCTTGAATTCGTGAACGACGATATGGCGATCGCTACATGCACGCAAAAGTATATGGCTATCGGGGCTAGAGGAGAGACATTTGACGCCCGTCCCTGCGGGTACCATTTCAAGGATTTTATTGGTAATGGGTTTGAGAATAATGAGCTCTCCATCCGGTTGTGAATTGTAATGTACTGCGAGCAGCTCACAGTTGGGATCCGGGTTGAAAAGAAGACATTGGACATCCATTTCATCGCTCTCTTTCCCACAATTCCCAATGTTTGTATCGTCTTCGAGGTCCCACAGCGTAATGGGCCAACTTTTTTTGTCACCTGCGGCCCTGTGATAAGCGATGGCCAATGTTTTCCTATCAGGCGACATTGACATGCACGAAACACCTCCTCGCTTCCTACCCACAGCTTCTCTTTTAAGTTGATCGAACGGCCGATCAGGCTGGGAGGATCCATCCGTCAAGCTCCAAGATGAAACACAGTCCCCACTGCGCCAAACGACTAAAAGAGAATTCTTGTAGAAGCTGAGCCAGAAGAGAACCTCAATGAATTCAAATTGATGGATAATTTCCCCGCTGCGAATATTCCAAACCCTGACCGTGCCGCAGTCCCACAGCGAACACGAGTGCGATGCCATTAGATCTGTTCCCCGTTGAAATACCAGATTCTTTAGAGATTTCAGGCCATGATCAAGAGTTCTGTACTGCTGGTAAGTAGCTGCTTCGTAGAGTATGATTAACCCTGAGTTAAAGCCAATTGCGAAATGCTCGTCTCCGTGCCCTATCACCCTTGCTCTTGATTTGCCTATGAATTTAATGCAACAGAATAGTTCATCCCACCTAGTGTTCGAATATCCAACGAACGAGAGCATATTATTTCTGGTGGCTGTTGATTGGTCCACCTTCGGTTCTTTGGGGCGGGATTGGAATACAATATCGTATATCCAAGCCGGCCAGCTTAGGACGGCTACTGAATACTGTAATACAGCTAAGAAGAAACCAACCATCCGTTTCCAAAAAGTTCCACGGGCTTCGAACTGATATGTCTTTAATCGCTCAGTGGTGCTCAGATTTCCCCGACTCAAGGCCTCTTTGTCGCTGATCACTGCCCTGAACGCAGCGGATTCCGTCGGGCAAAATGGAAAGACTACCTGATGCACCGCGGCTGGTGAGCTCAACATAGCGTCGCCAAATTTTGTTGGGATCCGGATGAGATCTTTCGACCAGCCCCAAATAGCCTGCTTTCTACTTTCCCCCAAAGGTCGAGCACGTAAAAGGTTGTCAAGATACGTGCTAAGGTTCTTGGAGACATTGAACATCGGCGTGAGGTCCTGGTTCTCGGCAACAGCCTGAATCCAGGAGAGTATATTCTTACTCAGGAAGGTGTCCAGAAGGCCAAGTACGTCATCTGCAGTCGGGCTAGAATAAGCCAGATGGTCCGAAAATGAGTGAATGGCATAAACAGTGAATTCAGATCTAATTTTCCGCGCCAACGAAGCCGAAGTGCGCATGCGAGGTGGAGGAGGTTCCATCTCTGGGCCCGTAAGGTAGAGGAGACATGTTTTAGCGATCCGAGTGTGCGTTTCCTCCACATTGATGGCAAACTCAGACTGCAAACCATGCTTCACGAGGAATTCCCGGGCTGTCGCATGCACTATTTGGACCCTCCCAAACCCATCGATGCTCACAAGCTGGCCACACGTATCTTTGATACTCCTTCTGAAGTGTAGAAAGGTATCACTAAGATCAAGATTCAGAGCAGACTCAAGCTCCGGTACAGTCAACGGCCGCTGAGCGCAAATTGACCAAGCTAGAATCGCTTGGGCTAATTGCTTTCCATGTTTTGCCCCTGACATTGTTTCGAGTATTCTGGAATACAACGGTTCCATCTCTTGTGGCACCTCTTCCAAGACACGGTTGATGTCTTCCTGGCCATGCACGTTCAAGAGCTCACTGAGAACTATTGCCGTCCATAAGAAGCTATCATTGGATTTTGCTAAGATTCGTTCTACCAGGGAATCCCGATCATTCGGTTCTATGGTTCTACGTCAAGCAACATAGACTTTTCCTCAACAAATATCCTGACATCATGGAGTGTATCCGCTGCCGAAATTTGTTCGCAGACAACGCGCCCAGTCCCAAGACCGTAGAACTGTTGCTGAAGAATAGCGGTTGGTCGGCTTGTAATAAAGATATGGATCGGTATTGAATTATCCAATTTAGCCAGCATTGGACCGAAAAAAGAAACGAAGTCGGTACACTCGTCAAGGGCATCAATTACCCAATATTGAGGTGGAATGGGGGCTTGGAATATTCCGGATAGGAATATCTTCCTCCATATGGTACGCTCATCGCCTTTATCAAATTCTATGCCATCGGAATGCATGCTCAGCAGCAACTCCTTCAAACTTTCATTCCTACTCGCCATTTGGAAAGCAATGGACCGAAGGCAGGTATTTAGCTTCGACTTCGATTCGTCTCCGAACTTGAAGAAAAGTAGCTGACCTCCGCACCTATCGCTTCTAGCATTTCGATTGCATAGCCCGCCAGAACAGATTTGCCGGCCCCTGGATTTCCACCAAGCCAAAAAATGGTTGGGCCGCTGCTGGGATTATTTCTCCACTGAATGTAGCTAGCCGTACTGGAAAGCCATTCACAAGTCCCAGATAGACGAGCTTCTTGAACAATAGTTAGATCTTCTTTTGGTGTTGAAGCCACTCCCAAGTATTCCCTCAAAGCCTTCATTTGTTCGAACTTTCGTTTTGCTTTTAACCGCTGGCCTAGAAAAACCACTTAGTCGAGCTTCTTGGTGTTGTTAACGGAGATAGGTACCTGATCCAGTGAGTTCTCGAACTGTCAATGCGAGAGCATCTCGAATGTTCCTCTAATTTGGATCGGCCACCGAGTTGAATTTGCATATTGACCGGTGATCAGCAGTCATGGGAATTTGTTTCTCCGATCCGTACCCGAGCACGGCGAAATCCTGTCTTACAATAATCTTGCTGAGAAATCCTACAGTAAGGGGCAGAGTTTCGTAGAATGACCATAACTTTAGATCGCCTGCATAAAGACGAAATTGGCCGTTGATATCCCTAATTGTGGAAGAACCCCTTTCGAGGTCCGAGACATAGGAGCGCGAACCGTATGCAGCGTGGAAGATTTTTGTCAAAAGTTCAGCCGAGTCAGAGCCCAAATGCGGAGTGGCAATGAAATAAAAGGTGGAAATTCGTTTGGCTATATCGTCGTACTGTGGGTTCAGCCTCGCAAGCATGTACGCCTATGGTTTCACATTAGCATCTGCTGTTTTTCCGATCAATGAGGGACCTTCCTTCTTGATAACCAATCCACCCATGCTATGTCCTATGAGAACTATTGGAGTCTAAAACCATTCACAGTTAGCAGATACGACTCCTATTTCAGAATGGTGGACACATACGTCATCCGCACCGAAGCCTGGGCGTAGTTCCATGGCCGTGAGTAACAACAACCCATAGTCGTAGATGTTCATTGCACTGTCTTTGCCCTTGTGCCAGTCGGAACTGTAGCCAAAACTGTATATGCGTACATTCTCGAATGCCGAGTCCTCCGGAAGCCAACTCTTCGGCCAAAAATGCTTCATTTCCTTTGTCAGGCTCCAAGTCTTCCTCGAGCCACCACCGAGGCCGTGAACGAAAATAAGATCAACACGAGGGTTCTCAGGTTCATGAAGAAGATTCAATCCAATTGGGCCTTTCCAGTCGTCGTTGTCTCCACCGTCTGGGTCTCCATGCTCATCCACATGCTCCCGATCTCCGTCCTCATGAATGAGCGTGGCACTCGGGGATAAGGTACTGGATCCATTGACAAATGGTTTCTGCAAAGATTTCAGATTGCGGCGCAGAGATTTCATAGCTAGAGGAGGAAGTCAAACAACGGCTCGTTATAATAATATAGGGGGTCCATCATACATACTACAGTCTTTATCTCACAGATTCGTATGTATAGAAAAAAGATAGAGACATTGGTATGTCTTGTATGCATGCGACAATCCACGAAAAGTTGATATTTTGAAGAATCCAAAATAAAATAAAAATACTAAATCGACGAAAGCACATCTGGAACGAACAGCCCCTGAAAAAGCCATCTTGGAAAGCGGGGAAACGAACTCGTAAACAGGCAATTATTAGGCGCCCGCCTTATTTTGGATCGACCGGCGCACCCGCTGCCTCATTTTCCGCCATGTCACCTTGTCTAAGGAACTGGTGACCAACAAGCCGTTTGAGTCGCCTTCCTCTGCATACATGGCAGGGGGTCCTAAATTGGTGATAGGCTAAGGGGCGTCTTGACCTTGTAAGCGCCAGCCCAATTCCTCTGCGAAACGGCTGAAATGTCGGCGTTTACTGAACTGCATACATGGGACCAATGTCAACTAGCCCATCAGCGACAAGGAAAACCCGAGAGTCCCGGTACGCAGCAGGTTATGGGTGGCTGCTATCGCATCGTAATTCAACGAACGTGCTGCAACTACCACCGTCGGGTGCAGATTTGCGCCAACCAGGGCTAATAGGACCGTGCGCCGTCCAAAAACCATTTTGGATACGAGCCATTGCTTCGGTTTGTTTGTCTTTTGAGAATGGATGGTCGGGAGTGAGAAAAGAAAAGGCGATTTGAGTTCACTCGTTGACCAACTAACTGCTTAGTAAGCGACTGCTCAGAGGTTAACTCAGTTAGTTATATAACTACTGTTGGGGGGATTGGATTGGGTGATTCGTACCCTCTATACCACCACGGCGCTGGTGGTGATTGAGCTCTTTTGCCCTAGTGGCCTAATATATACACGATTAGTCCGTACCAGGAACCTATGTAAATGCAGTGGTAAGATCTGCTAAAGTGGTCCAGGCACATATTGGCGTCATCTCTTCAGAAGCTCCGGGTCCTTGGCCGTTTTCGGATCTTCAATATAATTTACCTTTCCACATGGCTGGCTCTGGACGTGGGGGATGCACTAACTGTGAGGGTATAAACCCTCTCACTGCTTCCGCTAGCACTGGTCTTGAATTCCGGGAGTCGAAGAATTGCATAGACGGTTGCCAAGGAGGGGTATGAAGTCCCCTCATTGTTGACATTTACTGATCTTTGAACATAGCAAGGCACACGAGATCCTAATGCTGAGCAGGATCCTAAAGCGTCATCACTATACGCTTCTCCCTCTACAAACAGTTCACTTGTCTCAGACGCTATACTTGTTGAAAAGGTTACCTCATATGTTGAAGAGTATATGTTACACTACGACAGTTCTCATGACTTTGACCACGTTCTGCGTGTCCTAGGTCTCGCCCGGCGCATTGCTTCTGTTTTATCAGCCCCTGACTCCCCCTCTTCATCAACCCACTACGATTCCTTAATCATCACGCTCTCCTCGCTTTTACATGATGTTGGCGATAAAAAGTACCTCAAACCTGGCGATAATGCTGACTCCATGGTCTATGAGCTACTTGTGTCCTTTGGGGCGTCCAACTCTCTAGCAGAGAAGATCCAAACAGTCGTCAGCAATGTGTCGTTCTCGGCGGAAACTAAGTCAGCAGAGAGCCGCGAAAAGGTGCAAAGGTTGATTCAAGAGATTCCTGAGCTAGGGATTGTGCAGGATGCAGATCGCTTGGATGCAATTGGAGGCATTGGGATTGGAAGAACATTTACGTATGGCGGGGCAGTGGGGAAGATGGGCCAAAAAGGGAGACGCATGCAGGACACAATACAGCATTTTGTGGACAAGTTGGAATGCTTAGAGGGCTTGATGAAGACAACAGAGGGAAAGAGACTGGCAGCAGAGAGAACCAGGCGACTCAAGATATACAGGGAGTGGTGGGAGGAGGAGATTCAGGACGCACAGGAGGGTTTATTTAGTAGCAAAACACCGCAGAAATAACCAAAATATCCACGTATCTCTAGAATCATTCAAATATCATCCAATTCATTCAAATACGCACCTTTATCATCAAATCTGCCAATATGCCCCGCAACACCCACCGTTCTACTGCCTCGCAAGCTCGTAAAAGGACTCCAACTACCCTGCGCCTTCGTCTGTCCAAACCGCCTGTTCCGGATGTTCTGGATAATGACGAGAATCCAACTGATGATGAGAAGGAGGATAAGGAGGAGGAGGAGGAGACACAGTCAGAAGATCCTCGATTTCTGTGAACACCTACCCCTGAGCCTGAGATCTCATTCAGGCTGTATGAACGGGTGATTATCAATGGGATAAAGGAGCCTATAAAGATCAAGTTATGGAATGTCACAACAAATGATATGACTGTCAGCTTCTATCGTATCCAATATCTCTCTCAACTCCTTCTTCATCTAATATTGTGTCTCCAAGTGAGATAATCAATGTGATGGTGATGAAATATATGATGGAAGGAATGGGAGGCATGGGAGGACTGAATTCAAACTTGTCATCGAATTCAAACTTGCCATCAAATTCAAACCTGCCATCGAATCCAAACCTGCCATCGAATCCGAACCTGCCATCGAATCCGAACCTGCCATCGAATCCGAACCTGCCTCCTATTCGAAGTAGTCCAATCCCTCAGTTTGGTGAACACGCGGACCTGCTTATTGATGAGTTCTTCAACTGGTTGATGACAGAGAGAACTCGAAGAGCAGAAGCTCTTTTAACTGCAAAGAGCATTATTCAGAATGAAGGATTTGAACTGGATCATATACGGACAATGACAAATGAGCAGGTGGTTCAGTTGAATGTTGGAATGGGTATATTCTCGATAATAAGAAATGGGTTAAAGAGTCCTATCTGGCAGTCACAGTTGAAGGAGATTAAATTGTCTTTATCTGCTGTTTGTAATGATGGCAGCAGACCTCATACTGCTTCTGCTTCTGAATTTGAAACTTAGATATTATATATCATCATAATTGAATTGAAATCTGAATCTTTTTAAATTTTACAATACTATCCTATATGAGCAGATCTGAAATATCCTCTTGCATCTTCTTCTCCCATGAAATTCTCAACTGCATGATGCAAGAAGGTTTCAAAATCTCCATCAAACTGATTCTCTAACTGACATCTGTATCTTCTAATCCATTCTTTCAACGCGTGAAATGACTCCTCTATAGGATTATAATCAGGAGAATATGGAGGTAAGAATGAGGGTGGATATCAACATCAAATTCATCCTTCACAAAGCAGACAGCCTCATCGCGATATGCAGTTGGATATGCCTCAAAAAAGTCCTCCAAACCTGACAAGATATCCGGTGTGATCTTTGGCTTTACACCCCATGTTGAATGAGGACTTCTAGCAGTTCCAAAGCAGCGAATATTTCGTTGGATTCGATATACAGTGGCCAGATGGCACTCAATGGTCCGCGCAATCTGAGCAGGCATATAACCATCGTTTAGAAGGCGTACGATCTCATTGGTGGTAAATTCGCTGAGCTGGGGGGGCATATTGGCAGATTTGATGATAAAGGTGCGTATTTGAATGAATTGGATGATATTTGAATGATTCTAGAGATACGTGGATATTTTGGTTATTTCTGCGGTGTTTTGCTACTATTTTTCAGGGGGTGGCAGAAAATTCTGTTTTCGCAAGCTTTACGTCCGCCACAATAAAGGCAACATGAAGGTCTTGATGTACGGTACATAATTATTTAGTGTGAACGAATTCTTTAGCACACGGTTTACCAGCCAGCATTTACGCGACGAGTAGACAGTCGCTTTATATCAGAATGAGAAACTACCTTACTATAATAACGATTCGCCCTCCCGCAGATATCCTGTTCAAAGTGATGCATGCCGAGACTTAATTCAACGGGATGGATATTCCTCTATGGAGTGCTCTGTACTCTGTGTGGAGTACTTCCAGCAAAATACATAGTTAATCAGTCACCCAATCATGCCGATGACTAAGTATCAATCCATCCAGCCAATCAGATGGCTCAACCTCACCTCTTCCAACCTGGGCAATCGACATCTGGCTTCGAACAAACACGTCCAGCATGTTTTTCTATGGCGCACCGCAGCTAAACAAGCAAACATCCCCTGGGTAATGTATTGAAATGGAAAGAAATTGATTTGTTCCTAGAGGCCCAGCGACCATGGTGTCCCTCTGGCCATGGAAGGTATTGCTAGGATTATCCAGTTTTTCCCCACAGTGTATGAGCTCCCATGTTGACACTTTTGTTCCTCGGCAGGGCTCTGGTACTTCACCAGCGGAGTTCGAAAAGACTCTATCCACCTTATCTGCGAAGATCGCGCGGGCAACTACCCGACTGGACGGCTACAGACAACGCTCGCGACGATATAGGGTCTTATGGACCTTGTATACCTCCTTCGCATACCTTCTCTACTCGATCATCGTCACACTCGTGCTCGGATGGCAAAATTGGGGCCCTTGCGAATACTCCACTGTGGCAGGTGGGCCGGTTTTGTGCGTTCTTTTTTAATGTTGTATTGGATTGCTGAAACTACCCAGAGTCTAATTTCTATATAGGATTTACGTTGTTCGGCTAGGCCTAGATAAGTATTACCAGTACCGCATCTCCGGCACGCACAGCCATCTTGATGAGCTACACAAGCAGCGGGATGCAACTATTGAGAAACTCAAGGAGGCTACGAGGTACAACTCCACCCAACAACTGTTGGAGAAGTATGGTGGGGACTCACCCAAGCGTCCCGAGACTCAGCAGGGCACAGCTTCCGGAGTAGAAGGACCAGTAGCTAGTAAAAAGAGAGACCCGCGAATGAGAGCGTCGCTCCCTCTACCAGCCGCAGGTGGGAGAACGGGAATCCCTCCCCCCCCAACGGCAAACATCCCACGAATGCAACCAGGCTCGGTGCCGACAACCCCCATTCGATCTCCACCTATGCACGACCAACGCAGGATACTACGCCCATCTAACTTAAATCCGAATACCAACCAACCAGGACAGTTGGCTCAGGGCAATTCTCCCTCCGTGGACGAACCTGGCTTCGCTCCCAATGCCTTCCCACCTTCTCAACCCCAACAACTTCACGCCTCCCAACTTCAACCTCACTGGTACGACAGAATCCTCGACGTCCTACTAGGCGAAGATGAAACACTCGCGAAGAACCGTCTTGCACTGATATGCACTCAATGCCGCCTGGTCAACGGCCAAGCTGCACCGGGCGTCCGGAGCCTTGAAGAGATCGGCCGCTGGCGCTGCGGTTCATGCGGCGCCTTGAACGGTGAAGAAAGTGAAACAACAAAAGCTCTCACGGGCATCCAGGAAGCTGCAGCTGCAAGCGCCTCAGCAACTGTCACAACAACTCACCGTAGCCGCAGTAGTGAAGACAACGCTGGCGCCTGTGGCGGCCAGGCTGCCCGCAGCTGGGATCGGAACAAGAGCGATCATGCACGTCTAATTCATGAAGTTTCCCAGGCATCTAGACCTGGTTCAAGAGGGGGTGAGAACGGGGCATGGGACCCCGTTTCGGGGCAGAGAAGTCTCATTGGCGAGATGGGGTCTGGGAATTCTTCCGTGGGGAAAGGGATGGATGCGGGCGTGAGTACGCTCGTTGACTCCACGAGTAGCGAAGGGGAGGAATATTATGATGACGATGAGGATATTGAGGATTCCGATGAAGTTGAGGTGGAAGTGAAGGAGGCGCATGACGGAGATCAAGCGACAGGAGGTGGAGGCAAGGGCGCTCACAAACGAAGGAGCGGGTCAAACAAGAAGATGTTCGGGAACGCGGGCCTGCATCCAAGCTCAGCTGCAGAGTCCGGTAATGGAATATCCACCCGGACGCGTTCGAAGTCACCGCGAATAACGCCAGAGGCCTAACCACTTGGTCGACTGTATGGAATTGAAATTGACTTATGCCAGTTACCCAAATTGCACATCCATTGAGAGGGGCGGGGCCTGGGGCACTGGAAAAGAGACACACAAGAGTTTGTCACTGATATTACGTTGATTGCAACTTACTATATTTCCATTTTATACCATGTTATTGATTTATTTATTTTTTAACTGTGATGGCGATTCGCTAGCAGACATGTACCAACCATCTTCTTATAATCCGTACTTTGGTCTAATCCACTTACTGGCATGTTTTGTACAGTGCAAGTTTTTTTCCCGCTCCCTTTTATTCCAGCTAGCCCAAACTCACGACCGTTTCAGTTACCCCTATTCTGGCCTTCCTATGATGTATTAGCCATGTGATTCTTCGTATTTTGATAAACAGGCACTGTAAGCTGCAGTTGTTCACATGTCAACTCATGTCAAGATTTATAGATTCTTAAATCTGTTTCCTACGCCAGATTTATAGGGTTTATGTATCATATATATATAAATATATACATGCCTGAAGTCGGCCACACAAAGCAAGAGGAAACTCCAGTGATTAGGAATATTTAATAATAATGATAAATCGACCCAGGACACAGCCAGTAATATCTCTGACCAGAATGAACTCCGTAGTGGGGGGAAAAGAACTAGAAGAAGGAAAAGGAAAAGGAAAGAAAAGAAGGGGGGGGGGGGGGGGGGGGAGAAGGAAGGAAATGACACAAGAAAAGGGGGAAACGAAACAAAGTCGCTCAAATTTGTCATGGAGGAATCTGACGGAGAACAGGTTACAACGCAAGAGTAGGTATATATACCCGTAACCTAAAGTAATTTACAGATATGCAAAACACACACCCTCACCAACCCTCAAATAAACGTTTACAAACCCTCGTATAAAACGAAACTAAATGCTCGCCCTCCTAGGCGCCATAGTTCTTCTTAAATTTCTCTTTTCATCCGTCTCCTCTGGTAATGGTAACCCACCCTCGTTCTTCAACTTCTCCAAAAACTCCTTCCCATACGCATAGCCAACTTGATAGATTTCATCGAACTTAGCGAAATCCAGTGTCCCAAATGCATCAACAGGAGGCCGCATATATAGACAACCGGGTGTAGTTTTTGCTGTCTCCAATGCACTGAAGGAGGAGACGTACGCGAGGCGGGCCTGGATTTCAGAAAGTGTGGGTGGGTTCGCGAGCGACGAGAAAGGGTTCCAGCGATTGACAAGCGCCCAGAAACCGGATAACGAGTCACCGTAGGCTTGCGGGGTGTTGTCGTCGATGGAGCCGACATCGATGGCGAAGATGACATCTGCCCCTTGTGACTTCATGCGGGCAACAGGCAGGTTGTCAACGTAGCCGCCGTCTAAGAGCATGTTGCCCTCGTCGCACAAGGGAGGGAGGAGGCCGGCGAGGGACATCGACGCGCGCACGTAGCGCCATACGTAGCCGGAGGAGTGAAATTCGTTGCGCGATTTGCTGATGTTTGTTGTGTTGCAGTAGAATTCGAGCCAGAAGTCTTCGATTTGGCTGTCGCCGAAGGCTTTGAAGATGCCGCGGTTAAATTCGTGGCCGGTGGTGTATGAGGCGGATGGGTAGGTGAGGTCGAGAGCGAAGCGCCAGATACTTCCCATGCGGCCGGCAAATCTCTTCGCACGACCATACATAGGTACGACATCGGCATCCCTTGCGTACAGAGCGCCAACGAAGGCGCCTATTGACGTACCTCCAACCATATCGATTGGGACGCCAGCCTCCTCCAGGGCTTTTATGATTCCGATGTGGGCAATACCGCGTGCCCCTCCACCTCCTAGAACTAATCCAACAGATTTTCCGCAGAGGCGACGGGCGAGCCGATGGAAGTCGCCTTTGAATGGAGTCGTTGCGGAGTAGAGCGGGGTCTGGTGGATACGACGAGAAGTATACTTTTGAATCTCAGCTTGCAAAACTTGAACTCTCTGTTTTAACACGGTGCCAAAGCGCTTTGTCACAGGATGCGCGGGTTCGGTGGCTGGGCGGAACGACATTTGAATGTGGTGGTGTCCCCCATTGATCCACATACGACTTTTTAACCATTGTCTGGTCAGACCTGGAGGAGAGTATCTCTCTAGGTGCAAGAGCACGAGTTCTTTCCTGGAGGTGGTCTTCATGCCAAGAAGGAACCGTTCATACTCGCCAATACTGGGAGAATCTTCAGCAACTCCAACCAAGAGGATGCAGTCTGCCTGGGCAATACAAGTTTGGGTCCATGGCGCGTTAACATTTGTATCTGCTACGTAAAGTAACATACCATATTTTTCTTCCAGGTCTGCTAGATATTGGGAAAGCTTTAATTTGCCCATCCTGCTGAATGCATGGCGTCCAAGATGATTTAGGATATGAGCCTGATGAAGAGCAGCTACTCCGTTGGTGACCCCGATCTGGTTGAACGCATTCAACAGTCGATTTCCAAATTCCACAACGGGAACCCCGGCTGTAACTGGTAATACGGCAACCGTTCGGAGATTCAAAGTCGACGTCCCGGTCATTGCGCTCTCGTGTGTACCTTTGTCGGTAGGTTTCTCCATAAGTGGGTCATGGATAAGATGTCTCATCCTCTGGGCAATAAGTTTCGATATTTGTATTGCAATACTGGGATGTTCCTGCGCAAGACTGTTAAAGAGCGTTCTGGGGAATTTAGCTAATTCCGTATCGCGGATCGCATGAAGGGTAGCGGGCCGGGACGACTCAGTCATTACTTCCAACTCTCCGACACTATCACCTTGGCCATACTCTCCCATGACGCTCACATTGCCATCCCCCCTTTCCCAAACAGACCGGAGCCGGCCATTAAGCACAATGTAAATCGCATCACTCTCGTCACCTTGGTGATGAATGACCTCTCCAGCATTGACTTGAACCCATTCCAGGGCAAAGTCGATATGCAAAATGAGACGAGGAAGGACATTGGTCAGCCGCTTGGCCATTGTGAGAAGGACAAGTGGATGTCTGTCAGCAATCCTCTCTAGGCATGCCCGTGGCAAGAAGCCAACATAAACGTCCGTTTTCGCTGTAACGTCGGTGAAAGACCTGTATGAAGTGATAGACCCAAGGTATCCATCAATACCGCCAGGCTTTACTATATATAAAGATTTGCGCCTAGTAGGCCCTTTCCGTTGACTTTGGCCACCCCTTATGGCGGATGAAGCGCGAGACGCCGTGGGCCTTTTAAGCGGTTCGAATAACCCATTCGATCGAAGGCCGGACACATCAGGAGAGCTCAGCAAATCTTCACCTCTATTATTAACCGGTATGCAAACGTCCAAGAATCCATCTATAACATAGTAAAGGCCCGGGTTGCGTTCTCCTTGTTCGACGAGTAAAGAGTCTTTCGGGAAAAAAACAATTTCGATCTCGTCCCGCAACTCCGCTTTGAGGTTGGCCACAGGTGATGTTCCACCAGCACTAGTCACGGACATCGACATGAGTGATTCAGAATCGCCATCACCAAATGAATCATACGGGTCGATAAACCCAAAAGCATTATTAAAGACGGCTTTCTGCCGTTTGAAATCATACGACACTACCTGCGGAGATGCCTCCCCAGAATTATGGGTTTTGCGCAACGCCTCGTTCGTGCTCCCTGTAAGGCCGAGAGCCGTCATCATACAGTCGAGAATAGATTCACGGAAAATTAAATCCTCATCGATCGACTCCTGTCTATGAAATGGGGGACTTTGTGCTGATGGGCTGAATGGGAGCGGTTCTGCTTGTAGTGTCGGCGAAGGGAAAGCCTCTCTAGGGCTACTTAGAGGCGCAGGATATTCATGCGTATGAGCCAAGCCCCTGAGACGCTCGGACCCGTATTGAGGTCCATATCGGGAGAGGTGAATCGTGGAAAGTAAATCTCCAGGGCTCACACCGCTACTCTCTTTCTCAGAGACACGTGATACATTTTGTACTGAGTGCCTTGCATGTACAGCCGAAAGCTTCGCAGATAATGCAGCATCTTTCCGTAAAGAGCTATTGGAACGACGTCTTCCGCTCGCCGAGGGATTGTGCAGCGCGATACCTTTTGTGACTTCCTCCGGGCCGAGTCGATCCCTTTCCTTTGTGAATTTATCTTTGAGTCTATCTAGCGCCGCGCCGCGAAGATGGTTGGGAAGATCGTAAGAGGTGTATTTATTCATCTGCCTCTCAATGCCAAGAACTTCTGTAGACAAACCTAAATACGAATGTGCGGTGGCGAATGTAACCCGCTGAAGTCTGGTAAGAATAACTTGGATGATGTGCGCGGTAGTTCCAGGATAGACTCGGGTCAAGCGGTGGAAGGCGCTTGCAGGAATAATGGCAATGGTCGTGTCAACCATTGCGCGTGCCACGATGTCAGGATGCACAGATTTTTTTTCTTTCGGCTTTCTCGCCCTCTTCGGCCTATACTGGTGGGTGTGAAGTTCACTTTGAAAGGACGCATGACTATCTTCAAGTGCAAGATGAGGAACGACTGGTAACGGTAAAGGGTTTCCATTCACTCGAGGGGGAGTTTCTTTGAATCCCGGGAAATTTGGTGCCATTGGGCTCTCCGCTAAAGGAGGAGAAGCCATTGGGATAGGCGGTGCGCTCCGTGTTGGGTCGATGCTTAAGGTACTAGACTCCGTGTCCTCACTATGACGTAACTTGATATCCTCCGTAAAAAGGGACAGAATAGAGAATAGAGACGACATTGAGGCTCCATTTTTTACCTCTGTTAACAATTGATATCCCTGATTCCGGCGATCGTTGTGTTCCTCTTCTTCCATTGATTCTTCTGCGTCGTTGCAATCGGCTGTAGGGCTCTTCCTATATTCATCCTGGCCTCCTCGAATGGATTTTACGAATATCTGAACAGCACCATCCACAACGAGGCAAAACCCTTTCTCTTCTTCCAGTAATAATGTCTCCCCGGCAATCAATTTCTTTGTTTGCATAGTGCGTGTCAATTCGTGGAAAACAGGGCGTTCCAGGTATCCAAATACCTTGATTGCGCTCAGAAATTCGTCTAGGTAGTTGGCCAGTCCGGGTTTCGAGTCACCAGCCTGGGTATCTGGGAAGAGATCGATTTGGGGTTCTTTTCGCTGAGGTTCAGGCGGAAGGCGGGAGTACATATTCAGGAATCGGTAGCGAATAAACCAGCTGATTGTTGACACTAGGACTAGAAGAATGATGAGGCTGGTATAGTACATTAGCAATTGGGTAGAGTAGAGAAAGTAGGACATATGTAGCGGAAAGGTCTGGGGCAAGGTATACGTACAGTGTTGTGAAGTTCATGGTAAAGGTCAAGCTCATGGAAAACAATGTGAATAGCCAAGTTGGAAGCGTGATTGTTGTGAAAGTAATAGCCCAGTATAGAACGCTTGGAACGATATGGAACAGAAACACGAAAACGCGCCCAACAAAGGACGCCATGGCGAAGAGGGTGGAGGGTTCACTGAGCGGCGATGAGGTGGGGGAAATATGTGAGCAGATGAGGGCGGGGGAGTTAGAAGAAGAAAGGGTCAAGGACGAGGAAGCAAACGAGGCCTGGAGTGGGTCTAGAGTAACAGATTCGGTGGGGGATGTAGTTGACGTCGAACCGGGATGGTTGGTAGACCAAACATGTTTGGGGCTAGTATTGATGACGCTGTGATCCTCAGAGGGTAGACCGGAAGGGATATGGGAAGCGGATGCGCTGGAAGAAATTCGATATGACGAGATAGAAATGTTAGAGGATGGAGGAGACATCTTCCAGCTCGTTGTCCATCGGCAAGCGCATACTACTCATTCCAGATCAAATATATAAATAAATTACAAAATAAATTTTGTTAAAAAAAAAAAAAAAATATCGGGAGATTAATCGCCCGTGGGAAGGGCCCAGTAGTAATTGATGGATATGGCCGAATTTTTCAACGATCGTTCAATTCCTTAGCTGTTCTACTCGAAGCTGTTCATCCAGCCTTTCCAGGCCATGAACCAGCGCCAATGACGATCCCAAGGTGGGGCGTGAGATTAAAACTGGCACAACGTGGGCAGCTAGCGCCAGAGAGCAAGGGTTCTTTCAGCGTAACGGGAGTGCTGCCTAGCAAAAAACTGTTGCGGGCTGCAGCCGACAAGTAGTGCAGGTCGGTCGATGATGGAAACGAGGAAGCAGTTGTTTGGTATAGATATCGTCGTCGACGTTGTTGGACGTTGGACGTCGGGAGCCGCATTTCATGTGACACGAACTTCCGCAGCGATCGCTAACCTTATCGGGGCCAGTTTAGGGCTTAACACCGCCATAGCCCCTATCAATCAGCGGGAAGTGCCGTTATCGAGAACTACAATTCGTCAAGGAATCTACAAGGATCTCAAGATGAATGGCCGCATAGCAAGAGTACACTCATTTGATTCTCCATACAGTGATGCTCGAAATTGGCTTCCATAATCAGAATAGATCAACTTCTTCTCGGACCCTAGGTGTCAAGACTATTAGTGTTAGGCTTATCCAATATTAGTTAGAGTGTAATCTGTAGGGCTGAATTGTATGGCACGGAACTGAAGTGTTACTGAGCCTAATGTATTGTAACTGTATCAGAACATACACGCCACGTTGTCCTTGAGCAAAGTGGTTAGCCGCCAGACGTCGTAAACAGACCAACTCACAGCAAAATGGCACCAAATCTCCAACCATGGAAGCGCGAATTTATTTGTCATATGATTCTCAACAGGTCGTTAACTACATCACAGATGGCCAAGGCTGCTGGTTGTAGCGAGCGTACTATCACGCATATTCGAAGAAACCTACGGTTGTTTGGCAGCGCCAGTCCGCCTCTAATCTGTGCTGGCCGGCCCAGAAGTATTACGCCTCCGATGCTTGACGCCCTTTGTGATTACCTCACCGAAAAACCCGGCCTTTACGTTGATGAGATGGTCATCTTTCTTCAGGATGAATTTGATATACTAACGTCAACAGCTAGCGTTAAACGGGCGCTTTGTCGCGCAGGTTGGACCAAAAAAAAAGCTCAACAGAGAGCAAAAGAGCAGAACCCCGAGCTACGCGATTTCTACCTGCATAAGCTCTCCGAATTTAGTTCATATCATCTGGTCTATGTTGATGAATCTGGATGTGATAAACGGATAGGGTTTAGGCGGAGTGGTTGGTCTCCACTGGGTGTGACGCCAGTCCAAGTGTCAAGGTTCCACCGGGGCCAACGTTACCAGATACTACCTGCCTATACCCAGGACGGCATTATCCTTTCTCGTGTCTTTACGGGATCAACTGATGCGGCTTTCTTTGAGGATTTTATTGGGCAGCTGCTCCAGCACTGTGGGCGGTGGCCGGAACCAAACTCTGTCCTAGTGATGGATAACGCGTCGTTCCACCACTCAGCTAGGATAAAGCAGATGTGCTTTGATGCAGGAGTGAAATTACTATATTTGCCACCCTACTCACCGGATCTGAACCCAATAGAGGAATTCTTTGCTGAGTTGAAGGCTTATATTAAGAAGAACTGGTCATTATATGAGGAAAATCCTGATCAGGGTTTCGGCGTTTTCCTTCAGCGATGTATTGATGTTGTTGGTGCGAAAAAAGAGAGTGCCGCAGGCCACTTTCGAAGTGCTGGGGTATCAATTGAGCAGTGCGGTTTTGAGTAGGATGCTTTTATTATGTTTGATTATGCTGACAACACCTGTGGCACTGAGTTGTACCTAAACTAATCTCTATCGCTTTCTACACCCTTACAATGCTGTAAAGACTGCGCGTCTTGACCTGCCGGAAAGGTCAGCGTCGTCAAAGAATCTGTGAAGTGTCTGTAAGTCTTCGGTGCTTCTTGCCTTGGTAGGTGTTCCCCTGTTCGGAATTAAATCGGTTGGCAGCTTGCACTCTTTGCAGCAATGCAATCAACTCCACATATGCCTATCCTACTTGCCAGCAAGGCCGCCTTGGCCAACCGTCAGAAGACAGCCAATGTCCTCAACCAACCACCGAGTCGTAGGCTCAACAGACGTCCTAAATTTGTTGACCCATCTTCTTTCACCTTCACATCTTCCATATCGCGAAGGATATTCTCTATGTACTCCCCTGCACCACTGAGTTTGAGGATAAGAGCAATCGCACGGTGGACTTTGAGTAGTCGAGAGGAGGGAGGGTCGATAGTACGGCTCGGGCTAAGGCTAAGTGTGCGAGTAACGGGAAGTAATCGATCGCGAAGAATAGGATCCCTTTCTGTCGATTTAATCATGTACCGGTTGTATGCCCCTTCTATAGGCTCGAAATATATTTCAAATTCACCGAGTAGTCGATGATAGTGATGGGTTAATGTCAGGGCATTTTTCGGACTGTCAATATCTTGTCCTTCAATAAGGTGGGTGATTCCGGGCTCGAACATAGTCAAGAGTTGGATTACGTTCTTTTTCGAGTCACTCTAAGAGAAACTGTTAGCAGAGTCAAGTGTGATCATAGCAGGCTGTCTTTACCAATTCCGTATTTCCTGACGCCATGGAGTTCAGCGAATGGGGAAGTATGTGAGCAACTTCTAGATACTCGAATTCACCAGGTTCGTTTCGGAGAAGTTCCCCATCATCATCTTTACTCTCAATCCCATCTTGCTTTATTCGTCGCTGGGCTTCTTTTCTATCAAACCGATGGGAGACGACACAACGATGATGATCGCGGATAAGACAACTTTGTCGGAGGATGGACACGCGTTGCGTTATACCCGTTGGTGTGGACGCCTGCATTGAGGAGAGTGAAACGGGTGTCGGTTGGGGTGTCTTCACTGACGAAGCCCTGACTGAACAGGTTGAGTTAATCAGTTTCATCGGCCATGGATGATACTGTATGTACTATAACGAACTTACGTGGAGTAAAAAAGTTATCAACCATGTAGTCGGCAAAAAGCTCAACAAGGCTCCGAATTTCGCTTTTCTTGTCTGTATCAAAAGAAGAGAACCCATCGAGATAAGCTAACGCAAGAGAGATATCAGGCTCGGCGGTATTCCCATCCAGATGCTCGTGAATGTACAAAATGAAGAAGTTCAGGAAGGCATCTTTTGATTGCGCATGCACATGTTCGAATGTTGCATTGATTAACATCGCGGGCATGTAACCCCTCCGTCCAGTTCTTTCTAGGCCATAATCCTCAATCAGCTTATTGAGAATGCCACTTGCTGCCTTATTTTGTTGTGGAGTTAAAGAGAAGGGCTCTGAAAAATCCAGGAACCCTTCTAATGATGACTTGTGTCGATGTAAAGCCATTGTTGATGGTGTTGCTGGCCTTCAAAGAATATTGTGAGGCTGGCACGTTCAGCTGTCACATGAAGGGTCCTGTGTCGGTTTTGTGGTCGAGTCAAGCATTCTGCTTCGGAAAAGTGTATTGCCGGCGACCGAGTTTTGTGAGAAGGTACCATAATTGACCGACGGCATTACAAAATCTCTCAATGCGCAGAATTTTCATTACATGTATACTCCAATGAGGGTGGTGCATGGCCAGCCATACTTAGTCTAGTAACAGCTATCTTCTACTCTATCCTGATGGTATTCTTCGTGCGGCACATCTGTGCCCACATGTGCAACCCATTCGCGGATGTCACGAACGAACCGCCGGGCAGTACCTCTTTTCACCCCCTGTTCGATAAAGAATTCAGGGTCTTGGTCCTCCGAGACCAGCTCAAGGTCAAGATGATGTGCCAGTGTCACTTCACATGCTTTTCTGAAATCAGCTTTGTATGTCTCGTCAGTCACCTTCGATTCCAGCCACCTGCAGTAATCCCTCACAGCTATATCTCGCGGCCCCGGTACCACCAGACGCTCGCTAGAAGCTGGATGTTTGAGTGATGACGTAGCCACGGAGGCATTCGATGTCTGTGCCGGCAAAACATTGATGCTGATTGGAGGGTATGGCACTCCTGTCTCAGGTAAGCTATTGGCTTTTTTATACCTTCTGTCCGCCCGGTTTCGATTCTCCAGGTACAGGTCCCGACGGATGTCACCAGGGACGTCATCATGACCCTCTAAGGTACCGCCATCCTTGACATGCTCAACAAGCCGTGCAAGATGAGAGGACTTTAGTTTATAATGCTGTTTGTCACTGGGGTCTTCCCAGCACCAAGAAGACTGGCATGAGCGCGCCTCGCATCGCATACGCTCATAGACAAACCTCCAGTCCGATGGACGCCCAGTGCTGTTTTCTTCAGCATCAAGTTGTGCGTCACGTTCGGTAAGCATTCTTCTAGTCGCTGATACCCGGCTTCTTTTGTCGACCCGTCTGCCCATAGTCACATCATCACTGTCATCACGCTCGTAGTTGAAGGAAATGATGACTCTAAGTTTCTTGCCTATGCGAAGCAGATTGCTCCACCTACGGAGCTGCCTCTCCACCGGTGCCCAGTCAATGTTAGTAGAGGTATAGTCCTTCTCAAGTTTACTCTGTGAACGATCGTTTACAGAAACCTCAATCGCCGTGCCGGCCGATCGAACCCGCTGATTACGTCGTTTCACGTGTAACGAACTTTCCATCTTTGGCTTCAGAGCCTTTGTCCAGTAATCGCTAGGTCTAACAACCAAGTCCTGCTCGGTATCTCTGCACACCGTTTTACGGTTGAGTACGATTTTCCAAGAAATTGTATAGCAAATATATCTTGGCGGATCCTCTTCATATTCGCCTTCCTCGTCCCATTCAGCCAATGGGAGAAAGCAGAGCTGATCTGGTTCCTGCAAGATACGGTGCGGGGAGGGACTGACGGAATATTGGGTTGATGGTGTACCACCAAAGTGCCCTGGGGTGGGGGCGTAATCTAGACTTTCATTCCATGGAACAAACGTCTGTGCCTGAGAGGTGGTATCAACGCCGAAGACGCTGTTCGTCATTGTCAGATGAAGCGTTACTAGCAATCCTAGCATTGTGTTGTGAGATGTTAGCCTGTAATCTACAGAATCCCAATGCTTATCAAACCATACACAAATAGCAAGCGGGGAAGGAGTTTGTTTGGGTAGAACAAGTACTGTACCGTAGACCCTGCCTATTGTTTGCCTCTCAATAAGTTCATGGTAGTGTTTGCCTCTTTGGTGCACATAACACGATGAATGTTGAGGGAGGAAGCAGATTGCCAAATCATTGCCACGCTTTCACCATTTGCGTGGAACCTTCCAGCAACCTCGTAAATGCAGTACATGTATTCATATTGATACACTACGTGTACGTGTTCAGTACAGTACATGGTTTATTTCATAAATAGACTATGATTGGAAGCTAACTATATAACTAACGTAATCAATAACCTTCCCGATCAAATACCCTTCCCGATCACTTCTTCACTCTTTTTCATGTTTATAACTAAATAGAACAACAATCACATAAGAAAAATAGATTAATCATATTAAGAATCATTTACAAATCAGCTTTCACACGTACGAGCAGTATGTCCAATAGTACCACATATACTGCACCGTGGTGCTGCTCGTTTTCGTGGTTGAGAGTCAGAAACCTCAACCTTCTCATTTTCCTGTTCATTGACACTTCGTACGCGATCTATTCCTTCTTCAACTCTTAAAACCCCTTCCTGAGCTATATATGTACGACCTTTCCCTCGCTTTCTCTTTTGCTTCTCATTTGCAGCTCTTAGTTCCTTGTTTTCCTTTGCTAAAATAGCAGCACTACACATAGCCATTTGACACCCCTTGATCAGCTGATTCATAGCTCGATTGGTTGGACTGGATGAACCCTGTGTACGATGTTGCATGTATCCTTTAATCTTCTTGGCCTGGAGATCCACTTGTCGTACATTGTGTGGTGTGGCTGTGGCCCAGGAGGCTTGAGAACTATGAGAAGTTCCTGGGGGGGTGGGTGTATGCATCTGGGTATTAAGGCGTGAGAGAACCTGCTCTGGATCGTACGGAACTAACCCTGTAGCTTTAAAACCACTTTTGATGTTGTTCTCATTCAGGGCTTCCATATGAGCTGCTGGATAGAGAGTCAAAAACTCTTCCTTATCAATGTGATTGATGCCAAGCTGCATTTGCTTCTCCACCTGTCGTCTGTATGCCTTCTTTAGAGGAGAGAAACAGCTAACATCCAAGGGCTGAAGAAGATGAGATGAATGAGATGGCATGTAGAGAGCAATGATGTCATTCTCAGAGCAGAATTGATCAAACTCTGCTGAAGCATGACTTCCATGTCCATCAAGGATCAAGAGTCGATATTTGCCCTTCGTACGAGATCGAGTGTCCTTGTCAAATATCTCCTTAAGCCAGATCAACCCCAGCTTATCATTTGTCCATCCATTCTCACTGACTCCAATCACCCAGTCATGTGGCAGCTTCTCAGTCTCATACCAATGGGATTGGTGCATCTTTCCCTTTAGAATAATCATCGTACGTAAAGCCCAACCAGTTGCATTAACTCCTGCAATAACAGTGGCCCATTCCCGATCTCCAGGCTGTATAAGATTCGGACGATCAACTCTCTCAGATCCAGTAATTACTCTGGCTGTCCCAATAACTCCCATCTGAAATCCAGTCTCATCAAAGTTGTATGTATCTTCCTGTGCAATCCCATACTTTGCAATGGTGTTTCGTACGAGATTAAACCATCCACGAATAATCTCAGGATTCTCACATAGAGCTCGCTGGTGATCATACTTTCGAGAGAATGTTGATTTTAACTCCTCATGACGATTAACAAAGTTTCGTACCCAGCATTCACCCACTGTTGGAGGGGGTTTGGATTCAGACTTGATTTCTCGTTCAGAAAGAAGCAAATTGGCCATATTTCGTACGGTTGTGATGCGGGGTGACTGGCCTCGCTCAGTCATGGATAGAATCCACTGAATAAGAGATGCTTCCTCTGTAAGACTGAGTTTTCGGTTTTTTAACTGAGAATCTTTTCGTGTTGTGCGGCCGTGTAATCGATCATATAAACTTGAATAAGGAACTTCGTACGCGCGTGCAGCAGCTCGAATACCTGAGATTTGACCTTTATCTAGAGCCTTAATAGCTAATAGAATCCTGCCTTCTTGATAGAAGTTTCTTCTGTCACTTGTTGTTGACATTTTGATGAATAAATTGTATGATGTGTCTTAAAGTGAAGAAGTGATCGGGAAGGGTATTTGATCGGGAAGGTTATTGATTACGTTATGTATGTAATTCAGATGGAACCCAATTTCGAGTGTTACTGTATACTAGCGATCTGAGATATCAATGCCCCTGCGTTTGTTGTACCATCACATAGGCCGGATCTCTAACAAACCATTATCACCGATCCGGAAGAGAGAAACGTTCAACCCTTCAGGACCTCCATTTCACATGGTATTTCCACCGTTACAGCACTAGCCAGGAAGCTGCTGGAACATCTTGCTGTCAATTGTCAGCGTGACTACCGTGTTATCTGAGCGTGCCCAGAATCGTGGAAGACGCTTTGTTGTCACATCAACGGCAACTATGCTGCACAGGAAGTGCGGGGAAGTGGAGATGCTTTTACTCAAATTATGGAAGTATTCGAGTCTATCGCGAATGCTTGTAGATAGATATATCCACAAGAGTCCCGCTCGGTGGATACGAAGTTATCATTCGTTTCTCGTCTACGTTTCTCAATTAGCCAGCTAATGAATGTACAGTCTAGCTCATTTCGGATTTCTTTTTGCCTGCGAGAGTGGGCAGCGTTCCCAGAAGCCCCTACTATAGCCCATGTACGTTTGATAGAATACATACATGTACATAGAATAAAAGAGTCGATGGAGATCGTCGCTCTAAAACTTTCAAAGCCGGCAAATATGTCTGATTCTATCAAATCCGAAATTTCAGGCCTCCATCAACCTCTAGCAGACTCTTATACCACACCACTACCAATCGCTATCCCGGCACGTCGTACTTGCCAGGTTTAACAGCGCATCGGATTGGCCCCTGCTGCTGCCGTCAGCGTTGTGTCGAAAATTCGTTGGCTGATTTGTGTTATGGCCTCAAGGGATGAAGCCCAAGCCTGTGCTGACATACAGCTAAAGCGGACCAATTACTAACTTGTCGTCACCAGGAAGCAGAAGATGTGGGACGTCTAAGTCGTTGTATTAGCATGTCGGCAGCTGAGGCATATATGTGCGGTGCGCTAGTCCGTGATAGGCAGCCTAGGGCCAACACCTCCCCTCGGACTAGCAGCCGTACAGATATCTATCTATCTAGAAATCCTATTATACATGAAATCAAATCAAATCAAATCAAATGAAATCAAATCTATCTATCCTTCTATCCTTCACCCTTTCGGCATCTGTGAGGCTTCGGTTCGTGGTAGTAGTATCGATGTTCAAGAGGTTCTCTGATAACAGTGGTGGTGGTGGTATTCTTAATGATCAATCTCAGCATAGTGGTTCTTGCAGGGGGTTCTTTGGTGGCTCTCATAGAGGGTTCTTTGGTGGTTCTCGCAGGGGGTTCTTCAGTAGATGGAGGAGTAGTGACAGTGACTTGTGTAGCCAGTTTCATCTCATCCTCCCCTTGTTTCATATCCTCTTGATCTCTTGACAGAGAATCAGAGTTTTCAGCTGATTTTAGTAAGGATTTTCCCATCCTTCTGTCCCAATATTCATTCATTCTCTTCAGACATTCATCTTGCTTTTTCAGATATTCATCTTGCTTTTTCAAATATTCCATCATCATCTGTATCAAGGTATCGGTCGTTGGTGTTGGGCCCGGTGGCCCAGTGGTAGGTTCGTATTCATCATTGCTAGCTGGGGTATCCATCCCCATGGTAGCTTGAGTTCTAGGAGGCATTCTTCCCCCTATATCAATCAATTTTTAATATTTTTTTCCCGCGATCAAAGCTCTTCTAGCCTTCGTCAGGATCCCTTCTGCTGATCAGTGTAGCAGCTCGCGAGACGTTAGATGGGCAGTGGAAGGTTTAATAAAAAAAAAAACAAGCAATCCGGGTCATAACCTGTGGGACGTCTAAGTGGTTTGTATTAGCATGTCGGCAGCTGAGGCAGTTATGTGCGGTGCGCTAGTCCGTGATAGGCAGCCTAGGGCCAACAAATTCCACTTACATACACTGATAGAAATTTATACTAGAAAGCAATACACCTTGGATTCTCTAAGCACTGTACATTTTAAAACAGTGAATTTACATCATTGTAGATATCATTACTAGATATTATCACTAGATATCATCGCTAGATATCATCGTGAGATATCATCATTAGATACAATTGATAGATATCATTGTCAATATATATATACATACTGTGGTTTCCATGCTATACTGTGGCTGCTGGTTGCAGTGTATAGATGATGGGTTGTGGCCACACCTGCTATGGGCCGGGCCACACCACCCACATCCATAGATATATATATATAATATATATCCTATTAATATATATCATTACTAGATATCATCATGAATACCATCACTAAGTATAATAAGCTAGTACTATGATAACTAAATTATTCATAGCAAAAAGTCAACATAATCATTTGTTGAATGATTGTGCTTATGATGATATGTATATATATTTATATATATTCATGGATCTGCTGTGGTCCGGCCCACAGCAGATATGACCACCCAACCCATCATCTATACACTGCAACTACTTAGCATAGTGTGGAAACTATATATATATATGTATTAACGATGATATCTATCACTTGTATCTAATGATGATATCGCGATGATATCTAGCGATGATATCTAGCGATGATATCTAGCGATGATATCTAGCGATGATATCTAGCGATGATATTTAGTGATGATATCTAGTGATGTGGTTCCCCACCATGCTGCGGCTGGCGGTCGCAGTGTATCAGTGGCGGGTTCAGTGGCCATGCCCGCTGTGGGCTGGGCCACACCACCACACCCATGAGTATATATATCACTATGAGCACAATCATTTAACAAATGGTTATGTTGACTTCTCACTATGGATAATCTAGTGATTGTAGACAGTGATGATATATATTGAAGATGATATCTAGCAATGCACTTCCTAATAATCAACAAGCTCTATTCAATTACAAATAGAATGAATATGATTGGTGTGTGTACATTGTAACACTAGTATAAAAAACCTATTTGACACATTTGTCACTATAGGCTGCCGTACCAGGCATCTATTGATGTTCTTTTATCATCTATGTGTGAAACTTGCCATCGAATGGAAGACATGCTTTCGAGTCTGTGTTACATCCCGCCACTACCCCAATATTTCAATCCCAGAACATCTTAGCCTGAACCTCGAACTCCAAGTCGGGCAGGCTTCGGGTGTATTCATGTGGGTTGTTCTTGTTGTGGATATGCTGAATAAGGAGAATGATGAAGGTTGTTCTCAAAGACAACTGCAGATAACGCTGCTAGCTATCCCTGATGACCTACATATGCTGTTTCGTAACATGTTGACGCGGAACAAACGGAGCAACGAAAAGTTCTTGCTTTGCATGCAATGGTTGCTCTTTGCAAAATATCCCTTGTCCCCTAAAGATTTGTACTTGGCGATACTGTCTGGCACGAGCGATGAGGACATGACAACCAGGAAGACGAATGATGATGTCCAGCCTGATAGAGTAATGAAATATCTTCTTAATTGCTCCAAAGGGCTAGCCGAAGCAACCGGGTCCAGATATCGAACTATGCAATTCATACACCAGTCAGTAAGGGACTTTCTCCTTGGGGAACACGGACTACAATAGGTTGATCCCAATCTTGGGGATAACATGATCGGACGGAGCCACGAGCGACTGAAGCAATGCTGCCACAACTTCATAATCAACAATTATTTTGGTCCAGGTAAATTCCTTTCTTGTTCTTCTACTCATTGGAGGTCATTCATGGGATATGCTACACGAAGAATCCAGTTTTTAGCATTGACTACAAATCGAGAGGCTAGCGCTTTGTATATGGCAGCGGTAGAAAATTTGTCAAACCTCATCAGAATTCTCCCGTCCAAGCTATCATATCTCGAGGCAGAATCCTCATTCTGGGTTACCCCGCTTTCGCGGCTATTTCGAGGGACAACGGTAACGCCTTGCGGGCAATTTTGAAAGCCCAAGCAGAAGCACTACCCACCACATCTCGGATTCACCAGCTATATCAAAGTTTATGTGAGGATACAGCTAAATCCAAATACTTCCGGGACGAATTAGAACGCAAGTTCAGACATGCTGATGGAGTTAGCCCTCTTTCATATGCTGCAATGTATTGCAGTGAGAGAATGCTTGATTTTCTGCTTGAAACAGGGAGATGGCTTCCAGATACCAGGGATCAGGATGGGCGGACACCGCTTTCAAATGCTAGTTATTGTTCAGTGGATCGGAAAGTTATCAAGCTGTTGCTTGCGAACCCTGAAGTTGATCCTAACTCACGGGATGGATGATGCTGGCCGAACACCTCTGTCATATGCTGCAGAAGAGGGAAACATATACTGCATCATTGACCTCATTCAGGACGGCAGGATCGACCTTGACTCAAGGGACAATGAGGGCCGAATGCCACTGTTATATGCTATAATGCGCTCGCAGATAGGAGCAGTTTCACTCCTGCTTCGCACTGGTAAAGTTAGCATTGCCTACATCGATCGCTGTGGTTTGTCACCAATGGACTACGCTCGCCGATATAAGCATCCAGGCATACTTGGTTTGTTGTATTGCTTAACAGCATAGCTACTAGTAGTTACAGTTAGCGTAGCTAGTGTTTGCCTGTCTCGATATTCTTCTGAGCCCTACGAGTACGGATGGTCCGATATTGAACCTCGCACATCCAGAGCTGGAAGCAGCGAACTAGATTATTCCAGCGACCCAAGAAATAATCATATCAATTCAAAAAATTAATTAACTAGGGTGATCGACACCTGCTGCGAAATGGATACAATGAATAAATTCTAAAACGACCTGGAATTTCTTCCTCTGACTTTTTGCTGTCCATGCTTCGTTCTCCCGATTCCCATGCTCATTGTTATTCCAGAAACACATGGCGAAACCAAATTTTCGGAAAACGCAAGGAATGATGTCCAGTCGCCAACGCCAATCAAATGACAATGCACCAACCGACAATCCCGGATGAGGTCCTCGCGGAACGCATTCGTGAAATATTCCCTGTTACCGACGTGTGCAATCCGAATATAAGGGATAGATCTTGCAAGGCGCTATGTGTAGTGACGGTGGGGCAACCGTATAAAGCCGTGGGATCTAATACAAGCTCAGACGTGGATTGAATGATGTGGCAAATGAAGCGATTTGTGCCTCTAACTCTGCTAGCGTATCATGGAGGAGCAGGAAAGCGCTTAATTGGCTCAGCGTTTGGTGGATGGAGAGGATTTGAGGGGGAGCGGGAGTGTTGAATACGAGTGGAACTGTGTTAGGATTGCCAGAAGAATGTTGATGTAGTGAGGGAGGCGTTGGGTGAGGTAGACTATGAGTAATTAAATGCATGCTTTCGAAATTTATCGTCATGAATGCACTGCGACGCAGTTTGAACCGGAACAATTTAAGACGGAAATAGGGTGGTGATTAATATGTCGAAATATGTGATGAGCGGATGGAGCCAACTAGGCGTTTCCTTCGGAAAATTTGACCGAAGCAGAGTTCACATATTGCTTCCTGGATATGTAAATACGCGAAAACGTGCATCTACCATTTTCATGAAATTTAGAATTCTAAACGCCTCAATAAAACTATCGTTGAGAAGTAAGCGACCAATCGGCTCCCCGGACTGTTAAAAATATGGAGTATTTTTGAATAAAATATTCTGCATTTGTAAGCGGGAAGATGGAGAAAGGGATATGCAGATATCATTAAGATATGTCTTCATTTTCCAGTGCATCGAGCTCATCCAGTAACTGCACTGTTTCCCCCGGATTGGAAACCCAAGATGTGGTGCATGCCAGGCGGGCCTGTTGGCAACGCCAACAATGTTAACATTGGATTATCGAAAGGTTGAGCATATTGAGGAAAGAATGTGCATACCTTGAAGTCATTGGAACCTGCAGAAAGGAACTGGTCGCCAATATGCAGAGTTTTAGAGCGGGCGATTCCGCCAAAGTAGCGTTGGCAGGCGAGCACACCCCACGATTTATCACCAATGTCGATGAATACATCATTTCCCCCTGAGAATAGTGGTGAGCTTTGAATTTGTAATGCCAAATGAATAGCATAACACGCTTGGGAGTAACTAAATTGACATGGACTTACCATTGAACGCACAAAACGGGAGGCGGTGGCCCGCCGATGACAATTCGACCGTTTGTTGCGCTACTAGAACCGTCTCCTCAAGCTGTTCCCTTTGCATCCGCTTTCCCTCAAGTGGAGATATACCAACTGCCCGCGGCTTGCGAACAATGATAGCGGGAAGGTTCAGGTTTGTCATGCAGTCACGGAGTGCTGTTTCAGCAATATCCAAAAGTTCTGCGATATCTTCGTCTTTCCACAGTTTCATTTCATCCAGGAGCCACTCGCTCCGTTCGACAGGAGAGAGGAAATGAGGGGATGAGCTATCAAACCTAAATAGGAAATTGCTCTCGCCACCCATTACTATAAGGCTGTTTTTTTGGTCACTAGTAAGGTCTGGGGCGTTGTTCACATTGTCTAATAGACCGTGGAGACGCTCGTAATATCTGAATGCCTCGGTATATCCAGCAGCGGTTACGATGCCGATTCTCTTCCCTTGGCGCAAGAGACGGATTATCCGTGGAATGACAGGGTTTTCCACAGTCAGTGATGCTCCGTCGTCGTAGAGTGTCACGTCACCATCAAAAGTGATGAGCTCAACCTTTCCACCCTGGAGAAGGCCCAATAGTTGTGCTGTGTTAAGGATGTTGCGAATGTCATTGAAAGATGGCGGCACAAATCGCCGACTGCTGATGAATCGTTTCTTGTCCTGATATCTGAAGGCGTCAGCCAAAGGTAGAGGAGTGAAGAAGTTTCCAATGCTAGGCACTAGAAGTTTCAATTTCGAACGATGGCTGGTTCTACTTTTCTGATGGCTGACTGTATCACGAATTAGTACAATCGAGGTGTTGGGTATGTTAATCGTGTGAGAAGCATTCGTAGAGGCACAGGGTTAAATTACTGTGGTCGTCTATGAGGCTTTCCACATCATGCATGATCTCCACATAACGGTCATGAGTTCTGGCGGCAAGAAGAGCAAGGCTGGGACTGTTCTCTTGGTACAGTGCAGTTGGTTGCGAATGTAGCACGAAAGGAACAGCAAGAAGCCCCTGTAGTTTGGATAAGTCATAGTTTGTGAATGGTAAATAGTCCTTCCAGTTGCTAAACTCCGCCCCTGGCGGGATATATAGGCGAAAAATGCGAAAAAAGTGTGTTAGAAAGGAGATTTTACCTTTATCCACTCGATCTTTCGATTCACCTCATCTAATGTCAGTGATTTTCTATGGAAATCTCAGAAAAAAAGCAACAAAGCTTACCAGCTGGTCCCTGCGATGCGACTATATCACAAGGAACAAAGTTAGCCATGGAATTGGTAGGTCAAAAGAATGCTCCCCCAATTATCGAGATGTTCCTGAACAGTACATCAGGCTGTGGATGTCCCAGGACCAACCTTAAGAGCATCTAAACGTCGGAAGTTAGCCATGTTATACTTGAGGGGATCAACAGAGGGACCAGAAAGTAAGGCGAGTCTTACACTCAACTCGGTATCGAGTCGTCATCGTGAAGTTGGAGGCACCCGTACAGAAAGTTATGAGCAGTTTAGTGCAAGAGGAGGCTGAGTTTCCTAAGCCGCAGGAAATATTCTGGGAGAGAGGGTGATTTATATTCAGCAAAACTATCCAGTCTTGCAACGATTGGGGCTCTAGTTACAGCCAGTTGCTTGTGGAACTATTGGATACAATGAGTGGGCTGGGCATGCGCGTAGAGCGGTCAGGGCACTAAAGAGCAGGTAGCTCACAATGTTATGATTAGATCAATTATTTGGGATTCCCCCGTCATATGCTCCGTATACAATCTGTCTCAAAACTTGGCCTTATATAGAGAACAAAAGAACTTCATTAGGTGAATGAAAGATGTGGGTATTGGGACAAGAGAGAGACTCTCCAGAGCTCAACGTCGATAGCGCCGCGGTCCTGGGTTCTACTATTCAAACTGGAAACAAAAGAGAGGATAATAATTTAGAAATTTACGAGTTAACGTCGAGATGTTGATGCAATTGCCGTCGCTGTTGGAGAGGGGTTGGATGTTGAGGTTGAGATCAGGATATCGGCCTCGAGTTCGGCAGGTTTAGCCGAACGGCGCTGGTGGTAGCTTACTCAGCCTTCGACAGGTCTCTACGGAGTATATAACTATGCACGAGATATATCATTAAAAGATCGTGAGCTGCTTAAATGCAAAGAGATAATTGGGAACATATTCAAGCTCTCATTCTTAGCAACATGACAGTTAGGTCACACCACAATAATAACCCAACCAAGAAGGGGAAAAAAAAAGGCATGCATGCAGCAGCTCTTCCAACCTTTTCACGCCAACTACCTACAACTCAGCCTTAATGGCCTCTTGACTCATCAGTCCGACAATACTCTGCAAAGTCTTTCCCTCATTCCCACCACCATCACCCCACCAATAGATCACATCCCCTTCACCTGTTGACATCTCCCAGTCCATGTTCCCATCTACATCTATCTCAGAACGTAGCCACTGACACCGTACAGTCAACTTGTCTGGATGCAAGTCGATGGTGAGCTTTTTATTTCGGCGTTGGGAAGGGGAGAATACAGTCAACTCGCCATTTTCAGGGGAGGTGGGGATCCACGATGTCAGGTGCGAGGTGTGGCGTGGGGTAGGGGTGTTGAAACCGCTTTGTTCTGGCTGTTCTTGTTCTTGTCCTTGCTCTTGTTTCAGTAGGGATGTGTTGGGCCGTAGAGATGATGGTTCTGTACCTGCATCCCGGGCTAGATGGGGGATGAGGTATACTAGGTCAATCGTGAAGAGGTGGAGAAGGAGCTGTTGGAGATCATCTCGCAGGCCGAAGCGGGAGGAGCTGGATTTAGTGCGCGGACTAGAAGAGATGTTCGATCCTATTTCGAATTCCGTTCCGAAGGCACTGGGGTTGATGTTGGTGACTATGCGGATTTTGAAGATGGAGGTTGGCGAGAGGAGAGTACCGGTCACAATGGACTCAAATGGTGTGAGGAAACTGTTTACGAGTCTCTCGACGAAGGGAGGAGTGTCCAGTTCCCAAGGAGAGGGATTGCTTGTATCTACGAGGGGGAATTTCACGGATACCAGTGGTGAGATGTTGTATTTGCAGTTTAACCCGGCTAGTTGTAACGTTCGGGTTATGTTGCTAAGGAAAAGTTTCAACCATTCCAGCGCTGATTTGTGCCGTAGATAAGAGACAATTGGTCGTAGAAGGGAGTATTCTGGATTTGCTCTGCGTTTCGATGTGACTGGCGGTGGGATTTGGGTCCTGCGTCTGTACTTCTGACGATGGGCGTGGGACAGTAATATCCGTAGAGATTGGGCAACAGTCTCCGCCAGAGCATCTTCTGCATGCCCCTGTTTGTCTGTGTCCCAAATATTACACTCTTCCGGCTCAACCATATCGATTAGAATTTGTTGATTGGAGTCAGCTGGTAACTGGATTAGATTCTCCTTGCTCTCGATGCCATGTTGCAGTAGAGTGCGCGCTTCGCGATTAAGTTCATGGAACAGCTCTTCTTCATACAAGGCATCCCGAGTCAAACGAATGTGGTTTTCAATGGCGTCATTGCCGGGAGCCAATTCCAAGGGGACGATCTTTGAGGTCCCCACTATACGGTCAGCATGCTGCAC